GTCGTTGTTCCATCTGGTTGTCGAGCAGCGGCGGTAGCGCAAATGAGTAACGAAGGAGCAAGGGAAACGTCCAACAACGGCTTGATATATGTTAAGAAGGTTGCTGAGGGGTACCGGGCAGCCTGGCCGGAGAGCGGCGAGAGTTTTCATCTTCGAGCTCGTCATGAGATATTGAGGAGAAGAAGCAGGTCGACAAAACGCACCTCATCACCTGCACCGTTTCCGCTGTCACCCGCGCAGTGGCCTTCTTCGGTGGCTTTCGCGTTGCTTATGGAGACGTGTGCGCGTGTACTTGAAGGGTGTAGCCCATTGACATCGACGTGGCTGGAGGAGGGAAGCCTGAGTGACGCGTGTCCATAACTGGAGACAATGAGACTGGCTTGACTCAAGAAAAAAAAGAGCGAGGACATACCAGGCAGCCTGCCCACACGCTCATGGGCCCTCTTCGGCAGAATCTTCACTCCCAAAAAGCCCATAGTGGGTCGACATCGAGCTCAGCGCGATTTCCACACAGACGCTGGCCGCGTAAGTTGAGCACGTCGTCAAGGGAGACATGCACGCGGGTCTGGCTGGTGCGCTGTGCGGCGTGGGTGGGTCGTTTCTTCTTCATGACGCTGGAGAAAAGCAGGAGGAAAGGAGAGTGTCAGCGCGTTACTCGTGACACATCAAATGACCCGCCACTCTTCAAGCTCTCAAGTTGGTCTCTCGAGCCCTCATTCGCTGCGTGAAAACCTCCAAATTCTCATACTCGCAAGTGCCACTCGTCGCCATGTGTCCTTCCTTTCCCCTGGCAAGCTCCATACCGCTCTCGCCGCTCGGTCGTTGGCCAAATTTCGCTGCAACCGATTATCTGCGCCGCAATAAGCCACATATCTGTACATCGGTCGACTTGGAGCTCATATTAAAGCGATACTCTACGCAACTTTTGTGCAACTCCATCTTGATTCCTCAAGTTTATCTAGGAACTTCGGAATCGTAGCCTGTTGGTCGACTACCTATTTGTTTTTATCTCTGCGTTCCCGCTCATGAAACCATTTCCAATGAGGGCTCACTATACCATGAAGAGCTTTTTTGCCCCGATTTCCTCCAAGGCTCCCACAACTCTTCACAAATTTCCCAACGCAGCAACAAAGCGCTGAATCTCAAACCGCCTATCTAGTTGTCTTGTCAACTCGAGAGAACATCAAGAGGATCGTCAGGTTCTGCCCTGCCTCGAGGCTGTTTGGCATCCTTCCGCTGCTCTTTGCATCCACGTTTTCTCTCGGCGTTGTTCCCGATAAGGCAGCTCGCCGCCGCCGCCCAGCGTTGGCATCTGTCGCCCGATGATTGATTGATATCCCGCCGAACGACGGATAATCAATTAATTAGCTCCAGGCGAGGCCTCGAGGCTTTTTCCGACTCTTCTCCTGCCTGCTTGAGACGTTCTCCGCGAGCACTGGCAGCGTCACTGTCGAGCAGAAAATTCGTCATTCGAATGTGGAAGTCCATCAGAACATTGACCCCGCCCGCGACATTCTCACCGGGCATTCTCACCGGCCCAGCGGCCGGGGGCAGCGTGTGAGCCTGAGCTTTCCGCTGGGTGGAGCACCCGTTGGACGGAACTGCCGACCCCGGCTTCAGAGCCACTGCTGATTTGCGCCAGAAGCCCCCGAAAATGCCAAATCTGCTTCAAGGCCATCCTTATTCTACATCTGAGAACGATTCTTCGTGGCCGCAAACCTTAACTCAGGACCCCCGACAATCCCCTTAGAGGCCGGAGGCCGGGTTTGGGGGTTTTTACCCGAATTTTTTTGAGCGTTTTTGGCCAGTTTTTACCCGAATTTTGCCTCCGGCCTCCGGAAAGGGCCCATTTTTACCCAGTTTCGACCTCCAGCCTTACAGGGTAGTGCTAAAAAAGGCGCGAGGTCAGAAATGGCTGGAGCGCATTTCAGAGAGAGAAAACTGGCTCAAGACGGGATCGAACGACGTCGGCAGCCTAATAGGGGCTACAGACCACGCGGAGTACGGCCGGTTACACCAAGAACAAGTGAGGGGAGAAGTTACCCGGTTGGGCCTCTGGCTCCCCCAGACGACGGTCACTTTTACCCAGTCTTACACCTGAGGCCCCCGGCCAAAATTGGGCCATTTTTACCCAGTTTGCCTCCGGCCTTGGCAAAAATTTCCGCAAATTTTACCCGGTCGGGCCTTCGGCATCTAAGGGGGTTGTCGGGGGTCCTCTTAACTCCCAGCGCACACAACTGACGTCTGATAACGACTTCAAGTTGCCGGAGATTCTCGCGCGCCATTGAAAGCATCCGTCTATCGGATTTCTGTTTATCAAGTACTTGGTCATGACCTTCCTGCGTTATTCCGACCGAAGAAGTGGGCATCGTTGATTGAGTTTTCTACTCCAATTCTTGCTGGCCGGACTTTGGCCGGACTGATCAGCTGAATCTCCAAGTCCCGCCGGCGCTGTCACGAGCAAGTTGTCCTGCGCAGCTCTTCGCCGTCATTCGTGCCGAGCGGGCTTGTTGAGGCTCATCCCACATACCACGGCTGGTTCTCGAGCTCGATGAAATACCCCCGTTCTAACCTCCCACGGTGCTACCCAGCTGATCAGGTGGAGGCTCATCGTTCCTGGATCATGCATAATTTCCGCTCGCCGTCTGGCCTATACCATCGCCGGACGAAACCCTGGTTTACCTTCAAATTAATCGTCTTGGTAAATGGACTCGAATTTTCATGCCAACTTAGCCTTACTTCGCTGAAGCCTCGTTTAGCTCCAAACAAGAATACACCATATAGCTCGAACCAGTCAATGGCCATATGGTCTTAGAAACCTATGTAGGACGTCGGAACCACCGAACCAGAAAAGGAAACGCCGCCATGATCGCGGCGGCCTCCGACGCACCAAGTATGTAATTGTCGATCATGTTCCTTTGTTTGCGCTGTGTCCTCCTAGAAGCATCATCGGGTGGGCTATGTTGTGGGTGCCCTGTCACCCTCGGCTGCCTGGTTTCCCAGTCTACATTCCAGACCGCGCCCGTTTAGATTTGGACAAACCAGAGCGAAGTCATGGTTGCCCTCGAAACACGACTGTCCTCCCCCCCATATCGCCCATTACACGTCTCAACCATCAAACCCTTCGCCCGCTGTCGTCTCCTCGAGAAATGCCCCCCGCGGGGCCAGAAACCCGGACGTTTCCCGATCGAGCCGAGGCTTCCAAATGCGGAAACACCGACAAAAGGACTATCATGATGACTCGGGCGGGTCGCGACGCTCCCACGTTTCATTGCTGGCGGGGCCGCGCGGACGCGTCACCGTGATGGCTGATGGAGCCCTCTTGCTCTCGACGTCCATGTCCGTCGCCTTCATGTCCCGAGGGACGCGTCTTCAAGTTGCTACATGGGCATCAGCAGCGCCCTTGTTCGTGTGGATATCCAAACTGGTTCCCTACTACTAGTAGATGCCGCACTTGCTTACGCTTTTCGACGCCCACGCATTACCAGTACTTATTTACCGGCAACTCAACGAAAGGTACGACTGTTTGTGGATCTCAGTGTAAGAGCTGCTCATCTCTTCTAATATCAGTGCCTCCTACTCCGAGTCATGGAGTTCGAAATCACAAATCTGGGACTGCCACTGGCAGCTCATGCGGTCGCAACCAACTTTAATATTTATCATGGATCACCTTCTCGAGCCGCCGCATACTTACCGACTCACAGGCACGATAACTTGTTCAATTAAATCACGCTTCCCGCGCAAGTCCCAAAACGCCTTGACTGCCATTTCGGGACTGACGGTTGCGAGCCTCGTGGTCAACTCGTGGTCCCTTGCGGGACCCACAAAGCAGGTCATCTGGGTTCTGGACGCGCTCCGATTGTGCGGAAAATCGCAGGAATGGAAGCGTTGCTGGCTCCACACAGATGCTGGCTCTGCTACGCTTATCTTTTGGAGTCGATCTGCGATTCTATATAGCACTACGAGCCCCAGCCTCACGCACCCACAGACCCATCACTCGCACGCCGCCCAAAGCGCTTTCAAACTGCCTTTTTGGGTGTTGCGAGCCTCATGGCGTCGAAGGGGCCCACAGAGATAGCTCTGAAGGGTGCCACTGATTGTGTGTCCCGATCATGCAGGAGCGGCGTTTGCCCGTCGTTTGTCTCTGGGCCGGCCCTGGCTTTGGCAGATTCGGCGTCTATCTGCTGGTCACATTCCACTGCCTTCAAGTTTCGGAAGAGACTTCGCACCTCAGCGCAAGCACAGTAGCCAGGCTACAGCCTGCGTGTGCTCTCGAGCACGTGAGTAAGTAAGCAATCATCTTCGGCATCCAGCACTCGAGTAAGCAAGCATCCCGCGCTCAGTGGCAGCACGAAATCTAATCAGACCTTCTGACGGTGAGTATGATATCCTAATCTCCGGTTCGGCCGACGGCCATCCGCCCATCTACACGGAAACAGCGCCGTAATCCCTTCGGGAATATTCGCCTCCGGGACCCCGCGCCGGCCGGCCGCGTCCATATGCGGCAACTGCCTTCCCAGATTGTGTCACGCGTGTCACCCGGGGCACCACGCGGTCCAGGAGCTTAGTGGATTCGCGTTCTGGATTTCTGAGTGTGAGTTAGGCCCCGCGTGGGGCGCTGGGCAAGGGCACGCAAGGTACAGCAGCCACGCTATTCATACACGCTCCTCATATGGTTACAAGAGAGGGGTAGCTCTAAGACGGAAGAGACGGGGTTGTAAGTGAGGGAGGGAGGGGGTAGTAGCGACAGAGTAGAGGAGAGAAGATAAGTGTAGCGTATAGATATCGCAGGGGAGTAGGAGTACAACAGGGTTAACTTCCGCTTCCGTAGTCCGTTTTCCGATTTGTCGTCGCTGGCGATACGAATCGACGAGGGTTTATCCAAGAAGTAGGGTATCGAGCAAACGCTGAAGCCAGAGGGGGCCCTTATGGCGCCCGTCTGACTGACGCGACCTCGTTCTGGATAATACCAGACGCGAGGAACAGGAGGGGAGAGCCGACTATTGCCAGTGCTCGTCACTGAAAACGACTCCCGGGTGGGAAAGGTCGAGCTGCGGGAGCGAAATCGTCGCGGGGGGCGCAAACTCGGGAGAACAGGCGTTGAAGTCCAGTAGGGACATGTCGAGGCCCAGTAAGTTGAGATCGAGCAGCTCGTCTGCGGCGAATTGGGCGGACAAGTTCTCGTAGGAAGTTGCCGTGGACAGCAGGCCAGATGACGCGCTCGATGTGGAGGCGAATGAGAGTGCTGGTGAGGCGGGAGCAGTGCCAGGCAGCGAGTCGAAGTCGTAAGCGCTGAAGTCGAAGACATCGCTGGAAGGAGCAGGCCACTCGAAGGAAGACGAGTAATTGGGACTTGGGCAGTCAATAGGCGACGAGCAAGTTGACCATGTCGAAGGAGAAGGTGAAGAAGCGACTTCGAAGTCGAATGGGCCAGGACTAGAAGCGGTTGACGAAACCCGTTGTCTCGTTGCCGCCTTGGCTGTCTTGCGCTCCTTCACCTGCTTGCGCCGATCTTCAGGTGTCTCAACAACGCTGAAGCGAATTTCTGGGCCTTGCTTGCCCCTTGTCGCGTCGTACAGCTCGACGCCCTTGCCCAGACTCTCGCCATGGAAGCCCGCCACAAGCAAGTCCGCAATATGGGCAGCACGGTCACGGTCGGCAGGCGCCAAATCGCGCACCGGTTTGGCCACGAATCCGTCATCCTCCCCACTCCCGTCGTCTTCAAGCTTGATTTTCGGCTTGCGCTGCTTCACAGGCGCGCTGACCGAGCGTCGATTGGGCCGGAAGGTGTAGTTGGGGAAGCGCTCGGCGTGTTCCTGCCGCTTCTCGCGCGCAATAGCGTGCCACATTGCCTTTTGCTCCTTTGGAAGCTGGGCCCAGGTCATGCCCGCAATTGCAGACAAGGCAGAGTGGGAGGGTTCAAGCGTCGCTGGGACGGTGCGAGCGCGGACGAACGACGAGCGGAAGAGGATGAAAGCGTTGGGCGGGCGCGGAATATGAGGATCGGTGCTCAGATTGGCGTTGGGAGTGGAAGGAGTGGACGCTGAACGGCGTTTATGCGAGCGACGGGGGGCGGTTGAGGGTGGTGTTGGCTCGACCATGAAGAAAGTCTGGCCAGAGGCTGGTTGGTCTGCGACAAACGTCGTTGGCGTGACATTTGTCGCGAAAGAGATGCCCGGAGCGGTTGAAGGCTCCGTCCAAACCAGGTTGTTCCCTATGCTGTCTATTAGCACCAGCAGCAGAGGGCTAAACACTACGCACCATCGGCGGTTGTCCTGCGAGACCCTCGAGTGCGTTCAACAGGCATAGTGGGTCGGAAAAACGGTGGGGGAGGTTTCGCGGTCGGAGGAGGAAAAGCCGAAGAGACGAGGCGGCGAATAGAAGACATCGCCCTTTATACTAGCTTGACCTCGCCAGCAGATCCCATGCCCACGCTCACGTACAAGGCCGATCTGAGATCCCGGTCATCGTGGCGGATCGGGAAAAGGAGTGACGTCGTGACGTGACAGCTGATGGCCCAGATGTCCGGCCCGCTGACAGGCGTGAAACCCTCCAGATTCTTTTCCTATCTTTTCTCCCATCCCGGTGCGCTGTTCAGATCCAGGGATGCCGCAGAACAGTCCATTAACCACGTTCAAGTCGCCCACAATCCCTTCAGCCCCCCATAGCGGCTTACGAGACGGACACGTAGCAACCTTGTCTGCGACTCTGCTTCTCCTAGTTTTCTCCCTTGTCCTCCGCCGACAACGACAGTAACCGCCTAACTTCAGATTATCTTCCCCTCCGCGCCTTCCAAGCTCCCACACACACCGGCCCTCCTCAGCTGTCAAGATTAGACAGGAAAAAAAATCTCTGTCAAAAATCACACATTCATGTCGGCTGCACATACGGTTTACGCGAGCGCGGTTTTTTGCTCCCGCCGCTGGTCATCGCCAAGCTTCCGCCGAGAACCCTGGCCCAGCGCGGCCACCACCAGTTCTGTCAGCTCGTCGTTGTCCACGCCTACATGCTACTACAAATGCATCGCCATCGCTATGGGGTCTTGTTCTCGCCTCACCGACCTTGTTCTTCGTGATGAACCCCAACGCCCTAGAGAACGAAGGTCGCCAAGCAACCTCGTCGTGCCAGCGCTAGCGCGGTCTCCTCTCAGTCTGTGGGCGGGCGCTCCCGGCGTGTCGATCATTCCAATCACCCTTCCGCCGACACTCTTCCATGCTACTGTACGAGTAAATCACTGCGACACGAGCAAATCACTTTTCAAGCCATCTATCAACCATGCATGTCCTTGTTCTCGCGCGGCAATTTCCTTCTCTGTAATCACTGGTATTCACGATTCCGCAGTCGTCGGCGGGTCGGGGAGGCCCCACGCAACCCTCGGCGACGCGCATGCAGAGCCCGGAATAGCGCCTCCAAAACTTGAGAGCCTCTCAGGTCAGTGTTGCCCTCTCTCTCTGCGTCCACGCTCACTAAGCCTCACTTCAAGCTTCGCAATATTAGTAACGCCGTCGGCATCGCAAATTGCCCAGCAAATCAGTCACGGCCGCTGAGAGACGCGTCTCGTTCTCAGACTAACAGCTTGGTAAGGAGCATCAGCGCGACTAACGCCAAATCCAAGCTGACGATGCCGACAGTGATTTCATACCACTCGACCCTACGCAGCGACAACATATGTTACTTTACTCTCATGCCCACATTGGCCTCTTTGCCCACGACCGTGTCCGCGACAGCACAACCACTCTCTCAAGTCTCTCAACCTATTTCTATCCGGCTCGGACTTCGGGCTCGTCGTTTGTCATGCATTAGGAGTCGGGACACTGTTTCCTAAACCTGAACATGAAGAACCCGGGTCCGCCTTTCATATCGCGGGCATAGCAGGCTATCTGGCGTTTGAAACCGTTCCCAGTCGGTATCTTCCGCCGCGCGCTCAGCATCGTAAGATTCGTAACTGCCGCTAGATTGGACAGACATACTGTGTGCTCACTCCTGCCGCCAGATATGCTCCCGCGGAGGCAAATATCTCGCGTTTGGTGCCGCGGAATAGTATCCTCTTGCTGTGACCGTCCTCTGCTTGCCGGGCCGAGCGCCGCACCAACCACGCCTCCACCGCGTGGCTGGCAATCGCAAAGCCCACCGTTCTACCTCCCACATTCGCGCGATCGTGATCGACGGCTGCTTATCGAGGCTCGATCGCGACGAGGCGGGCTGCTTCTGGGTGGCCCCACCGGTGTCCCGACTAGCGCGCGTGGTGACGGGCGATTAGATGATCAGTCCCTAGATAGTGATAAGTTCATCGGCTGGTGCCTGGCTCTACTATGAACGTCCTTGGAGAGGGCTGGCCCAGAATCGCCGGCGGAACTTGAAGGCGAGGCTGAGCCTGAATATATGCTTCTGGATTTGCGGGTACTAGTAAGGAAGATTCTGGAATTTCCAACTGCGGTCGGGATTTCCAACGCCATGAGAGTGAAGAACGGCGGATGAGAATCGCGGAACGGCGACAAGCACTAGCATTGTAGTAGCAAAGGGTAAAGAAATATTACAAAGTAATTTGCCGGTTAAAACTTGAAAGAGACTTTCGTGCATTGAGCGGACCCGAGCGCTGCACCGGCGTCACGGTAGAACCATGGCCAGAGCTTGAAGCTTCCCTGGTGCGTCCTAACTTGGTCAGGCTAAGATCTCGCCGCCTGGCGTAATGGCTCGGCCACATGACGCGCGACGAGCGAGAGCGCCTCGTGGCGAGCATCGTGGCCTGCGGTCACTGGCGTAAGGACGTCGCTGCTCGTCGTGTTCCCGTCGGCCGTAGTGCGAAGCAGTCGGAGAGGTCGGCCGACACTGAGCTTGAGGTCATATCCGGGCCGCATGCTGCTCTAGACAGGACGGGAGTGCAATCAGATACGCAAATCCAGGTAATGCCGCGTATGGGAGGGCAGCATCGACTCTTTTTGGGGTGCGTCGAGTCCCCAATCGCGATGGGCACCTGGCAGGTGCCCCTCGCGATTCGATTCGCATGGGAAGGCGCATCGGCAGGGAAAATCCAAGGTTTCTGGTCCTGACGCCGGTCAGCTATTGAGTCGTCTTGCACGCAATCGAATCGGAATCATTACTCAATCATAATCAAGCAGAACCAAATCTCCATCATCGCTGAGAAACGAAGCAGCTGTCGCGCCAACAAAGCACTGCACCCGTGGCAGCAGCCCGCACGCCTGGGTATCAGCGGGATCGCATCAGCGGCATGACGTTCCTCTGATGGAACCGAGAAGCTTTCTAGATTCGGAGAGTGTCCACACGGACCCATACGATTGCTAGTCGGCCCGGGGGTTGTTTGCAGTGGAGCGCGTGCCTACTCGCGCCGATTTAGGCGATGTTTATAGGAGCAAAGGGTACGAAAATATGCCAAGCACGTTTGTCGCAAGTCAGCCCGGGCCTGAGGGCAAGCGCTGAGGCTCAAGTTCACAGTGGACGCCGGCGACGACGATCCCGGGCCCGCTTATCGCATCGCGTCAGACTTAGCTCGAACTGGGAGAATGGAATCATTACTGTGGCGTCAGGATGCATGGCGACAGACCTGACCAGACGCGGAGCCCTTGTACTTTTCACCATCAGTCACGCTGACGACGCTGGAACGAGGGCGGTTTAGCGCCACTAGGAGGGGAGTAGGACGCCGATGGTTGAGCCGGAATAGGGAGAGTGAGGCCGGGAAGCTTCAAAGTGGATCACTGAAGGAAATATCGTCGAAGGGACAAGCCATACTTACCGTCGAGAGCCGGGCTGCACCTCTCGAGATCACCGAATGGCCGGCGGCTGCCCCCTTGAAGCTGCCTCGAGGCTACGTTGTGAAGTCGTCAAGTACGGATTAGAGGGCCCGGGCTAGTTTGGCCGTAGCTGAGATTGCCGGATGTTTAGGTGATGGAGGGCCACAAGTTCAGGAGTCGTTTGCACTACTGGTGAGATCAGCGTGAATGCGATAGCTAGTGACTTAGGACTCTGTAGTTCACGACTAGACCGAAGCGCAACGATAGTCGAAGAGCTTGTATGGCCGGTAAGCTGCTCGAAAAGGTTTCGCTTGGGGTCGGTCGGCAGACGCCGATAGAATCGTTGAGCCAGAAAATGTCGTAGATGTAAGCCAAGTAGTGCGCTGTTGATCGAGTATTCATTGCATCGCGCAGGAGTCGTACAGTACAGTACTGCCAGTGTAAGTCTGTAACTTCGACACACAACTTGAAGATCGTCCCTTCGTGGCCCGGGACTGCCGAAAAAAGACGATGATAGCCGTCTCCCCGGGCCCCCTAGACTGAGACTAGCAAAATTTGAAGAGCGTTGTAGCAGCCGGCCTGTGGGGAGGTAAATGTGGTTCCAATTGAAGTCGTATTCGCCCTTGGAAGCTCGGTGCCACTTTTTCAGAGGCAAGTTTCGCTTGCGTTGGCTCTGGGTGACGGTCAACTTGAGTGCATTCGACAGGTAGTCAGCATGACTTTAGCTGCACCCAGCAGCGTTGGCGCAAGGCGATTCGGTGTGTCCAAGTGGTATTTCGGAGGCAAGCCGACGGCGGTGACGCGCGTGAGTCACGTCACATTGACTCTTTCCACTTTCCTCTTCCTTCTCATTCCGCTTGCCGCCTTCCATGAGTAGCTCGCTGGTCTTCGCCGTACGCCCTCGAAACTCGTCCATCCAACCGACAACTGACGCGCTTTCGCAGCTCCTACGACACGGACAGAAGTTTCTCGTATATCCTTCAGCATTCATAGAGGGGCCGAGAGGTGAGCATGCACGTAACCGCCGACCCCGTGCCCTTGTTAATAAGCCGCAGAGATATCCAAACCGTCCGAGCTAGGACTGGAATATGAAGACCTCGCGCTAACGACGGCGGATGGAGTGCGGCTGGACTGTTACTTCATCAGCCACGCCGCCCAATCCGCCCAGCGTATCCAGGAACACGAAGATAACGACTTTCCTCGCGACTCGTCGTCTGCGTTCCGCCCTCCGGAGTCGTATGTGCGTGCCAAGCTGTGATTTTTCGCGTTCTTATATGGCATTTGCACAGGAAGGCCCTGCTATCGCGAATGTGCTCATGTTTCATGGCAACGGGATGAATTACGGGGACCTTATGTATGCGGCGAAGCGCCTGGTCATGAGGAGGTGTAATGTGCTGCTGCTGTCTTATCGAGGGTGTGTCGCCTTATTCCTTTCTCGTTTTCGTTTTCCTGACCATTTCTAAGCTATGGAACCTCGAAAGGCTCGCCCTCTGAGTCTGGTCCGTATCCCCTTCACCAAAAGACACACTCTCAAGCGCTATCATTAGGCCTGAAGCTAGACGCTCAAGCAGCACTCGATCGTGTTCGTAAAGGTCCTGCGCTTCCAACAGTGCGTGGTGTTTACCCTTCATTTGGCTGCCAATAATCATTCTTAGATACTTTTCGGGACCTCTCTGGGCGGTGCAGTAGCCATTGACCTCGCGTCTCGCAACCCCACCGCCATCTCCGCAATCATTCTCGAAAACACGTTCCTCTCCCTCCCCCGCGTCGTCCGCGACTGGCCATATATTGGCCTCTTCAGCTTCCTCGTCATGCAGCGGTGGAACTCTGCCTCCAGACTGCCTTCAATACCGGCCACAGTACCGATGCTCTTTCTCAGCGGGGCAAGTGACGAGGTTGTGCCGAAGAAACACATGGAGGGCTTGTGGGAGATAGCGAGGAGACGTAAAAGGGGAGCCACGTCAGGGCTGGATAGATTTGAGTCGTTCAAAGCAGGGATGCATGGTGAATTTTCCGTTATGACTTCGAGCAGGCTGATGACCCTTGATAGCGGATACTTTTCTACAACCGGGTTATTGGGATAAGGTCGACGATTGGCTTCAAGCTGTAACAGCCCCACCTGAATCATAATGTGTTTTCATTCGGGGACTCGTGGCGTCATTACTCAATTCGACAGTCGTTTTTTGTCCAAGTCTGATGTATGGGCGGGAACGAGGCTGTTCGAACTGGCTTAAATATGCAGGGCTCTGGACACGGCCCCCATCTAGCATGTCCCTATTCGCAATCTGGGTTGTGAGTCGAGTCTGGGACATGTGGGAACGGCGTTTGATGACCCATTTACAGGGCTGGAAGCTCTTGCGACATGGCCAGAAGTTTGCTCTGTACACATTGGGTTTCATCAACACTCGAAGTAAGTTGCAGGAGTGTTTGTTCTACCCGCTGACGGCGCCTGCAGGGATCTATGACCGGCCGAACGATTATGGCCTCAAGTACCATTGTCTCGGGTTGACAACGGCCGATGAAGTGCATCTGGGGTGCTTCTTCGCGAAATACGCTGCACAAGACGCCTCACGTATCGAACTCCACGAAAGAGCCTATAAAACTGATCTCGGAATACCGGTGCCAAACTTCGATGTACGTCTTGCATCTTTTTGTCTTTCTTTCTTCTAATGTCGCATAGGTGGAGCCTGTTGTTGCAAATGTGATCGTCTTCCATGGGAGCACAACGAGCATCGACACCCAGCCCTATATTGACATGGCGCGCAAACTCATTCGGAGGAGGTGCAATGTTTTGCTACTCTCTTACCGCGGGTACTAGCACCCAGTTGTTCGTAGACTTGTTGATGACAGCTTAGATTTGGAACCTCTTCTGGAACGCCCTCGGAATCCGGTACGTCTCAGGCTTACTGTCAGCAAAGACGATCTTCGCTCAGAGCATGTATCTTAGGTCTCCAGTTGGATGCACAAGCTGCTTTGGACTACATCACCAACAATCCGTCTCTTTCTGCACTCCCGACGGTATTTGTTTTCCTTGCTCTCAACTCGTGCTAACACAATTGACAGTTCTTGTATGGCTTCTGCCTGGGCGGCGCGGTAGCGATTGATTTGGCGGCACGCAACCCGACCGCCATCTCGGGAGTCGTTGTCCAAAACACGTTCCTTTCCGTGCCCAGCCTCGTCCGCGACTGGCGATATATCGGATGGCTTGCCAAACATCTTGTGACGCAGCGCTGGGACTCCGCGACGAAAGTGCCGTCGATACCGGCCACGGTGCCGATGCTCTTTCTCAGCGGGGCCAACGACGAGCTGGTCTCCAAGAAGCACATGGAGGGCTTGTGGGACATCCGCAAGGGGGCGACGCCGTCTGAGTTGGACCGCTTCGAGTCGTTTGCGGGCGGGACGCACCGTCAGTTTGTCTTTCTTGTCTCTTTAGTAGGCTCGCGAGCTGATGTGTTGGCAACAGTTTATACGGAGCTTTGTCCGGGATTCTGGGACAAGATCGATAGCTGGATTAACGCTGTTCTGCCGGTCAGTAATACGACTCGGGTGACGGCTTTGTAGCGGATGGCTCTGAATCCTCGGACTATTCTCTCTTGTCAAGTTGGTCAGATTGTAATGCATTCAGACTGTCTATGCTCAATCTCTTTCTTCCAACTACGATGCCTATCTTGCGGGCTTTTCTTATGTTCCCCCCCATCCAAGTTAAGTTTTGTGATAAATTCGTGTCCATTTGGACTGGTACGTTGACTTGCTATTCATGGTACGTGTCTGCCCAAATCTGCGGGCAGCGGCCTCTATTTACACCCAAGTAGCGCTAGCTCAAAACCCGGCACTCAGCCAACTGGCCAGAGAGTCAGAGGCGACTCGCTGTGTTGACCCGATCATGACTTCCGCTCCTGATACACATGCCTTAGTCAATACTTTGGTGTATTATCAGTGTACGGCTTATCTGTGCCTGGGGAGCGGAGAGCTTGTTCTCCTCTACTAAGCGTGCCGCGGCCAGTGAGTGGAGTGCATCGAGAAAGGGCGGTCACCATTGTGACACGCTCAGGTCTTTTCCCCTCTTTTCCCCCATCGCCGACACAATTCGCTTCTTCTCCACTCGTCCAACGGCTCCACATTGAGCAGCCCTCGTCAACGAAATCGTAACGCGAAGGGTGTGATTCACCGGGAACCGCGGGGGATGGACAGTGGACGTGAAAAGTGTGTGCATGGCTTTCGCGTTCACCAAGACGGTTTTGCTGAGCGCACTGCCTAGCCGTCCTTCCCATATATGCCCCCGACATAGACTGCGAGACGAATAGGTGGTGTGGGCAGCAGGATTGTGGGAGGGAACAGGAATGAGGGAGCCACAGGTGCGTAAAAATTTCCATGTGCCTACTAGTACTGACAGTCTGTGCTTGACCATTCAGCGCTGTACTCTCAACTTCAAGCTTGAATATGATACCGCTGCCATCTGGCTCTGCACAGGCCAGTATGGCCTGGTCATGTCGGCTAGATTCAGGTGCGTGAAGCAGTCCCTGCTCTGTGTCTTTCTGACTAGTAGTCTCCAGCCTGCAGATTTGAAGGTCCCGCAACCTGAAGCAACACCCTTTACCCGCCCACCGAAAGCCAGTCGGGCCCAGAACACCGCGTTTGCTGGATCGACTTGTGCGTCACGATGCTATCGCGAATTTTTGCCTACATATCCTTATATTTCTCCAGAATTCCCTCCCCATGACGATGTTCTTCTTCTGTTTCCACCGACTCCGGTGCTGCTCCTCAAGCCACATGCCACGACTCGCAATCCTTTGAATGCCCAGCGACCCACGAGTTATGCTCTGGATTCGAAGTGTGGAACGGGGGAATACAGGTCCCAATGGTGCAAAGCAAGCCCTTCGTACCCCCTTGAACTCTTCCGAGCGCATCCACCGTCTTCACCCGCCATCTCCACTCGCAAATCCAATACACTTGGTCGCTATCCGAAAATGGAAGTCACGTGCCCGCCTTCTTCGAGTGGGAAACACGGGCGATATTCGATGCTCTGGGCAGGAGCTACAGCTATGCCAACTGTATCTCCCGACGACGTACGATGCCATCGTGACTCCCAATTCTTTTCTCGGCTCATATCCATCGTTTAGACGCGCGTCGAGCCCGTTCTCCTCCCTCCACACCTTCGACTCCGATTCGGCAACGCGCGTCAACGGGCTCGGTGCTTTGCATACGACTATGGAGGTTGGCTCTGCTGTGGCGAATAGACCATCTGTTTGGTCGTCTTGACGGTGGAAGGGGCTTGTTTGTTGGCTTTTCTCGCGGGTGGATGGGCGGCGACTGCGATTACTGTTTTGGGTAGGCCCCTGCCGTTGTGTACACTTGCGCTGTCTCACCACTTCACTGTAGCTCTTGCAAGTGTGTCTTGTTTGTGGAACGACGATGTCGGGAAGCATTTGAAGGCGCCGCAGCCACTCGAATCGTCCGCCCACGTCAACGCCGCTTATAACGACGACAAGTACATTCGCTTGGTCTTGTGTATGGCATATGAAGGGTGATTCTCTGGTCAAGAATCGACTCCTGGTCTGGTAGTAGCAACGGTGGAAGGGTCGCTTGTGGGCTTTCCTCACGGGCGGATGGGCGACGACCGCGACTGCGATTAGTAGTGCTGCTTTGGTCAGCCCATTCTGTCGTCCATACCTGTCCTATCTAACGACTCCACTATAGCGCTTGCTACTGTGTCTCGTTTGCGAAAGCAGATGATGTCGGGAAGCACTTGAAGGCGCCTCAGTATCTGGATACTCGAGTCTTCCGCCAGGGCAACTAGGCTTGCATCGACTCTGTCGGGGTCCTGATCATGAAGACTGGTATATATCCCTGGCGCGCTGAATAAGTGCTGGGTACTCCCGGCCTTTCCAGGCGACCCATCTGTTCCGCTTCTACCTTACTGCTCGAATCGACTCCCTAGTCCGTGTCCGTACTTCTTATATACATATCTCTTCATTCTTACCCACGAGTTTCCTCTGTTTATACCACAAGCAGAACGCAACAAACCACCTCTATTGTCTTCTCATTCCCCCCTCAATAAATCTACTTTACTTCCATCTACTTATACCGTCACACCGGTCTTCCTGCACCACGCCCCGAGACTCGCCTGAGCCAGTATATGGCGGCATTGTTGCTCTAATACTCACTGTTGGATGACGAGTAGTTTAGACGGCTGCTTGCATACTTCAAACTTCCGAATGAGCGCAAGCATCCCATCTATCGTTGGCGGGCCCTTCGACGGCGCAAGTCGCAGCGCTGCATCCTCCAAGAACGACATGTTCATCCGAAGGGGGAGGATCAGTGTGTGTGTTTCCCGTCCAACCGGGACCACAAGCGCATGCAAAACGAGGCGGCCGTTGCTCCGCTGCGCCCGCTCGATCCAGTCGTCGATGTTAGGGAAATCTTCGCCCATGTAAGCTCGGAACTCGGGAGGGGCCTCAATGACGACCTCGGTTAGCATGGGCTTGCCCAGATGGAGGCTGAATGTGGATACAACGACTGCGCGGGGGTCGGCACCAGCGGCAGCGGCGGTTTTCCGCTGTCTATATAAGACACGCTGCATGGCACTGGTACAATGGAGGTTCGTCGCATGTTCAGAATAGAACATGTGCAAGGCGGTGCGGAGCGCGGAAAGCTGCTTTTTGGAGAAGATGGACCGCATTTCTGAAAGACAGTTAGTATAAACTTGAACAGAAAGCAGGGTATCAAATAGAGAAAGGCTTACCGGTGTGGTCCATTTTGGTCGCAAGACATGTCGCTCGGTGGTTTCCCGCACGCCAATCCATTCTTTGGCATGCGCGAGAGCAATAAAGGCGAACCTGGCAAGTAGAGCACTTCTGAAAGCTCTTCCGCTCGTCAATACGGCCACACTATATTCGGATGAGTAACACAATCACAGAGCACAAAAGGCTCTCACAGGTGGGTTGTCGCAAGCGGACAACTGGTCGAAAGTCTTGTTGTCGCACACCAGAAAAACATCAGCATAAAACGCAATGCTCGTCTTGAGCCGGGCCCAAAGTGGCGCGAGCGGACATTTGGCGTTGCTCAGGATGGCTCCCAGATCAGAGGTGTCGATGGTATCGACTGAGCGGGTGATGAGGAGCAGGGTGGCCTTGTCCAAGAGGCCCGCGGGGAGCTGGATCTCAAGAAGACGGGTGAGGCTTGCGGCTATGATCTTGTCGGGGAGGAATCTCACAGCTTGGAGCACGTGAGGTAAGATGTCGTGGCGCAGTGCCATGCGGAGAGTTCGGGGATTGGTGCCGATAATGAGATTCACCACATCCAGGACTGTTTGGAGAGTCCTCAGCGAGTAGTCTGGGGGCGGAGCGGAAGGGTTGCTAGCCATGCTCAACACAGTGTTCAGCACATAGAGCACCAGCGGGAATAGATGACGCGATACCACACTTTCTGCAAGTGCGCTGGCCACATCAGTGGTGTCGGCAGCTGATAACAGCTGGTAAGCACGGAGAATCAGCTCGAGCGGGCGACAGCAGAGCACGATGTAGCCCTGCCCGCGTGATCCAGTGGGAATTTTTTCGACCATGGTCAAATGGCTCTTCATAAAGCAAACGAGGCTGTCCACCGAGCCGCCGATGGCCTCGATGAGCACGTCCATCTGAGAGGAAGTAGGGCTTTCCGGGAGCAGGGCAACACAGTCGTAGAGAAAGCCCGCATTAAGCTCAGGCTGCCTTAGCACATTCTGCCAGGCACGGACTGTAAGTCGTAAAGACGAAGTACTTCTCCAAAAGACGTTGGAGGGACCCATTCCAGTAGTTGTGAGCGTGTTAGAGTTAGATCCCTGCAGCTCCACCCATTTTATCTCGAGTTCGCGGATGAAATGCACGAACCCGAGCAGAAGTGCGTCTTTTGGTGCCAGTGGGAGCACTGTCTTGCTGTCACCATCAATGAGCGGGACCATGAAGTCATGAGTATTGTACAGAAACTCCATCCAGCCAGTGAAGGACGGCGCAATATCGAATGCGGCGTGGGGGAGGACACTCAGTCGTCGGTCTATTAGGTGAGGTAAGGCGCACAGCACATGGCGAATTTGGCGCTTTGCGGTCGGAGATAAATGCTGTATGTCTTCAAGTCGCGGTATTCGGTCGCCGTCCAGCACAGCAGAGAAGACCGGGAAGAGCTGGCTGCGCAGCGTGCTGTCTGCTGTCGACCAGAGGCGGTCGAATCGATAGTAGTCGTAGTCTGAGCAGTCGGGTTGGCAGGCGGCAAGTGCGACCTCCTAGAGGAGTGAACGTCGGCGATTGCATTCGGAGTTACATGAGGGCATGCCTTTCGTGGGCCCGAAAGCTTGTCGAACTCCTTTGAACGGTCGATGAGCGGTGGATGCGTCATGAGGAAGAGTCAGTCACCACCGTGACTCCACCGTGACTGACTCTTCCTCTCCCCTCATCTCTGCCACACCTTTCGTCTTCTCTACTCGCCGAGCGACACCAAATTGGGCGGAGACTCCAAGAACACGTGTCGGAGAAGGGCTCTGGCTGCCTTGAGGCGTGGAGGAAGTCCAATAAGGGCCATCTGCAAGTTTGGTCGTCTGCTCGTCATTCTCCCGCTGACACAGTTCTTACAGATGGCTATTTCGCAACCCACTGCACACAAAGACTGAGGCCCGCTACTGGACGAGGGAGAGCCGTATTGGGACCGAACATCGTGGATGTGGGTACAAGGTGCGTGAAAAGACTGTGGCCCTCCTTCTCAATGCTAAGCGCACACTCTTCAGACCCTTTTGACGCTCTATCCGTGGCTCGCATTCAGCAAAAACAACGAGTCTTTACGCCCTTCGCGCTGCCTCTCCCTCGTATCATGCTGGTTTGGGGCGAGAAATGGCCGTGTCTCACAAGAAGGGAGCCTGGTGGTGGGAGATGGGCATCCGAGATGGGCGCTGGCACTCCAGGCGATGCTGTAACATTCATCATCGAGTGCGTTTAGCTACTCGCCGCCCATATTCAGCTGCTGAAATATCGTTTTAGCTCTTTCCTGGCTATTCCCCCCTCCGCCCCTCATATCCTCACACGTGCTCCAAGATATGCTGACCGCGCTCAAAGCCAGTTCATTTGCGCCTGCCCAAGTCTCCTCTTCGCACTTATCATCTTCGAACTTGGATTCCGAGCAACGTCCACATCCACCGCTGCATATCTTCTCCCCTCTGACTTTCGACTCCCGCCATTGTCCTTGTTCGCGTCAACGCTAATGTGCGGCAATGATGACACCCTGCTATCCCCGAAAGCATTATCGGTCTTCCTGTGTTTCGATTGCTGTCGAGCGGACAGTCTCGAGTTTAACTAGAATTGCTCCATGTGTCATGTTACAGACAGTTCCTTTCTAATGAACAAGATCCAGTACCGTCAAATTCCTCCCAGTCGTTTCGAATCTCGATTACAATTCTCGCCAACCTCATCTATAGTTGGGCGAGGTAACGTAGGACGCTGTTTCGATCGGTGGTGCAAGCAAAAGCCGGCTGGTGGAGTGTCTCTCCTCCAAAACAGCATCTGGGGCCACAGAAAACAGCGCTGTAATGCGATGCATTGAGTGCGTTTCGGCAGCTATCTATCCCATCTACCTACCCTCTACGCACAAAACGGACTTTCTGGCAAGCTTTTTTCGCGGATCTCGAAAATAACTGGTATACCATGCTTACATATATACAGCAGCTTGCCTATGACACTGTTCTTTCGTTTCATTTCAGCTACAATCCTTGCGATATCGCTATCTCCACTCTCTTGATAATAGCCGTTGACGCGTCAGGTCTGGATCTGACAGCGAATGTGGCCATTGCGCTGACTGCATTGGCTTCGTCGCATACGACGAGCGCTCACGGGCTGGAGCTGTGGAAACCGCTTCCAGTCGTGTTCCTGCTTGATGCCGGCTTTATTGGCTGGTACATGGGAGAGTGGACAAGAACGCACCAAGCACAGCTGATTTGCGTCACCTTCCAGGAGAAGGTCGTGCCAATTCCACAGTAGCAGTAGGAGTCAAAGTGTGGAGAGAGGAGGAGAAAGTTGGAGGGTCTGGAGGGCCGGTCTTAGTATGCTGGTGGGGAACGAAAAAGAGGAGCACACACGCAAAAAAACCATCTTCCACCCGCCCTTTTCTCCCTCGCTGTCATCATCGGCTTCTCGTTGAGAGGCACAGCGCGGCATAAGTACTCGCACAAGGACCGGATGGGCTCTGGATTGGTGTAGCTGGAAAGAGTCAGTTTGAGCAGGGGACTGCCAGGCGCAGCCGAGAAAGTTGCAAGCTTTCCCCTCGTTCCACCCGTCTACACGCGTGTTAACATCTGCGGTAACTTGAAGCCATGCGACGATACGGAGCCTCTATCCCGAATCGTCTCGTTATGCAGGGGTCGATTCGTCAAGGAAAAGTCCAGCCCGATATTAGGCCGCGACAGCCATAACAGGCGGCGCTTAACCACACGGGCATCACAGACAGTCCTGCGGCAACAACTACTAGTACATGTTAGCTCTGAGTAAGTACTGCAGAAATGCCACGTGTCTTCATGCAGCCGCCGGAAGGCAGTGTCAGCGAAGGCAGGCCCAAGTATACCAGCTGGGGGAATGTGACTTGATGCCAGAGAACCATGCGCGAGCGCGGATGAAGACAAGCTGCGGAAGACAAGTGCCGTTCCGGTGATGTGACCAAATGTGACCCCGACGTCGATCCCGCTTGACTCTGACGTCCATGTCGCCGAAGCTCCTCTCCCTCCCCCCCGAATTACTCTCCCCGCTCGCTCGCTCACTGTCAACGGCCCTCACTGCATCCCATTTCCGCCAGGTGCGTCATCATAGCTGCCTAACACTGTCTTATTTGCTGACGTGTTTCTCCCTCGCAGAGTATGCCTTATCGAGATTCGAAGCGTAGCAGTTCGGAAAGAAGAGGGTCGGGAAGAGTTGCAGGAGGGCTCAGAGCAAGCGAGAGCGCGCAACTATGCGTGGGTGTCTGCGTCATTGCTGTCGCGATACTGTGCTGACTGACTTTTCAGCTTTGCCCAGGTCACTATCCTCTCATACGCCGCCCCCAACGCTACGGACTCACATGAAATCAGACTAGCTCAAGGTCCCCTCCCTTTTCAATCCGGCCTTCTGTGTTCGCCCTCCGACTTCCGCTTCAGCGGGAGGGAATGCCGAAGCATTCTGCCACGTTGGTCGAGCTTGCTGTTTCCCGGGGCTTAGCAGTTGCAGCGACTCCCAGTATCTTTCAAACAGAGCGGGCACCAAGTCGATGTTGCCAGCAGATCTTCCCGGGCCCACTCTCTCTCTTCCGCTTCTCCACGACGGACGCTGAAGCTTAAGACCGAAGCGCTGATGAACGATATCTTCCGACCACCGCTCAAGACACTGTCTTTCAGGTTCGTTGTTGTCGTGCCCCACATCCGCTCCTCACGCTTCACAAGACAAAGCCGCGGCGTTGGAGACAAGCTCAAGAGTTGTGAACGGCGCCGTTTCAGGCTGCTTTGGGAAACGATGAACGGAGTTGGTTGGCCCTTGCTGGTGGGGAGAGTGATGAGGTTTTTGCAGAGGGGATCGTTGGTCGCAGCGACACTAGACTGGAGCAAGTGCGTCACTTCCTTGTTGTCTTTCACTTTCTGACCGGCAGTATATAGCGAAGCCGCATGCACTCCTCGCAAATCTTTCCCGTTGGCTGTTACACCCTACACATGTACTGTACACGCGCAAAACGTTCCGACTTCCGTCTATCACTTAAGCTGGACATCGCCTCAACGGCTGTCTGAGCTCCCGCCGGGCGAGACATGGCATAAGTAGTGTTGCTTAGGCATGTATGTCGATGCTGGATAGGTACTCTCGACCAACCCTATCTTGTGCCATGGTTTCAAGTTTCTCCTTCAACGGTCTTCTAGTATATTCGTTCTCATGTCGCGCCTCAGGCCTGTGTGTTTTTGTTCTGTTTCTTTGTCCTGTACCACGCTGACTCCAAGTCAGAAAATATATGGATAAACTCATATATAGTATTCCTGAGGCGCAGTCGATGCCGAGTTCGGCAACACTTCTGACTCACGAGTCACGGGCGCCTATTTCTCCTCCTTTCCAGCTACCCAATACCATGGCCAACACGGTATCCAAAGAACTCGTTAACCGCATCGTCGCCAGTATTCCGAACGATGACCGCGACACCCTCATGTCATGCTCACTGGTGGCGCCTGTTTTCCGAGACGCAAGCCAGCGCCGCCTGCTCGGCCAGCTATCGGTCTGCTCTCTCGATGTCAAGGACAAGCTTGCGACACATCATACCTTTGCGGAAGTTTCTGTGCGCTTTACAACATCCCCGCGCCTCGCCACGCACGTCACGATTGTCAGACTTGCGCTTGGTGCTGAAGTAGCCAAAGAGGAGCGGCGGGAGGCAGAGTCGGTCTTTACCTGGCTGAAGCAATTACGGGAGGTCTACATCGAGGGCTACTGCCTGCAGACCCGGACCCTTGCAGAAGCCAAGGCCGCGCAGAAATGCCGCACCCTGGTCAAACTAGAAGTCATTGAATGGGCATTGGACACTGTGGGGCGCGAGCAGCGTTCCCTAAGGAGTGTCACTCTGTCAGAGTTGACATTAACTCCAGCGCTCGTGGATAAAGCCGTAAATATGGCTCCGTCGGTCGCCTTCCAGTCGGTGGAGCCTGAGTTGAACGACTGGACAAAGGGCATTCCAACCCCATCAGTGCCATCAAGCCTTGCAGAGCTCTCTATCTCGCAAAGTTCTGCGATCACAAAGTATTTCTTTGGAAGCCAAATGCAACCAACGCTGCCAAATCCCGGGTCGCTCCGTGCTCTCACACTAGACGGTCACGGGGAAGACAACCGATCCAATATCGAAAATGCGTGCCGACACACGGCAAAGACGCTCGAGGAGCTCAACATATTCAATAGCGATGTCCCTGGTAAGTATGTCCTCTCTCTGGCTCGACTCAGACACTCTGAGCTCCAACACATTTAGAGTTCCGTGTGGGCGCCAAGTCTAAGTTGCGCCCCGTGTTCCCGGCATCGTTTCCACATCTCAAAAAGCTGCAAATGCATATAAGCATTCCCGGTGGCTCCAAGTGCCCGCTGCCCGCCGCCATCGCGGCCCTGCTCACGCCAGATGCCACACCACTGCTCGAGGAAGTGGTGTTTTCATTTGCCTATACGATCTGCGACCAGCCCGGCGACCTGCCGTTCGTGTTCACCACGGACACCTCGAAGAGACTGGATCGGTCCCTCATCAGGCATCCGCGTCTCAAAAGCGCGGAATGGGACATGATGTGTTTATATTACGGTGATGACAGCACAACGTTCCCGCCACCCGAGGACTACCTTGCTGCGTTCTCGCAAAAGCTCAGCCGCGCCTTGCCGCGCGCATCACGCGCCGGAATTGCACGCGTCGGCGGAGCAGGTGTCGATTTGGGCGCTGTTGGCTTTGTGTAAGGCACTTCAGTTGAGGTTTGAGAAGACGAACAAGCAAGAACTGAGCAACGTGAAAGAGGTGCATTTGCATCTGTACATACAAGTAGTACAGTAGTACATTGAATCAACTTGGAGCTCGGCCCCATAGACACACACTCGTGTTCTGTTGCTCGGTAGGCGAGAACTGTGCGAATACTCTGAAGCTAGCTTCAGCACCAAAGATACGACAGATGGCAAAGCCCACAAACCTTCCCGGAGCAACAAAGCTATCGGTGTTTGCTCTCCCAGAGCTGACTTTGTTATGTCCCACCATCTTCGTGCCCCCCGCCCGCGAAATAATCCCGATAAGGACAAGTAAGGCTACTTTCTCAAGTCAAGTCAAGTTCAAGGCAAACCGAGACCATACCTTGCTTGTCGCTGAGCTGGTCTCCAACGTAGCAGCTGTTTTTAGACGAGAAGAGCGGATGTGGGGAAGCAGGACAAAAACGACACTAAAAGATTGTTTAAGCCGATATAGATGGGCGGAAACTTGAGCTAGTCACGCAATGCATCGTGTGCCGCCGCTTCAGGCGCCGAAGATCAGCGTAGTAAAAAACGGCGTGTAAAGGATGGAGCGCAAAAGGAGCAGGAGTAGGAAATTTGTGGCCGACGTTGTGCGGAAGGAGCGAGATATGCCATCGATATCTGCGGCGAGACGATCTGGTCGGGGAGAGTCAGAAGAGGAGCTCGATGCAAAAAAAACGACATACAAACGAAACTACACTTGCGCAGGCTCTGAAATAAAACTGTCAGCCATGATAAGTTTGACACAATATGAAAGCTCACCAGAGCAACGAATCGGGACCGCCACATGGAGGTAGTGAATTCGGCGGAGTAGATGTGTGGTGGAGCGAGCGAAAGATGATTGTATGAGTCTATTTGTGGCGGGTCTAGGTGGGGCTTATCGAAGGGGAATTGACAAAGCAACGGTCGAGCACAAGCAACACTGTCAGGCTGACTGGAAGTCCTCGCAATGGGAGGGAAGGTGGTGTGGTATGGCAGGTATGTTGCTATCGTGGAGGGGGATGATGACCCGATTGAAGGGCGGGAAGGTCAACGAGCGAATCCCGATAATGCGGTTTGATGGGAACGGGAGGACGAAGCTAAAAAAACGCAATTCAACGCCTGAATATGGGTGGTAGCGGGGAAAACGCACCATATGCATGGGTCTTCATTGGAAAAAGGAGCGGCGCCGGCGCTGCGGGGGTATAGACAAGCCCCCCGCGAGCGATGTCCTGAGAAGGAACCGAGGTGGGGAGTTCTTCCTTAGCAAGCACACGACGGCCACGTCCTCAGAGACATGCGTGCTCACGCGTTCTCTAAAGCGCACTGGAGGTATCTAGAAAATGGAATGAGCAAAGAGGGCAAGGAGAAATGGAGCAGCTTGACGCACCTGAGCAGACCAAGAGCGGCGTAGAAGCACCCTACCAACGTCACCGTCCCTCTACAAGCCCATCTCGTTCCCTTTCCGCCCGACTTTGCTGCTCGACAGCCCCATTTTCAGTTGCGTGGGTGAAGGAGAAGGAGAGTGACACGCATAGCCACAGTGGTGGTGGTATGCGTGACTTTCTAGCGGGTAGAGTGGAGCCTGAGGACAGGTCGCGCGATGGAGCTGAACGCGAGGAAGGTCTTCTTGTCGACTCGTCATGGTCGCGCGACGCGCAGAAGAAGGGGTGACGTGATTTGTAATTTGTCACACGTAATCTTTTGGCTCATCTGTCATGGACTCTCCCTTCACCGACAAGCTAGGCACTAACTACGCCCCATCCGACAGCGAGATTGCTCAAATACGCAAGGCTATAGCCTTGCAAACGGCCATGATCGCAGACTTGGATCATCAAATCGATGCTCTCCGCCAGCGACGGGACACCATCCAGGCCTCTGTCGATGCGCAAAAGGCTCTAATTTCGCTGCCTCGGCGTCTCCCTCGCGACCTCTTGGAGGAGATCTTCTACGCGTGCCTTCCGAAGGACACCAATGCTGCCATGGTGGTTACCGAAGCACCGCTGCTTTTGACGCGGATCTACTCAGTCTGGCGCGATATTGCGCTGACAACGCCGCGGCTGTGGGCCAGTCTGCACATCCCTCTCTCGTTCTTTGCGGGGACCGTTGACAAGACACCAGCACTAGCAGAATGGTTCCGTCGCTCCGGCTCTTGTCCACTGTCCTTATCGATTGTCGGCGAGCGCCGGTATTCACAGCCTGAGTGGGGTACTGATTGGGGTGCCAATTCCGGCCCGGTGAACCCTCTCACCGACACGTTTGTCGAGCCAATTGAGCGACTACTCCTCGCCAATACCCACAGGTTGTGTCACCTTCAGCTTAATACGTATACGGTGCTCACAATGACACATTTTCTGCAACAACCACTGCCAATGTTGTACTCCCTTGAGGTCGCTGAACCTCATGACTGGACCATCACGCGGACGCTGAGAATCCTTCCTATGGTCTCCATCAATCGATCCACACTCCGAAAGCTCTCGATTCCCTACTTCCAGCTTCGAGACGGGATCAGAGACTCGCCGGACGGGAGGCTATTCTGGGAATTACTCGAACACGGAAGCTGGAGCCACATAACACATTTAACTCTTGGCCTTCAAGTTGATCAAGCTACTCAATTTGGTAACACACTGGGACGGATTTTGTTTTCTGAGGCAATAGGCATCCTGAGGTGTTGTACACAGCTGGAGGACTTCCGGTTTGCTCCTCGGCAACCGCGGCTTGAGGGGTATGACTCGGACTGGGATATTCAAGCCACCACTGGCAGTCACTCGCAAACACGTCCTTCTTGGCCCGACAAATGGGAGCATACCCCACCCTTGCGTGTGCTTATTGTCTTTGGGGCGAAGGATCCGAGTTACAGCTTCACCCTGTTTACTGACTTCTGGAATACGCTCCCTCCCATTCTGCATCTTGTGCAGCTGGCCATTGATGTGCCTGATATCGTTGCTCCCACTGAATTAGACGGTCTGCTGGAAAAAATCCCCGCGCTCGCATCACTCACGCTGGCGCTACAACCTCTCGGTCCCGCCAGCGAGTACTGGCAATATCCGCGTACCTACGGCTTTGGGACTATCGACGGGCTTGATGCTGCTCTCAATCAACTTCACAACGGGCAGGGTGATTACCTGCCCTGGCTGCCCACTGTTGCGTCATTTCTGCGTCTCCTCACTCCCAGCTGTGGGCGCGCTCTGTGTCCAGATCTCCGCCAACTGATCGTTGCCAACTGCCTGCAGCTCCCCTTCCGCACAGAAATTCTGGACATGTTCCTCACGAACCACGTTGCACAGAGCACCCATTTCCGACACCTTCAAATGCATTTTGTTGGTCGCACGCAAGCCGTAGCGATCTCTCCCGAGTGCTTTACTCATTGCAGTGCAGCAGGCTTAAATATTGAGATCACAGGATGCAATAATGCAAACCAGCATGAGGTCATCATGCCCTGGCAGGCGCAGGTACCTGTGCCAAAAGCACTCAGGCTGGCGACCACAGGGCGGATGAATATGGCCTTCAACTAATAGTCTCATCTCTGTAAAATAGTTTCAGGATTAGATTGGATATACACTGCAACTGCCATAGGATTTTCACCAGTCGTAGAGAGCATATGCCCAGGAATTGTCGAAAAGTCCGTAAGTGTAAAATGAAGCAAGTCCGTAAGTACCGTAACAAAGAGAAAAACCGGGGAAGAATAAGAAAAGTAATCAACTATGCAGGACGAACGTCGTCGAAGCCGCTGCCAAGGTAGACTGCGCGGGGGGTTCGATTAGTCAATTATCCAGTCGGGATTTGTCCAATGTAGGAGGTGAATGCCATTCGCTGAATGGGTTTGGGGGTAATTGAAGAGGGACAAGCCACGAGCGCGCATTTTGCTCCCCATCTCACAAGCCACACCCACACCCACACCGCCCAAATGGCTCCTGTCGACAACGCGCCGACGTGCTGTTCCACATCGCATGACAGGCCCAGAAGAATTGGGGCCTCGGAAGTCGATATATGGGAGCAGGAGAGACAGTTGCTATGGCTGTAGGTCTTGCGTGCGGCATGAAATATTGTCTGCTTTTCGTGCCAATGCGGGCACGTGACATTACTTTTCGGATAGCCCTAGGATGCAAGTGGAGACGGGGGCGAAGATGGCGAATGTGTTTGGAGAAGCTCGAAGGAGGTATGGGAAGCCTGCGTTGCACCATTTAGCCCCACAAGCTTCTTTTCCAGACTTCGGATTCAGAGCATACGCTCCCGTCGCTAACTCGCTGGGCATCTGGGCATTGTGGATTGGCTCGTGTGGCTCAAAAAGCAGCAGCGGTCGTAGCAGAGGCAGAAGGGGAGCATCTTCATGGGGAGGGAAAGCTAGAGACGTCAGGACAGACAGCAAAGTCAAAATGGCGCTTCACGCACGAAAAGTCTCCAGCAAACGCAAGGTCTGGGCCCGGGTAGCTTCCGGGGGCGGCAGGAAGTCCTTTACCCCAGCGAATCGAACTGCGGACTGTCTGGCCAGAAACGACTGCTCAGGAAGTCAGCGAATATACGAGAAGCGAAAGACAGGGCTGCACGCACCTGAATCCAGACGACATGCCGCAGCCATGCTGGCCTGCCCAAAGCCTGACATCAGCAATACTGGATATGAGCTCGAAGGCCGGAATACAGAGCTAAGGCGTTAAATCGACTGTCAGCAGGTACGAGTATGAAAATTTTCACGCACATGCGGCGGCCTTATTCCGGTTCCCTGCCGCACTCCTGCTGCCCAGACTGCCTTCCCGCCTCCCAGTCCGTCTCGAGGGCCCCTGTGAAAGGACGGCTTCGGCTCAGCAAAGGCCATGTCGGTGAAAGGAAAGCCATGCACAAACCTTTCACTTTCACGCCCATCATCCTTTCCCCGGGGCCGCGGCTCACACTCAGTCCCTTCGTGTTTTGAGCGCTCCGACGAGTGCGGCTCAATGTGGAGTGGGTGGGTGAGCAGAGAAGAGGCGAATTGTGGCGGCGATGGAGGGAAAAGGCTGAGGGTGTCACAGTAGCAGTAGTGACCGCACTTTTCCTCGATGCACTCACTCGCCGCGGCTCGCTTAAAAGAGCTGGAAAAACTCCCCGCTCCACACAGAGTATGAAGCCCACCTGCCACACCGCCAACTAACCACTGTTCTTAGGACCTTGCGCTTGCCGCTTGCCAGCCCAGTTGCTCTGATCTTGACCTTCGTCGTTTTGAGCAGGTGTGGGCCACGACGGAGGGTCCACTGCGCGACATCCTGTTCAACGTCTTCTTTGCCATACTCGATCCAACTCGCATACCAGAGGCTGCCACGGTAGAGACCCTCTCCCCGAGAGCGCAAGGCCAGATTCGACATGTGTTGTGGATTCTCGGCTATCTTTTTGCGGGTGAAGACGTGAAAAAGCTGCCGGATGGCGTCTTCGATATTGGTAGCTTCGTGGTGTCCTGGGTGGACTTTCTTCATGCCAGCCACCCATTTCTGCTGCAATTTGCGGAAGGGACCGGCATAGTTCTACCGCCCAAACCAGTGCTGTTGCTTTCGCTGACGCTTTTCATGCACTACGTGGAATCCAAGTGGGTGGAAATTTATAAAATCGATACCGCGCGTCTCGCGAACCGTGACACTGGCACTGGCGGCCCATCCCCCGCCATTCAATCCACTGTTGGATGTGTTAGGCTATTGGTCGAGACCTGGAAGTTTCTTCTCGCTCAGCCAGCGCCTGACATATTCCTCCTTTATTCGTGCATCTGCATGTTCCCGCAGTTTATGGAACGTGCACAGCTCCACGAATTCCTCGATGCGTGTGGTACCAGTCTCGACACCTTTACGCGACTACTCAAACAGCACTTGACACTAGTGGAGGACATCCCCCTCAAATCCAGACTTGTCGGTCACGAATTTCTCTCCTCTAGTCCGCTGCAAATAGCTGTGGAGGTCAATACTATGCTAACAGGTGACAACCCACGCAACCCCAATGCCGCCGATGCAATGGCAGTTAGCTTAGCCTCGCATCACATCTTCAATCAAGTTTTTCGGGTCCTCAAGACTTTGTTTGATCCCGAAAACGAGGATTCCGTTTCCACTCATCGGCACCACACGATCTGGCTTATGACGCTCCGGGGCGCGCTCACCGTCATGAACATCGTCATCAGCACAGGTCCTCGTACTCTCCACAAGGTTCTACGATGCGGCATGGTTCCTTTAATGCTGCATGCCGCGCATTTTATGCCCAACGACGACATATTGTTGCGACTGACACACCTGCTCCAGAACGGGCTTCCTCCTGGCCTGCCATATAAAGCTGTGCTCCCCCTGCTAGCAAACTCGATCCGAACCGTCGAGGCGTCTGGCTTGGGGAGTATCCTAAGCCACGCACACCCCAAATTAGCTCAGCTGTGGAAGAATCTCAAGACGAGCGCCGCTTATCACGAGCAGATCCTTTCTGACTTTCGAGTTGGGAGGTATCTTGGCCGTCGGCTGCCGCAAGCCCATCGGCTGTCGGCTTGCGACAACCCGCCTGTAACACCTTCTTCTTGTCTGTTCTTTTAGTTGTGCTTACATCTAGCCAGTGTGGCCAAATTGATGATCGCGAGAAGTTTAGTCAGTGCTCTTTGTGTCGGACTCGCGTTTATTGCTCGCGGGTTTGCCAAAAGGCTGACTGGAACGAGGGCAAGCACCGTGCCACGTGCGCCGCGACAAAAGTGAAATACGCTGGTATGGAACTCCTCTTTCGTCTGCATAAACGTCCAGTACTCACAGGCACCCGTTCAGACACTCGGGCCATCTTTTCCAAAGAACAGCTCGCTTTTTTTCGCAGCGCGCTGCACGCGTTCTACCTCGAAAATGCCGCCGCCCTCCATTGCATCCGCGCCTTGCACCGTCTGTCCTCTATCCAACAGCAAGCGTGCGCGGGTGAAGACCCTCGGCCGGTGATCATCACCGTCGTCAGCTTCGAGTCCGGCAAGCCAGAGGTCGAAGACATCCTGATGGGTTCCGCCCTCGACCCCGACCGGCGTGACATATTCCAAAATCGTCTGCACGACATTGACGATTGGATCGACCGCGCGCAGCGGAGCAATGGCCGACTGGTGCTGCATCTAGTCACCGTGTTGGTCGGGCTGGACCGCCACTGTCTGGTCGTTCCGTTGCGCATGAACACGTCGTTCTTGGAGGATACCGCGCTGCGTCTGGCCCGCTCTATGTGTGGGCCTCAGCCGCCACCAGACCCGGCAGAAATGGATCTGCAAGTCGTGAATGGGTTAATTCAAAAGTTCACAGCATGTACTCAGGCGAGTAAAATACCGCCTTGCCTGTTAGCTATCCACCAGTGAACTAGATGGTTATATTGCTTTCCCCCAAGTTGTCGGTGAGTCGAAGCAGTCAGTCTTCTTCACCCGTTCTCACCCACAGAGGCGCTCTTCCTCAAAGAGTTCGGCAATGGTATTTCCGTTTTGAAAAATCGATTGAAGAAACGTATGTGTTAGCGATTGACGGCTGGGCGTGCGACGAGGCACTGCCTGATGTTGATCTGACAGATCGGGGCCGGGATGCCCGACCGGTCGCCAGGGTGGATGATGGGCGGTAACGGGGTAACGGTCCTTACGGTTTGCCTCTGTACTACTAGGAGGTGCAAACTACGACTTCTACGGGTCGGCTCTCGCGTAAGCCAGCAAGGGAAGCGGTGTATCTTTAACACAAACCGTCGGTGCTGCATCACCTAATACTGCGGGCTGGCTGTGTCTCACGAGGGCTTTCGAGCAAGGGTCTGGCTGGTTGTGGCTGGACAGGGTACTCGGTGACCAACGGCGGGTTCTGGTGCAGGTCTAGGCACTGGACATTCACCTGGCAGCGCTTTTGGCTGGGTTTACTGGGAGTACAAGCCTGGTAGCATGTGCTGGACAACAACAAGCATCAACTGGCTGGAAACTGGGTCGGAGCCGGTACGGCAGGCGATAAGTCGCAGAAGGGTGGTGTCCCCTGCGCGGGCAACAACTGGGGTCAGGACTGGGTGCTGGGCGAAGTTGTAGGGGCACGGGGCGTTATCCCGGAGCATGGGCTCTAACTGTCAGCGCAGATTGGTGCTGGGAAGAATGGGCTGGGCTTCAGGGGGTGCGCGGCAGGCTGGGGATTCACAGGGGCACTGGGAATGACGTTGGCCGGATTTGGGCTGGGGTCAATGTGTCGGAGTGTTGCTCGGCGGACAAGATACAGGTCGATCGGATATCGGCTTGGGACTCGATTACGCAGATGGTCAGCGCATCGACTTGCGTGGGACTGGCTGTGGGCAGACCTTGGGCTGGGCGCGGGGCTGGGATAGGCTGTGCGTCGGACCAGGGGGTGAACGACCTGGCTGGATGGGATTTCTGGCTGGGCGGATGGAACGCCGGAGGCTGGACTAGGTCTCGGGGCGGGGGCATGCGGACTTTGCATGCGGTTACGTGTCGTCGGTCGGATCGGGCTGGCGGGACGGGTTGGACGGATGGAGCTCGTTGGAGGGGACTGGTTTTGGGTGCCTCTCGCACGAGGGGGTGTGTTAGCGATTGACGGCTGGGCGTGCGACGAGGCACTGCCTGATGTTGATCTGACAGATCGGGGCCGGGATGCCCGACCGGTCGCCAGGGTGGATGATGGGCGGTAACGGGGTAACGGTCCTTACGGTTTGCCTCTGTACTACTAGGAGGTGCAAACTACGACTTCTACGGGTCGGCTCTCGCGTAAGCCAGCAAGGGAAGCGGTGTATCTTTAACAGTATGTGCCAGCAATCTGCCTGTACTTCCAACTGTGTGATGCTATGTAGTATCACAGATTACAGCTACATGTACAGTCGCGCAATGTAGCCTAGTCAATCTATTTGCACTCACCCAACGTTTCTCAAGATTCTCTGCAAGTGGGCCGCATTCCGCCGGTGCTTGGACGGTATCCTGTGTGGCGCCTCGAAGTCGGTGTTGAGCCGAACGAGCTTGGTGGCACCGCTCGACACTGCGTTGAAAGCTCTGCTGGCGATTCCCTCGAGGAAGGGCCGGATATCGACGGGCCGGGAGCCGGTCCCCGCGGGGCCAACACGTAAGGTGAGCGACTCGAGGTTGGGGAGGGTGTCGAGGCAGGCAAGATCCGCCGCACATTGGATGGCCTCGGCGGGGTCCATGTCGAATGCAGTGACCGTCAGGTCTTTCACTTGGTTGAATGTGGAAGACAGAATAACGGCGCTAAAAGCCCCATATGTGTGCGGGACTGCTATAGATAGGGTGGTGACGCTTGCAGAGGAGCGAGTGATAAAGGCGAGCAGCCGGTAAACGTCCTCCATGTCGACCCGAAAGCGGGAGATCCGCAAGTTAGTGAGGGCGGGCAAGGCTAGAGAATCGAGGATGAAAGTGTTGTCACCGCTGCCGGCCAGCGACAGCGTGGACACGCAAGGCAGCACTACAGGGAACGCGAATTCAGTGTCAGCCTCATTATAAAAGCCATTATAGAGATCTGGCGAAGTGATTGAGAGCTCCTCCAATCGTACTAGCAGTGCAAGCGTGGAGAAAAACTGGTCGTAGGACTTGAGGTGGAGAATGGTCAGTTTCCGCAGCTGGTGCTGAGGAAACACGAGGTTGGAGAGTAGATTCGTTGTCAAGGCGCTGACACACAGGACCGCAAGACACGGAACGCAGATATGAACCTCTAGGGCGTCTTCTTCGAAGGGATCCCGGATGTCAAGAGTGAGTTTTGTCACATGCGGCAAGTCTACGTCCCCCTCAGCCAGCCAGATGCAGGGCCAAACCACACTTCTTAGAGAAGCTTCTGCCCATTGAGCGGCGGAATCAAAGACATAACAAGGAAGATAAAGCTCAAGCGGCTTATCTGCTAGCGAGAATGTTAGGATTTAGATCCGGTGTCCCCCGGTCAACCGGGAGACAATCCCGGCGCATGTGATAAGTAATACAGGGTGTATTTAGATCGCGTGGGGCGCTGTTGGCGCCCCACTTTGTTACGTCCACTTTCCATCGGTTTCTGGTCAACGGAGCGACTGCTATCGCTAACATAACAAAGTCCCAGTCCTCGTACTCTGGCCCAGCTTCTCTCTCACCCTCATTTACGACCTCCTACCCCTCTGGTTATCCCCCCCCCCTCTGCCTCACATGTCTGACACCACCGACTCGCGGACCGTCTTACTGCTCAAGGACGGCAACTACCCCGAATGGGTCATCCGGACGAAGTCGCGTCTTGTCTTGAAGAGGCTCTGGACTATGATCGAGCCGCGGCTAGTGCTCAGCGATCCGGACGACGAGGACGAGAGGGATAAGGCGCTGGTAAAGGCGCTGAAGGAGCGGGACGAGGAGAAAATGATGGAGGCGCACGCGGAATTGGTGCTGTGCCTGTCGAGCTCACAGCTGGCGCACGCGAAGGAAAATGATCCGCGGAAGGTGTGGTATGCACTAGCGGAGATGCATCGCGTGCAAGGACTGGGTGCGCAGTTGGCGCACAGGCGGAAGATGATGGCCATGGTAAAGAGCGAGGGGGAGTCGATGGCGGACTGGATTACGAGGGTCGTGGCCGCGGCGGGGGAGTCGGATCTCCTGGAGGCGCCGCTTAGCGATCTCGAGATGATCCTAGCGCTGACAATGGGCCTGGGCGACACTTACCAGGACCTTGTCTTCGTCATCGACAACCTGGACGACGATGAACTCGACGTTAAGGAGGTCAAGTCGCGGATGCTCAAGTGGCGGATCGGGGAGAATTCGGGCCGGGAGACGAGCGCGATGAAAGCGACCAAGTTACGGGTCTGCTTCAAGTGTGGTCAGCCGGGCCATATGAAGAAGGATTGTCCGGAGGCGAAGGGCAAGGGAACGGGGGAGCCCTATGGCAGGGCTGGTGCGGCATTTGCGTCTGAAGCTCACGCGTATTGACATGCTTGGATTGCGGGGGAGTGTTAGGATTTAGATCCGGTGTCCCCCGGTCAACCGGGAGACAATCCCGGCGCATGTGATAAGTAATACAGGGTGTATTTAGATCGCGTGGGGCGCTGTTGGCGCCCCACTTTGTTACGTCCACTTTCCATCGGTTTCTGGTCAACGGAGCGACTGCTATCGCTAACAGAGAATACGATGGGCAGTCCTCGTGTGCGTGCCAGAAAGTGTTCAGCCAGGGAGTCTCGCTTGTCGAAAGTAGCCGTGTAGCATAGTTGTGTCCACAAGCGGGGGTATCCGATTGCGGTGCTGCGCCAATACCGACAGACGGCAGTGACTTTGAGGAGCGTACGATTAACTTCGCGCCCAGAACGCGAGGACGATATGGCTGCTGCAAATATGTGACCAAGGATTTCGGCAGGGAGGGTGTTGACGGGAAAAGAAATGGTTGACAGCTTCCGTTCGATGACTTCCAACCGCTCCTCGAGGCGTTCTAGCTGTGGCTTGAGCTCCGCGATTGCCCTTTTTATTTGCTCCGCCTCTTCTCTCAGCTGCGAGGTGGCAGCGCCAGTGAGCTGAGGGTTGACCGGGGAGATGAGTTCACGGATGAACGAGAGAGCTTCAAGTTTGGCGGCATAGTTGTTGCTCATATCAGGCCTACAGAGAGCCAAGTTGAGGTTGTCGACAACAAGCTGTACTAGCACCTTACTCACCGCAGGTACACTTCTTACTGACTTGTATGGGATATGCTCAGCGCTGTTAGATCAGCGACTTGAACTTTGACGGAAAGCTTTGGTCAACGGCAAAAGGAAGATCGTCACGCGTCACTTGCCTCCTCCAGCTACGTCGATGTCAATGGACTCCAACCCTACAAGTACACGCACACACATCTCCCTCAGCAACACGAAAGCCACGGAGAAGAAAGCCCGGAGGGACCACCGGGCGGGTGAAGGCGGAACCGGGGCGGGCGACAAGGTGCGTTTTGTCGAGCCATTTCTTTGCTTCTTCTACCCAACATCTCATGGCTAGTTCGAAGATGCCAACTCTTGCCGCTCTCCTGTTAGGTTGCCCAATACCACTCAACAGCCTTCGCAAGGTTTTGCTATGCGAGTTGTCGTCTGACGTTCACTTGGTCCTTCGCTACTCGTCTGCATACTGCGGCTGCTCAGAAACCTGCTGTAATAACGGAAACAGGGTGTGGAAGCTCTCATGGACGCGGAGCTGGAAGCGTTGGGTGATCATCTGTGCGTTTTCGTTTTTTTGCACTCCTTCCTTCCTTGACGTCGCACTTTCAAGCATGATTTTGCCCTCCGTTTCCTACCGCTTCTCACTCAATCTCGCACGAAGACGGTCGCTCGAAATCCTCTCTTTGCGCGAAGTTCGGAACTGCTGAGAGAGAACTTGAACGAGCTGCCCATGTTGCGAGTGTGAGGCATTCACAGGGAGGGCTTCAAGTGGTGCGTTAATTCTGCGTGATCGTTTCTAGCGACTGCTGAATATAGCTGCTATCTCTGCATCTAGTGCATATTAATCCTCGCCATTATGTACAGCATCGACAAAACCCAGCCCTCGACCCCTTCCTGCGTCTTGCGAGCTACCATTCGGCACTTCCGCTCTCATATCCCGACCTCTGCACAATCCTCATCGGCGTATCTGATGCAACGAGGTCTTCTCTTGCATATTCACGCTCCCAAATAGCCACACCGCCGACCCTTCTCCCATCTTACGTCGCCGCCTTTTCCTTGGATGTCACACTGGTTACGGTCACGCATCCAGGCGACAATTTTACATCTCCGTGCACACTCTATCTGGTGCTCTACTAAGTGTACCTCCAGACGTAGTATGATTCCCTCGTCGCTCTCAATTTTTTCCTCAGCCTATATCCATCGTTCAGACGCTCGTCGTGCCCGTTCTCCTCCATCCACACCATCGCAGCACAATCGACTGCAACTCCGCGACGCGCGTTAACGGGGCTCGGTCCTTTGTATCCGACTTTGGAGGGTGGTGATGTGGTGAAGAATGTCCAATTGCTCCGCTGGTATCCACGGTGGAAGGGGTTCGCTCGTGGACTTTTGTCGGTGGATGGGTGGTGACTGCGATTATTGGTTTTGCAAGTCCCTTCTGCTGTCTATGCTTGCATTGTCTAATGGCTCCACTACAGCCTCTACGAGTGCGCTGTCTGCGAAAGCAAACGATGTCAGGAAGCATTTGAAGGCATTGCGAACGTCTATCGTACATCAGGACACTGCTGTTGATGTCTGAAAAACTATCAATGTAATCGTCTTTCGCGGGAGCACAACGATCATCTACACCCAACCCTACATTGACATGGCGCGCAAGCTTATTCGGAGAAAGTGCAATGTGTTGTTACTGTCTTACCGCGGGTACGGATATAGTGTCTGTTCCTCATAGACTTATTGACGACTGCTAAGATTCGAAAAGTCTGCCGGAAAGCCCTCAGAAAGCGGTATCTCTTCCTATCTCCTATCAGCCAAGACGATCTTGCTCAAAGCATATCTATTAGGCCTCCAGTTGGATGCACAAGCTACATCACGAGCAAGCATTCTCTTTCCGCCCTCTCGGCCGAAACCTTCCTTGGTCAGTAATATGACAAGGGTGAAGACTTCGTAGCGGATGGCTCCGAATCCTTGTTCTCTCTAATCAAGTTCGTCGCAGGCTTACGATACAAGTCTTGTACATGCTCCTTCATATGCCAAAATCTTGGCAAAATTTGGGCCCCATGTTGTCCCTGTGGGTTTGCTCGCGGTCATTCGCGCTCTGCTGCTACCTCTGCAACACTTCCTTCTTTTTTATACTTAGTCGTTTAGACCTTCTATGGTCAATCCATTTCGTCCAGCTTATTCTGCGGGCTTTGCTTGCTTATGTTCCTCCTCATTCAAGTGAACTTTCGTGGCAAATCCGTGTCCATGCGGACTAGTAGGTTGATCTACGTTCCATTCATGGAAGGTGTCTGCCCAAATTTGGACACCCTCTCCTCGATCATGATGCGACGGGCATTCGATTGAGATGATGATATTGGGGAGACAGTCTTGATACTACTGAATACTTATACAGTATAGGTAGCAGCGATAATAATTCGTCCTTGGTAACTAAAAGAGCGTATGAATATAAGTATCCGAGTTAAGGAAAATCAAGGAAAGTGAGTATCCCGGAAACAGTCCTACGTCCCTGCGTTCAATATACCTCGTCCACATCCCACTCGCTCAGCTCCACAAGTCGACGATGGATCTCGGGAAATGCAGCTTCGAGCTCCGTCTCAGAAGGAAATTCAATTCCCTGCGGAAGAAGCGCCAACAACTCCAGCAACCCGTCTGCGAGCTCGTTACTTGTCGACCACAAATGCACCTCCATGCGATTAGCATACCCCGGGCAAAGGACCACATGACAGCCCGTACGGAGCTGCTCCCCCCAGTCGTATGCGCGAAAGCGGCATCCGTCCAACTCCGGTGTTGAGAGGGGAATAACCGCAACCGTAAGCGGCGCATCAGCCGTCCGCGTGCGGTAGTCGAACACGGTGACAAACCGCGTCTTCGGCCCACGCTCGTACATGAATTCAAGCTGACTCAGGAGGATGCCGAACTTGTTGCGCTGGTAGTCGCTGAAGACGATGTATCGGATGAAGCGCGATTGTCGGGTGTCAAGCTGGTCAATTGGGAGAGCCGTGGTTTTGCACAGTCCACGATGCCCGCGTTTCCAGCCCGCTTTTTGGCAGGCCCTGTCGCAATAGACGGCGAACCCGCAGCCCGCGCAGCGCTTGAACTCCGCCAACGGTTGGATGTTCTTGCACTGTCAAATCAGGTCAGCGTTGCTTGAAAATGGAAAGGAAGACAGCTTACATCAGGATTGTGGCACATCTGTCGGTGCACCCATGCCGGCGACCGGTAAAACGCGAAGCTGGTCGCTGTCTGCTGAAACAACAGCAACACGGAGTCCCAGGCAGCACGTATTTCGTTGTCGGCGCGCATTTCCCCGCTCCCCGCCCAGTTGCCTGACAGGCTAGCGCACTGCGAAGCAACGTCCCGATGAATCAGGGCGGCAGGGATGATGTCGTACAATAGGTGGAGAAAGAGTTCACGTGGAATCGAGTCGACGGCGTGATTGGTGAGGATCGCAGCGAGAATAGACATGACGCCGTCAAGTGCCCGCGGAAGGCATCGGTCGACGAATTTTGGATCGAGCAGCAAAATGAGCACTTTCAGAGTGTCCTCCATAACGTTCGCATAGTTAAGGTCGTTCAGTTTACCAAGGAGCCCGATTATAGCGCGTAGAGCGCCTGCTTCCAGGAGCGCCTCGGCGTGGTCAGACCCAGCTGCGAGCGAAGTCAAAGCCAGGAGGGAACTGAGGTGCGGTGGCACAGGCATAACGTGGCAGTCACAATGCTGGGGAAATTCCAACCCGCCTACAATGAGCGACATGAGATCACGGCTTCCGTTGGCAAGATCAGACGAAAGCTCATCCAAAATGGCGGGCGTTGGCGTTCGCAGGTGAGACGAGATGATGATATGGAGCATAACAAAAGCAGCCGGGCCACCAGCCTCATGGACCGAGAGGGTCTTCATACGGTCCCACACTCGCCCGCAAAAGGCAAGCACACCGGGTGTATTGCACAGTGCAGCAATGGACTCGTTGCCGTCAGCCGCAGGAACAAATTGTAGGGGCCCAATAAGCACAGTGAAGATTGGGTGTTTTGCCGGTACAGCCTGGGGGTGGTAGACAGCGATATTCTCGAGGAACTTGACCCAAGGCCAGACCCGAGCCCATAATTCGGCTTTGGCAATGTTGTCTATAACCATAGCATCGCACATCCTAGTCAGAACTTGGAGAGCAAGTACCGCGCGGAGGACAGCGTCGGGGAGAAGGTCATCCTCCATTGTCAGAGGCTTCTTGGGAATGTCGAGCGGATCGAGATTGGCGTGGACAAAGGGGATATAGAAGCGAGAGAGTTTTTGGAGGGCGAGGCAGTGAGCTGCAACCGCTTCCCAGTCCTGCAGGGATTTATTGGCAGCAGCTTTGCCGCGGTTCTACGGAGGGAGAGGGTTAATTATAAGAGACGTCTCCGTCGTTGAAAGGAGCGCACCTGAAGTCCGCGCGGGAGCATGTTAAGATTGAGTTGAGCAAGGCGGAGAGATGGATGCATGGTTGGTCGTTGTGAAAGTTGGGAATGTTGGAGGGCCAGTAATGGCCGTGGACAGTCCATTATAAGGGCATGCAACGCTAGTCAAAGCACCTGAAAGCGGAGGAGGCGCATTGTCCGCGCTCTGTTTGCCAGTGCTTGGTTTCCCCACAATGTCATGACAATATCGCAAGGCACAGATGAGGGTCCAATGAGATACACCAGCACGAGTAAACGGAAGGAGAGGAGGAGGAGGAGGAGCGTGCAGTTCGCAGCAAAGTACTGCGACATCGACGTTGCGGACATCCCGCGCCGGTGTGACAAAATGGTCACTCAAAATGGTCACTCGCCATTTTCTCTTCCGCCCCCTCTTTCTTGGGTTGATTCCCACCTGCTTGCCATGCTCATATGTTGTCGCAAACGCTCCAGCGCATCTTCTGGATGAAAAGCCCATGAATCTCACGATGGAACACCGCCAAATGTAAACGCGGCTGACAAGGGTGGAAGGAAATTTGGGAGTGGGCGCTTGCCAGTGCTGGTTGGATAACTGGGGCTTATTGACTGTGCGTGCATCTCTATTATGCCCTACTCCTGGTCTCACAGCGTTCAGGCAACGACTCACTTACGATATAACTGGGTACTCACTTGTCGTTGACCACATATCGGGAATCTCGATTCTCCTGTAGCAAGCAGGTACTAGTAGCGGCCTCTATTCACGCGCTCAGCCAACTGGCCGGGGACGACCTGCTGGACTCCCCACAACTCCTCCAGCCATCGACCAAGTTCCGACTTCCGCTCCCGGTATACATAGTCAGTAAACGGCACTTATCCGTTCACCGCCTCGTGCTGCCCCACAACCTGCAGCCATACCCTTTTTGCGTCCCGCAACCCCAGTTACACCGCCCGTCTTCGCAAACGCGTTCCTCTCCCTCCCCGCGTTGTCCACGACTGGCCATATATTGCGGCTTGCCCTGCTCAATTTCTTCGCCATTCAGCAGTGGAACTTGGCCTCAAAGTTGCCGATCATACCCACAACAGTGCCGAGGCTAATTCTCAGCGGCGCAAACAACAAGATTGTGCCGAGGAAACACATGGAGAGCTTATCGGAAATAGCAAGGGAACATAACACGGGAGAACCGTCCGGGTCGACTTGATTTGCGTCGCTGAAGACCCACATGCATGGTGAATTAATTTCCTGTTGCGCATTCCAGCAGGCTGATGAGCCTTGATAGCGGGTACTTTTTCTTCACCCGGGACGTTGGGATAAGGTCGACAAGTAGCTTCATTCTGTAACGGCTCCACCCGAATCGTACTCCGTTTTCATTCTATTCGACCCATGCCGTCATTACCAAAAGTCGCTTTTTGTTCAAGACGGGAACGAGGCGCTTTCCGCTGGCTTAAATGCACACCACTATGAACACGGCCTCCCATCTACCATGGCCCCATTCGCAATATGGCTCGTGAGTCGGTCTTGTTCTGTTGAAACCAGTTCGTTGACCTCTTCAAACTCCACAGGGCTGGAAGCTCCTGAGACACGGCCAGAAGTTCGCGCTGTACTCATTAGGCTACGTCGACACTCGAAGTGACTCGCGCTATCGCGCTAGTGCTCGTTTCACGCGCTGACGACGCCTGCAGAGATCTATGACCGGCCAAAGGACTATGGCCTCGAGTACGATTATCTCGAGTTGACAACGGCCGATGGTGTGCGATTGGAATGCTTCTTCGCCAGATACGCCGCGCAAAACGCCTCCCGCATCGAAACCCACGAAAGAATCCATAGAACCAACCTCGGAATACCTGTGCCAAACTTCGACGTGTGTTTCGCCTCTCTCGTTTCCTTCTGCTGATGTCGTGTAGGTGGAGCCTGTTGTCGCCAATGTGATTGTCTTTCACGGGAGCACAACGAGCATCGACACCCAGCCCTACATCGACATGGCGCGCAAACTCATTCGGAGGAAATGCAATGTTCTATTGGTCTCTTACCGCGGGTACTTACGTGTACAACGTGTTGTTCTTATTGACACCTTCTCAGATTTGGAGACTCTGCTGGAAAGCCATCGGAAACCGGTATGTTTCTCTGTCAGCGCAGAGGATTTTCGCTCAAAGTATTATATGTTAGGTCTCCAGTTGGATGCACAGGCTGCTTTGGACTACATCACCAACGATCCGTCTCTTGCGGCACTTCCGACGGTATTTGTTTTCCTATTCTCGACTCGTGCTCACACTAGTACTCCTGACAGTTCTTGTATGGGTTCTGCTTGGGCGGCGCGGTAGCGATTGATTTGGCGGCACGCAACCCGACCGCCATATCGGGAGTCGTCGTCCAGAACACGTTCCTTTCCGTCCCCCGCCTCGTCCGCGACTGGCGCTATATCGGATGGCTTGCCAAGCCCCTCGTGACGCAGCGCTGGGACTCCGCGACGAGAGTGCCGTCCATACCAGCCGCGGTGCCGATGCTCTTTCTCAGCGGGGCCAACGACGGGCTGGTCTCCAAGAAGCACATGGAGGGCTTGTGGGCGATCCGCAAGGGGGCGACGCCGTCTGAGTTGGACAGTTTTGAGTCGTTTGCGGGCGGGACACATCGTGAGTTTGTCTGTCTTGTGTTTTCACCGGCAGGCCCAGCAGCTGATGTGTTGCCAACAGTTTATACGGAGCTTTGCCCGGGATTTTGGGACAAGATTGATGCCTGGATCAACGCTGTTGTTCCAGTCGGTAATATGACCCGGGCGAACGCTTTGTAGTACATAGATGAGAGCGGATGACAGTGGGCCCGAATCTTCAGACTGTTCTGTCTTTTCAAGGTAGTCAGAGGCTTTCCGAGATAAATGTGTACGCTTTGCATAATATGACATAAGCAGCCAGCGTCAATGCTGGGGGAAGGATGCATAAGTAGTGCTGAAAGGTCGATAAACAACTATTTGCGTAGTCTCGTACCCAGACGTTCTTTCGAGAATCGCTCGCTGCGCGAGCAGAGTCCTGCGGACCGGTCCACGTGACTGATTGGAGATTTTGATGCAGGGATTCTCTCTAGAACGTCTGGGGCAGTTCGTATCAGAAATAGCAGATCCTGTCACATCAATTTTATCATATGATTATCGAGCCCATCAAACGGGACCGTAAATGGCTGACAAGACCCCTGAGTGGTCTCAAGAGTTATTTGCAATGGAAAACACCCTATCTGGCCAATGTCTGAGCTCACCGACGAGGAGTGGGCCTCTCTACTTGGAGAAGATGCCAATCCTGGCCTGAATGATGCAGACGAGGACTCCAGTGATGAGGAAGAAGACTCGGATAACGATGAGCCTATGCCCCTCCGCCCACAGTCGCCAACCGTGCTCTTATCGGAGGAGCCTCCAGCACCGGATAACATGCCTCAGCGTGTTAAACAAGCCCTTGCCCATTTGTCTGACCTGGGACTTGACTTCACAACCTTTGTGGACGCTGTTCTCTGGGGTAATGAGCCCTGTCGTCGCGACAGCATGATTCGCGGCACTCGCACAAACTTCATGAATAGCCCATCGTTTCCAAAGATCCTGGCACGGCTGTGGGACCCACCTCGACAGCAGAAAGACCGACCATCACGGCTGGTCATGGAGAACTTTGTGCAGCAAGCATGGTCAGATTTATTGGTCCAAGAGCTCAATGGGTTGGCACCATTCTTTTCGTCCAAGAAGGGAGAAGATGTGACTGTCAAAGCCCTCACGAGTCTCAACTTCACTGAGCTTACGGCTCAGGTTCAAGAGAGAGCCCCTCATCTCTGGAAGACTCTTTTAAATCTTGCGATGTCGGAGGATCAGAAGCGAAATACTCACAAAAATCCATCGAAAGTAAGTCTATGAGCATTACCTGAATTTCGTTTGACAAATCGTAGACAATTATTATGATTCTCGCGATGCTATCCTACTCTCGTTCACACAAACGGAACCTCTTCTAAAAAGCACTTTCCGTTTACGCCAAGTTCCGAGGGTTATCAGCGAAAGCATTCGAGGCGTTCCACGCAATGGGAATTTTGATGTCATACAAGTGGACAACAGACTCGGTTGAGAGTATTTCGAAGGCGTCGATGGAGGAGGTGGTTCAGCTGTTGAAGGTCTTCCAGTGGATCCTATCTTACGATAACATCCAGCTGGCGTTCCGAGTCTTTTCTCAGCGGCTCGATAACCTGGGCGAATTCGGGAGTGGATGTGCCGCTACAGTGTATATCAAGAAGGGCCTCTTACCTTTTCCTCCAGAAGTCAATCATGCCTTCCAACTCCATCGAGCAAAAGGAATGTTGAATCCAATCACTGTTGGCGATGTTCTCGACTTGTGCCAAAAGCATCAAGCCTCTATCGAAGCTCGCATGATCTACCACACACTCCAGTTCCTTCTCCAAACCACCGACTTTAACCTCGGAGCCTATCGGCACCGCGAGAGTGAAATCTTCAAAGCTCCCGATTGGCTAGACCCACTTCCCGCAGGCAAAGAGCATACTGCATCACAGTACCTGCTCGGTAGCGTCAATATCACCGAAACAAGTTACGAAGATCATGTCAAACTCATCGTGGAATGGCTGAAGCAGCTCGGAATTGAGGTACCTGAAGAACAGAAGAAGTTGGGACTAGAGAAGCTGATTGCCTGGTGCGGAGACCAACTGACTATTGATCGACTTCGAGGCCTTTTGGCGTTTCCGAGCTGGAGATTCGAATTCCTTTGATCGTCTTGACTGGATGCTGACGGTTTTTGGCTGGTTTCATCTTCAGATGGCTTACGCACAGTCAATCTTCAAGCAATACCTCGGAACTACCAAAGGCGAGGGCTTGCGAAAGGCTTTCTCCACGTTGAAGCGCCGTGGCCTCCAGACAGCCTCAATCAAAGGCCCATTCCACCAGTCTCTCGAGGAAGCAATCTACCATGTCACCGAAGCCCATCTTCTTGTTGAATGGAAACGAGCGGGACAAGTGTCGTCATTGCGCGAGCTGCAACGCAAGTCCCCGACAGAGCTGAAGAAGATGGCTACAACAATAGTAGCTGAGCGAGCATCCACGGATGCTCTCAATAAACTCGCATTTGAATGGGATGACAACAAGGCAGCAATTGACGAGGGCCTCCGCCAGACGATTATGTATAATCGGGATGCATTGCAGTATATCGTGCTTGACGAAGCTATCAAGAACGGCGACGTCGGCATGATGGAGGCACTCTTGCCGACACTACTCTTCCGCTTCATCGGTGGTGGGAACAAAAAATACCAGGTTGAAGTCTTGGAATTGCTCCAGGGACTTGAGCGAGAATGGACACTAGAAGTGAAGTAAGCACAAAGCTATGTTTATTGTCTGCGCATGCTGAAGTCTTACAGGCAGTTTATTCGTGAAAATTGTTGGGTCATCAATTTTGTCGGTCGTCGCAACTCCCATGTGCCTATCGACCAGGCGCAAGAGCATAACATCAAGGATATCAAGGTAACATACCGCTCAGAGGGCTTCAAGATCAACTGGTCGTACTTGAAGAAACTCCATCCCGCTATACCAGTCATTCGAGCTCTCTGCGAACACATGGAACATGAGTTCGGGACAGATACGCGAGGCAAAAAACATTCCGCACCACGAAAGGACTCATCAGCAAAATCGTTTTTTTCTGGGCCGTCTGGGCTATCTAGCTGATCTAGCCGGTCTGGCTCTAGTATCTCCAGAACACGGCTGGGCCCAGACCACTGCCAGACCCAGCCTAGACATTCACCTAGATTGCTAAAATAGTATTTCATTCGCATGTGCGTCTATATACTTATTTACATGAAAAGCTTCGAAAGCGTCAAGAGAGTGTATGTAGCGTAAGTCGCGAGGAATTTCACGCTGTCCAAAGACAGGAATTAGATGTGCGGCACGAAGCATGCTGTCTAGATGCTCGATGGTCAGTAGACGCGACCCATTCCTCATCTCTGGCTTCACAATCCACATGCCCGTCTGGCGGTCCGGGCGGCGTGCAACTTTCTTGAACCATTCAACGAGGGCACAGGGATGGTGAGTGCCCTGATAGGTGAAGGAGAAGAGGAGCCGCACACGAACAGCGCTCATTCCTTTGAACCCAGCAATGTCCTCGTTCTCCACCAGGAGCGCGCAGTCACGTCGAGGGCCATGCTTGCGCCATGACGGAGTACATCGAATCCGCTCTCGTTTCATTCCGCGAATGCCAGAGGGGTCACTTGGCGAGTAGAAACTCGCAATTGCCGAGTGGAAAACAGCAAGATTCCGAATGTCGTCCAGGTCGATATCGTCGGGAATTATTTCATCGTCTTCATCAGAGCTGGGGGCGGAGAAGGGGGGCGGAGATAGGCTTGGAGAAGCGATGTAAATTGAGGAACTCCAATATGATTCCCGAGCTCGCCAGGACGAGCCGGGTATGACCGTTCTGTGGGGATTTAGAGAAAAGACAAGACATGAAGATTGATCTAACCGCGAGTACGGGCAAGTACTACCGAACCCTCTACCCGGGGCTATCAATAGCTTCCTCCTCCTCGGCATCATCCTCGGAGATAATTTTGTCGGGGAGGGTAGGGTATTGGGGTCGCAGCATTCCTCGCTCTTCAAAGTCTGCACGAGCAGCAGCGAGCTTGTCGAGACGTTGATTCGTGAGTAGCATTTGCCCTAATGCCTCGAAACGGCTTGACCGACGCCAGGGCTTCTTTACCGCAGTAATGTGGCGAGATTCGGTAATGGAGGAGCAGACGCCATATGGAGTACCAAACTGTTTAATGTCGCGGACGTAATGACACATTGAGTGCTGTCGCGGAAGTGAAAACCCATCGGGGCGAACTCCTGATGTTCGGAAAAACTCTCGACGGTCGTGATAAGTCGCAAGAGCAGTGTCGACAGCCTGTAATGTTGTTTCGTCAAAGTCCTGACGTCTTACAAGATAACAAAAATCAAGGAAGCTACTAAGCGCTTCCACGAGCTCACAAGGGACAAGGTCTTTAAGTGCCGGCAGATAGACCTGGCAAATGGTTAGAGACAATCGAAGCAGTGACAAGTACCTGCCTTCATTAGGGCCTTTGAATCATCCCCAGTCCATTGTTTGAACCGACGACCTTGTTTGAAACGACGCAAAACCAGCGAATGATGGAACCGCTGCAATCCTGAGACAAGTTAATCAATATTTTACAATATTCCTCACATTAGACTTACCGACGGTCAACTTCATCGAGGATCCTTTCCGCCTCCGCTTTTTCGTGGACGAGATAAAGGTATTCGCTCACCCACTCGACGAGATGGTCCTTAAACGTCCCCTTGATCAACTGGTGAAGAAGATCTGGCGATAGCATTTTATGGATATCGGCACGAGGGAAATCCATAGTAAACGGCTGCCGCATGTCAATTCAGGTCTACAAGTGAGATATAACTCACGATAATATCGGTATTGATGCCATAGTTTTCCCAGAGTACCTTGGCTTCACCGTCAAATGTGTCGATAATCTCCTCCGTCATAATATGGTCTCGGCTTGTCGAAATCGGCCCATCCAGATCATGCACAGGGGCTGTACATCTGGGAACCATAAGAACTGATGCTAGAATGCAGAAAGCAAAAACGGACTTGGTACACCAGCCCTGGACAACGCCCGCCAAAAGAACTTGCTCAGGATAGTCGGCGATGAATGGACCAAAGTCGTAAATAACACGACGGAAGTGGCCATCCGGACAACGACGAACAACTGGGGTGGTCATGCCTGCCTTCAACGTGCTCAGAACCGCAGCCCATGACGCATGATAGAGCTGGCGTTTGAATGTGCGAAAGGCGGGGTCGTTATCATATTTACGATCACCTGGCTGAGATAAGTCACCAATAAAAGACATGAAAAGCGCCACTGACTTTTCGGAATAGCGAGAAAGACAAAGGGAATGACACTGTTACGATGGCCCCATCGCAATGTACTATGTTGATTGCCCAGTGCCATGTACCCCGGATGGTACTCAACGTTGCCAGTCGAAACCGAGACAGTCGTCTAGCCAGCCCACATCTGCCGCTAAACGCAAAGTGGCCCCAGCAAGCGGCAATGAATTCGATGGCCCCAGGTACCTGCCCTCCTTCGCTCTTCCGGTGCTTACTTTGCTGTAGTGCCAAGAAGACAAAAAGCTCCCTCGGCGGCGTCTCCCGTAACTGGCGTCAAGTTACTGCCCTCGTTAAGCCCCCTGCGGCAGCTGCAACAGCATGGGACCGGACTATCGATCGCACTGTGCGAGCAACGTCAACTACATCCGCATCCTCTGGAGCCGCCCTCGATGGCGAGACCTTGGACCGGTTTGACGACGAAGCGGAGACTCTTGAAGATGGTGTGCAAGCAACCCAGCGAGCGACAGTTGGAGCGAAGACATCGCAGGTAAGAGTCAAGCGCCATTCCGTGAGAGAAATTTGACCAAAATCTTGACGTCAGATGGGAATCGTCCCTCACCAAAAGACACTCACTGTTGACGACGACATTGACGATGATGCCCACGAGAGGGGACGCAAACCGAAATACCGGCTGAGCGACCTCCCATTTCACACCCAGGAACACCGGGCACTGTTCAAGCAACGTGTTGTGGCCGATGTCATCGATTGGGCAGGGTGTTTAGCGCAACCATTCGCTGCTGCTGCCCATCCAGACTTCAAGAAGATCGTCAAGGAAGCTTACGAAGCGGTCTTCTCTAGCGACCCCGAATCACCGTTCGCTATTACGAAGGCGGTATATGGTGTGGTACGTTACCCTCAATGCCTGTTCTCTCGTTTGATGTCTGTCTACAGGTTTCCGGCGCTCTCTATACCTGGCGGAGCGAACTTGGAAAGGAGGCACTCGCTATCGCAGGCGACATTCTCCATGAGGTCCCTAATGATGAGAATGGCAAACCTATCACCTTGGTGCCTATCACCCCCGACATCGTCGCTGAACGTGCAAAGAACTATCTGAAGAATGCCGATTTTCTCTATGCTGGTGGAGCAGCACATGTGCGTCAGTTCATGGCAGCCTTGACCCATGCACTAACTCTTGTAGACGGGCTCTTACCGGTCTCGGTTCATTCTCGAGCCGCTCGGACGGCAGCATATCCGCCTAGCGATACAGCCCCGAACGGACCCAAACTATGGTTTTCCAGCTGGGGCTCTTGCGCTTTGCGCTGCTGCAGTATGTGCCACAAGCTTCCTCGCTTCTGTTATTAACTTTCTTTAGGCACAACGAGCTCTCGAGCTGTGGGAAACTGGCAAGCTCATCCAGACGATGGATGATGGGCATGGCAAGGACAAGAAGCTCCTCTTCTCTGGTGTCGATTGGACAAACACGACCACCAAGTATTACAACGGCATCGTCCAGAATCTCAAGTCGGTACAGAAGCAGCATCTCATTTTGGACATGGCAGCCCCCTACACCTCTCTTAAACGACGAGCCGCCGCCGATCTCCTCGAAGCAAGTAGCCGGAAGACGTACTCAAGTGCCCCTCAGGACCCGCGCCAGCATATCGATGTCTCCGACGACGAGCCCGAGGGTGATTATACAGTTGGAGGGAACTAACGATCAGGCAGCCTTGAATTAGTATACTGATTGTGCTATTGTACTGAATTCTATCCATATATACTGCTCTATCGTTGTTCTGTGAAATTGCTGTGAGCTTCTGGAGAATTCTAAATAATGTCTGGGGAATGGCTGAGGGTGTCTAAAATTGGACTTAGCCTCTGGGCATAGACATGCTCTGGGGATCTAAAAGATCTGTGGTATCCAGGGCTAGACCGCCCAGAAAAAAACGAATTTTGCTGATGGATCAAGATGTTGCTGCACTCCAGAAGTTGTTTGAAGACTCGACGCTCCATGAATATGAGGCAGGCCGTAAAGTCACAGGCAAGGACAAGTCCGTGGACTACTATGAGAAGGGTCAATTGACATGGACGGAAGGGAAGGTGACAGAGAAGTGGCTCGACGGTCGCAACTTTGAGAGATCGACAGCTGAGCTTTGGAATTGATCGCATTCGGTACGAGAAAGTGTAATGTAGAAACTATCAAAGAGTCGATGGGCTTGAATCGAGAGCGATAGCATAGTTGAGAGCTGGTAGTGGAGTATAATTGGACTGAGAACTGAGATTTGATGACAAAGGTGTAAAAAGCGATGGCGATGGCGTGAATACACTCGCAGGACCCTGAACCAGATGAGCCTTGAGTTGCCCGAGTCAAGTAGTCAACGTACTGGTGTTTGAAACAGCTGCAGTGGTTGCAGTGCCATGCGTTGTGTCTGTGAACGTAAACGAACCAGAATGTCGTTCTGTTGACGCTGCTCCTCTGCCATGAAGGCCATCCTGTTCTCCTCCGCAATCTCCTGCCGCGTCTTTTTGGGTCGCTTTGCCTGCTGAGTTGAAGGTGCCGTCAATGTCTGCTCCGAAACCTTGGCCTTCTTCGCACTCGTCCGTGATGCAACATAGACAGCATCGCACTCATGCACCACTTTCAACAAACTCTCTCCGTACTCCTCTGCAAAATGCCAACGAGGATTGAGTGCTCGAAGATCGTCGATGTTCTGAACGCAGCGTCCGTGGGTAGCGACGTAGGTGATGATCTTGTCTGGAAGTAAGACCGCGGCCGTAAATGCACATGAGTGGGTCTCATAGACGATTTGACGTCGCCACTTCTCCAATGCTTTCCGTACTGTTTGAAGGAACTCGTCACGACGCGTTGCTGGTACCATGCCTGGCTTGGCGCGAGGCCGCATCGCTCGTTTGCCATTAACATTTTGGGTTTTTGACGGTGTGAGAGGATCTTGGCTATGGTTTGGCGGTGGTGTTGTCGATCGTGGCTCTGAAGAACTTGGGACGGGAATTGATGCTTCTGGTGAGCAGCGATCACAACATATACCAGTGGGTTCTAATAGACTGTTAGAATTCTGGAAAATGGTGAAAAGAAACATACCTTGTCGGTTAGATGGGTTGTTGTAGTAGCGATCCGAAAAATCACGCTCGCATTCCTCCGTTTCGATCCACGCACGCATGACCGGGTCCACCTTCTTTGCCCACTCCAGACCGTCATCCTTTTCCCCGCCTACTCTCTCGTCGACACCAGAGTCCCCGTCTGTTTCATTTCCCACTCCATCCCCGACGTCTTCCATCTGTCGTAGTTGAGAGCCGCTGCCTTCATTCTTGTCATCATCACTGCTATCGGAAACATGGCCCACAAGATCTATTTCTTCCTCTTCCTCTCCATCCTTCTTCTTCTTCTTGCGTGGCTTTTGTTGCTGGAACATCTTTGCTTCCGCAAGAAGGACAGCGCGGGCATTGATCTCAGGCCGTCGACCCGCACGACCAATGCGCTGTTTGAAGACCGAAAGCGACGGCGGAACACCAAACTGGATGGCAAGCTCGATGTCGGGAATGTCTGCACCCTAAGGGCTGCGGTGAGCAAGTAGTAGCATGGATAAAATTCAAAAATGACGTACCATGCCTGCTGCTTCAGTCGCTATAAGAACTCGAATAGCTCCACTGGCAAAAGCATTCATGATGCGCCGTTTATCGTTCGTGCTGGCGTAATGCGTGCAGGCACTCGATGCTTGTCTTGATGCCAGAGTTGAAGCGACTACATAGGTAACGATGTCCTCGCTGCGTAGCCTTGAGTGTGTTCGTGAAAATGATGGTTTTGGGTATTTCGGCTGGCTTCGTGGCGTGAAATGGTAAGAATTTGTCTAGAGCCGCATAGTCTTGAGCGCCCTTCATTCGATGAATAGAAGTTGAGATATTCGGTCGGTCGTTGCCCAAGTTAAGATGAAAAACATCGTCAGGCGATATAAGAGAGCTTGTCGAAAGCAGCCTTGATGTGTGTCAATGCCATCGTGGCCGAAAGAAGTAGAACGGGGGTGTGTGGTTTGAATAGAGGCCGAAGGGAGTCCAGTAGCGCGTAATGAGGGCGGAAGTCGGGACCCCACTGCCTGACACAGTGCGCTTCGTCGACAGTTAGGTTGCCGACTTTGTCAGCGATTGCGCGAAGGGCCTCGCGAAAGCCTTCGTGTTTGAGGGACATCTCGGGGCCGGCAAAAATGGCCTGGTATCTGCCCTCAGATAGCTCCTGAAGTAGGCTGATTAGACGAAAGAATAATATAGTGCTATATACACGCACCTGTTTGAGCCTTGGATTTTCCTTCCATGTTTCCTCGTTCACAGCAATCGCCGAAATCCCAATTTTGTTGAAACGAGCGACCTGAGAGCCATTAGAGACGAGTACAGCTTGAAAAGAGTGAAATAGACGTACCTGGTCAGCCTGCAGAATCTTCAGTGGCGATATAATGAGCTCTATCCGACTTTTGTCCAGTAACAGCACCAACATCGCAGGAATGGTCTTCCCAAACCCGGTTCCTGCGATGAGAAGGGTATCGAGGCGGAGGAATATGGCCTCAGCAACATCAAGCTGCCATTCGTGAGCAGGCTTGCCAAATGCCTTCGTAAACTTGTCTTGTAGCTCGTCTCGTGTTTTCTGTGAGTCAAATTTCCGTTTCTTTTTCGCGCGCCGTCGAGCCTTATTGAGTCGTTGATAGGACGCTTGGCGGACGCGGCTCGTAGGGGCTGTCCGCCGGTGGGACAGGAGGGGTGGACGCGTCGGGCAGTTTGTGTACAAGATGATTGGATTCACGGGTATGTCACATCACAATTTCCTAATTCGTGAGGATCTGTCAATCTCTATACGAACTGCCCCAGACGTTCCGGTCGCCATTCCTGCACATCAACCTCCAAAACTCACGTGCAGGATCGGCGAAAACCGGAACGTCGGGTTTCGAGACTACTATTTGCGGCCGTTTTCGGATCCGCGGGTCACAAGTCCCGTGACATGTGTGACGGATAATCACACTGCTTGACAACGTCCACCGGCTATGGCAGCGAGTCTGCGATGCAGCGCATTCCCAGCATGGGCATAGGCTGCTAGCAGACCTCAACACGGGCCGGAATCCCCTCCGGATCCCGGGCCAGCGCTTGCCTGACGTGGGCCCTGGGCCCTCCCTGCAACGTTAACGCGCCGTCCAAGGCGCCGTCGACACCGACCAACTTCGCGCCGCCGCTGGCGCCTTCGAAGGACTACCACTGACACTGTGGTCTGCCGCTCGTCACTGGCAGCAAGGCGGCCAATGAGCAAACGGCGACAGAGGGCCCGGGGCCACCGGGACAAGGTGAAAATATGGCAGTGAAAAGGTGTCGTGCGCAGGCTTGAAAATTGCTAATACTTACTACTAGTACTAGTAGTGCGTTGAGAGCTTATGGCTAAAAGCACATCCCGTGGGGCTGGGTCCCCGCCGGACACGTGGCAACGGTGTGCTGTGAGTATAGGTCATACTTCGGCGTTCGCGCTGACGACCTGAAGGGCACTGCTATGATAGGCCCGGGGTCGAGTTGGGATGGGTGGTAAACCCGACTCGGAATTGCCTAGTTTGCATTTGCACAGGCTGATATCGCCCTTTTCAGGTCCGATATTAAACGGCTCCACTGATTCAAATTTCAGCCATATGACGTCTGATTCCATCCAAATGTCTTTCATCTGTGCGGTTTTCGTGCGCCTTTATGTCAACGAGGACGCAGCAGACGCTCCAAAGGGGGAACTCGGCGTAGTGTCTCTTCACTGCCTCCAGGGAGTGGAAGGAACATGCTTCAAGTTTGCGATTACGACTTCAACTTGAAGTTCAACTGAAAATACATGTGCGACTGTGGCAAGCCTCGAGGGAAGGTTCACTTGTGAGTGCACGGGTAATGAGTCGAATGCGTCAAAGCCTTTGACCATTTCAGGATCAGTCGGATGAAAGCAGTGTCTCATTCATTGAATGTAGTGCTGCAGCCTCAGCGGGAACGAGGCACCAGGCTGGCGTAGTGTATCTCCAAGCATGGAGAGCGCCCGCATCATTCGCTGGAGCTCCACCGCCCATGGCGTTTGCTTAAATACGGTGCGCTCCATTTGCACCCCTGTGTGTTTCTGCAATGCGCTCTCCTGTGATTTGGGCGGTGCGCATCCTTATCAACACTTTCTAGTCAACAACTTGAATGACCTTCTATGTAGTGCTCGAACTTCTTGCGACATGGCCAAAGCTTCTTACTGTACCCTTCGGCGTTCCTCCAAAGACGATGCAAGCCTGCCCCAACTCGCAGGGCCGGCAGTCTGATGTGTACCCACAGGGATTCAAGTTGACACTCCAGACTCCGTTGGGCTCGAATATGAAGACCTCGAGCTAACCACGGCGGACGGAGTGCGGCTGAACTGTTTCTTCATCGAGGCGGCTGTCCAATCCGCTGCCCGCCAACAAATGTTTCTCCACTACCGCTACCGCTACCAAGCCGACGGCGATTCTTCGGCCTTCCGTCCCCCAACGACATATGTGTGTAGGCTCTCGCTCCGGTAACGTCTGATGCACTTCCTTGTAGGATGCGCCTGCCGTCGCGAACGTAATCATTTTCCATGGGAATGCGATGAACGCCGGGGACTGTATTCCTCAGGCGCAAGAGTTGGTTATGCGGCGATGCAATGTCCTGCTCCTTTCTTATCGAGGGTATGTCCACCAGGCGCCGAGCGTCTCATTTCTCAGGCTGAAGGTTGGCCAGGTATGGGCACTCGGGCGGGGTCCCTTCGGAATTAGGTTTGCATGCCTCGGGAAAGTTGATCATAGCTCACAGTATAGTTCCTACTAGGGCTTCAGCGAGATGCGCAGGCGGCACTGGACTACGTTACGGCCAATTCTCGGACATCCGCACTCCCAACCGTACTACTTATCGTTGAACTTTTCCATTGAACTGTCAGCTGACCGTGGACAGATTCTCTTCGGGGCCTCCCTCGGCGGTGCAGTCGCGATCGACCTTGCCTCGCGCAACCCGACAGCCATCTCTGGGCTGATTATCGAGAACACTTTCTTGTCCATCCCCCGCCTCATCCGTCGCGTGCCATACGTCGGCCTGATCCTCAGCAGCATCGTCATGCAGCCTTGGAACTCTGCCGAGAAGCTGCCGCGCGTACCGGCGACCGTGCCGCTGCTTTTCTTGAGCGGGACATGGGACCAGGTCGTGCCAAGGCAGCACATGGAGGGCCTATGGGAGATCCGCAAGCAGGCCGCGTCTGAGCTGGACCGCTTCGAGTCGTTCCCGTACGGCCATAGTGAGGCCCCAGTTTCCCCCATTTTTGTTACTAGGCGTGTTAAACTGTTCGAACAGATAATACGTCTGCTGCTCCGGGGTATTGGGACAAGGTCGGGGGCTGGCTGCAGAGTGTTATACAGCCGAAACCGTGAACAGTTAGCCATGGTTTACTTGGTTGCATTACGACTTGAAATAAGGACATTACTTGGTTCTCGTGCGTTAAGGTTGGAGGATTATCCGCGTGCTATTGCACTTTTAGTGACCATAGCAGTAGAATACCTATCCATTCCCCATCTACCGTCGCAGAACTGGGTGGATACTTACCTGGAACAGTGCATAAATCTTTAATCCACACTCGTTGTGGCTTTCCTCAACTGGGCTGACAAGCGGCAAGCGCAAGGCCCTAAGAACGGCGGTTAGTAGGCAGCGTAGAAGTGGAGCCTATATGGGGAGCGGAGAGTTTGTTCAGCTCTTTTAAGCGAGCCGTAGCGTGAGTGAATGGAGAAAAAGGGCGGTCACCCCTGTGACACGCTCAGGTCTTTCCCCCCATCGCCGCTACAATTCACTTCTTCTCTGCTCGTCCAGCGGCCAACCAGCGGCTCCACATTGAGCGGCCCTCATCAACGAAATCGTAACATGAAGGGTCTGATCCAGCGGGAGCCGCGGGGAAAGGATAGTGGACGTGGAAAGTGTGTGAATGGCTTTCGCGTTCACCAAGACGGCTTTGCTGAGCGCACTGCCTAGTCGTCCTTTCCACACGTGCCCTCCAGATGGACTGAAAGACGAATAGGCGGTATGGGGAACAGGAATGAGGGAGCCACAGGTGCGTGAAATTTTCCATGTGCCTGCTAGTACCTACTGACAGTCTGTACTTGGCCCTTCAGCGCTGTGATAAGCCCGTATACTAAAGATACCGCTGCGGTCTGGCTCGGCACAGGCCAGTATGGCTTGGGCTTGCCGGCTAGATTCAGGTGCGTGAAGATCTCTGCTTTCTGTGTCTTTCTGACTAGTAGTCTCCCGCCAGACGATCTGAGGCTCCCGCGGCCTGAAGAAACACCCTTTACACGTCCACAAAACGCCAGTCGGGCCCAGAATACCGTGTTTGCTGGAGAGTCCGATTCGGGCGTCCCAACGCTATCTTGGATCTTTGCCTATCCTAACATTTTTCCAGCTTTCCCTGCCCATGGCGATGCTCTTCATCTGCCTCCATCGACTCCGCTTCTGCTCTTCAACTTGAAGCCACATGTCACTATTCGCAATCTCTCAGACCCGCGAGTTATACTCTGGATTCAAAGTGTGGAATGGAAACTTACAGGTCCCAATGGTGCAATGCGAGCTCTCTGCACCCCCATCGAACTCTTCCGAGCGCATCCACCGTCTTCACCCGCCATCTCCACTCGCAAATCCGATACACTCGCTCGCTATCCGAAAATGGAAGTCACGTGCCCGCCTTCTTCAAGCGGGAAAGACGGGCGATATGCGATGCCGCGGGCAAGAGCTACAGCTATGCCAACTGTATCTCCTGCTCTCATATATCAATGTCCAAAAACCCAAGTCTTTTCGGCCTAGCATGCGGTGCGGAACGGCGGGGTTGTCGGCAGTGTGGGCGGCGTGGATGTGGGCGTGGTTTGTGGGACGGGGAGCTAGTGGCTTGTCCTTCTTGAACAACTCCCGAACCCATTGACTGCCTTGAACGAATCTCAATCGGACAGTCAACAGCCCGCGTGGTCTATCTTGGGAGCGGCATATGTAGTTCAAGTTGATTACTCATCTTATTCTTCCCCGTTTTTATTTTTTCTCTCTCTCTCTCTCTCTCTCGTTACCTACTTGCTTCATTTTACGCTCACGGACTTTTTGAGATACATATGCTACTTGCTTTGTACCATATCCTGTTTGCGGCTAGACATCGACCCCTCCTTTCCCGCTTATGCACCTACGCCTCCGCTGGGGGCGATGGTATTGCACTCATTTTTCGATTTGAGCTGATCCAGGCTTCTGCGTAAGTGGGCTGCATCACGCATGTCCTGAGACGAAATCCCATTTGGCGTATTGGCGTCGATGATGAGCTGTGTGAGCTTCATTGCGGGAGCACCACTCCGAGCCGACAGTGCGTTCAAATTCCTGTCTGCGATCCCCTGGATAAACGGCTGAAGGGTGAGGAGGCCATCACTGTCCGAGTTGTACTTGTGGGTGGTCTGCAAGGTGACAAGCTCGAGGTTCGGAAGGGTGCCGAGGCGAGCGAGGGCCGCAACGCACATTAGGCACTGGCTGACATCAGCGGGGCGCAAAGGGAATAACGTGACCGTCAGGTGCTTGACGGAGTTGAACGCGGTTGACTCGGAGGACAATACGAGGTTCAAGTCACTGTAGGTGGCTGGTGCCTCTAAGAACAAAGCGGTGACCTTTGCTGAGGAGCGGAGAAGGCAGGGGATCAGATGTTCCATAATTTTTTTGTTGTACTGGGAGAGCCGAAGTTCCGTTAGGGAGGGGAAGTCGATATGTTGCAAGGCAAGGCATTCGCCAATATTGCCAAGAGACAATGTGGACAAGCGGCTCATTTGTAAGGGAAGGTCATCGTCGATGTCAAAGTAATCATAATCGAATGGCGAGGCAATTGAGAGCTCCTCTAGCCCCACAAGAGGACGCAGTGCTGAGATGAGATCCTCTTCCAAGATGGGTTGGAGAATCGTCAATTTCCGTAGCGCGTGTCGAGGGAAAGAGAGGCGGTTGAGCACCGAGTCGGTCGGAACGCTGATAGACAGCTCACGAAGATGAGGAATATTCATTACGACGTCGTCTTGGCCCACAGGGTTGTAAGGATCCCCCATTTCGAGAGACAGTCTTGTCAGTAGAGGCAAGTCGATTGTGGCTTTCAACCCGTGGCTGGTATCAGGATCAGGCCCCCAGTGGCAAGGCCAATCCTCGCTTGATAGAGACGCTTCTACCCATTGACCAGCGGAGTCGAAAATGAAGCGAGGCAGACTATCCTCCATGTCGTCTTTGAATGTGAGCAAGAAGTCTATCGGCAGTCCTCGTGCACGCTCTATGAAGCATTCGGATAATGGGTTGCGCTCAGGCTTGTCGGTGATTATGGAATAGCATGCACGCGTCCACAGCCGTGGGTCCGCCAGAGCAATACTGCGCCAATACTGACAAACGCCAGTGATTTGCAGGAGGGCACGATTGATGTCGAGACGAGGCGAGGATGTGATGACTGCTGCAAAGATGCGGCAGAGAATCTCGGCAGGCAGAGTGTTGACGGGATAAACAAGGCTCGGAAGGTCGCGCTGGACGACTTGTAGACGGTCTTCGAGGATGTCTAGCTGCCGCTTGAGCTCGTCGATTGTTTTTTTAAGCTGCTCTGCTTCTCTCCTTCGTTCAGGAATGCTTGGGCTCTCCAGCGGGCGCGCAGTGCGGCGCGCACCACGGAGGAACCAGAGAGCTTCAACAGCGTTGTTGTAGGTGTCGTCGCTCATCATGATCATCGGTTTGTGGTGAGAAAATTTTGCTGTCACACGTCACCACGTCACTACTCTTACCTCACGACATTACACCGACCTGCGTCTCCAGAAGCAAACGAAAGTTCGCGGAAGACATAGAGCAAGGGCGAGAACCGGGAGGATGAAGGCTTATAAGCGGGGCGGGTGACAAGGTGTGTGCTTTCGACTTGTTTCCCCAATGCCTCTTCTTACTAGCATCTCAGAGCCCGATACTAACCACAATGGCTCTCGCTGCTCGGTCAGCACTCCCCACACTTCCCAACACTCGGCCATCTTTGTGAAACGGCTGGCCTTCAAGTTGTCGATGAGCAACAAACACCACAGATGGGCCAGCGTCGGCAGGTGCTTCGGAAACCTGCGAGACTAGTTGCTGTGGATCGATGGCGGAACTCTTTCAGGGAGAAGGAATGGGTACTGAGGGATGCTGTAGAGGGTTCTAGATGTGTGTTGGAAGGTTTAGTTGATGTGAAGTGAAGCAGACGAGCTTCAAATGGTGCGTTACTTCTGCATTGTCGTCTCTAGCGACTTGAAAACTGTATCAGGCTGTCCCTCATGTCCATTCAAGACCATAAACTAGCACAATACGACCCTTCCCACATCTTGCAAGCTACCATTCAGCATTTCGCCAGTCCATTCTCATATTCCGACCTCTGCACAATCCTCATTGGCAAATCTGATATAACGAGATTTCCTCTTGCATATCCACGCTCGCAAATAGCCACATCGCGAACCCTCACCACCCATCTCCCATCGCCTTTTTCGTGGGTGTCACGTGACACGCGCGCACACACCCCGGCGCCAATTTTCCATATCCGTCTACGCTCCGTCTGGTGCTCTAAGAAGTGTACCTCCCGACGAAGTATGATACCCTCGTCGCTCTCAATTTTTTCCTCGGCATATATCCATCGTTTAGACGCTCGTCGAGCCCGTTCTCCTCCATCCACACCATCGCAGCACAATCGACTCTAACTCGGCAACGTGCGTTAACGTGGCTCGGTAGTGTATATACCACTCCAGAGGGTGGCTCCGCTGCGACGAATAGTCCATCCCCTCGGTCGTCTTGAAGGTGGAAGGGGCTTGTTTGTTGGCTTTTCTCGCGGGTGGATGGGTGGCGACTGTGATTACTGTTTGGTGAGCCCCTTCTGTTGTCCACACATGTGCTGTCTAACGACTCCACCGCAGCGCCTGCTAGTGTGCCTACCGTGAAATACAACGATGTCGGGAAGCATTTGAAGGCGCCGCAGCCGATAGATACTCAAATCTTCCGGGTCGACTCCGCTTACATCGACTGTCTTTCACTATTTGTCGGGAAAACATGCCCGCCCACCAGCTGCTTTCGACAAATGCATCTCCGAAATTGAAGTCACCGAGTTCGACTGCGACCTTCCTCGCAGCACTTACTTGTCACCTTGTTTCGTACCGGATCGTGCATACTTTCCTGTTTTACTCCTCATGACACCATGCCTACCTCCTCCTCCACCTCCAATACGCTCAACTTTCTATCCAATCTACCTATCCTCTACGCACAAAATGGACTTGCTGGCGAGCTTTCTTTTCTCGACTTGGTTTGCAATTGGTATACCATACTTACTTATATCGGGAAGCTTGCGTTCGACACTGTTCTTTCGTTTCACCTTAACTACGATACATATATTCATTTCCACCCCCTTGATAATAGCCATTAACGCGTCAAGTGCTCTCCTGGCAAGAAAGACTCAATGACCTAGAATCTATCGTGGGCGTTCTTGCGCGAACCCACTTCAACTTGAAGCGGCAAATGTCTTGTCTTTGCTCTGTTATCAATTCAGCAAATACGCCATAGGATTTCGTTATCATCAACTATTACAACTAGAACTACTGACTTCAATATTGAAGACACTGCGAACTCGGAGCAAGATCAGGGAATGCATACTAGTATATGGTACAAGGACGGTCAAATCATCACGTCGACTCTGCGCACTGCCTACTGTGGATTGGCATTACGCTGACTGCGACGATTCCCGCGGTAGCTTGGGATCTGGATCACGTGCGGTGGGTAGCTTGGGGCACTACTTGGACCAGCGCTACTCGGCCCCGCCACAGGCCACTGGCTCACGGTAGGAGCCTGGGCCTGGCTCCAGTACTGCGGCTGGCTGCCAGCGATTGCTGCTGGGTTCACATTGCCAGACTGCGGATAATTGGCGGACGTGTGTTGGTCCACGGCATACTGTATGTCCGCGTGTGTGAGGGGGCCAGAATAGCGCGCTGTGCCCAGTATCATTTCCTGTGCCTCGTGAAACGCCCACTCGTGGACAGCGCCGCGGCCAGGCCCCCCGATGCGCCCGCGACTGCCTCTGTCCCGACTTGTTGGCGCCAACCAGCTGCTGTTGGCACTGGTAGAGCCTCCATTCCACGTGTTGCTGTGACCGTGCTGAGCTGGCGCTGGTGCTTGGCCAATCGACGAATTCGCAGTCCCATGGCCTGTGCTGATGCGCCCGAAGGAACAAGTGTAGTTGTCCTTTCGAATGCATGCTGCACAGCGATAGCCGAGTTCTCCGACCGTAAGGTTGGATTTCGACGATGGTTTGCACTGTCAAAGGATGTGAGGCAGAGTCAGGAGCAAGGAGCACGCCGCCACTCACAGTGCGCTTGTGTGCCCTGCAGTAGGTACACTTGAGCTCATCAGCCTGAGAAGGTGGAGATGCCTGCATGACTGGGGAAATTGACGCGAAAGGAACGTCAACTTAGAGTAGAGGTCCAGAGACTCGGAGAGCTGCAGTTAGCTTGCACTGGCACTCGCAGCAGTTAAACCTTTATACGGTTCCACAAAAACGAGTCATTCAAGATCTAGATTCAAGCTGGGTTTGCTGTGGGGAGGACTCGATTTTTCGTATTAATGGCCCAGAAATGTAATTGTATTGAAGCTCACTGGCCTTGCGCTAGGAATGGAAGTCCCAACGTTAATCAGCTGAACCAAATTTAGACTCTCCCATTATCCATTCATAGCCCATTCAAAAGAGTGCTCTAATCTGCTTGGCCACGGCATCCTGAGTGTCCTTGTTATAGATATCACCCGTTGAAGCATGATTACCTAGAAATAATGCCAATTCCGAGTCAACTTCAAGTTCCTGCTTCACACAAATAGAGTTGCACTCACGATCGACGAGACCATTTCTCTTCTGGTCAACAAGAATGTCGATAGCTCTCCAAAATGAAAACTGTGTCGTGGAAAAAACCTCCGTCCAGCTCTTGTATGTCGTCCCGAAAATCCGCGGGTCGCCGGATGACTCTGCAATACGTTGGACACCGTCCATGAATGTCGAGAGCTCGTAATCAAGCGCTGGAATAAGAAATGCCAGTATTTGGAGCCGGGAGCAGCCGTCCAAAATCCGTTTGACCACGGGGAGGTCCAAAAGGATGTTAACGGCCAGGTGTGTCAAGTTGGGAAGTGCCGCCAAAAAGGGAATGATACGGGAGAGGTCGCGAGAGTGAATGTTCTGTTCTTCGTTGTCGTACACATCAAGATGTGTGAGAGCGGAGAATGCTGTCGCATGACCTTCCATGGGGATTGGGTGGGGCATTAGATCTTCGAAGAACACACCGAGGCGACGCAGGGGCATAGCGGAAAGCAGGGGCAATAATGTCGGCCCAATTTTCATCTCCTCTGAACCATTGACGGCGACTTCCTGCACACCCGTGCATAAGAGGAGGGCGGGATAGACGCGGTCGAGGAGATCTTGAGTAGCAACTGTCGTCCCATCATGAAACTCGAGAGTCATCACGCGCACGCTTTTGGCCAGAAAAGACGGCGGCCTTGTGGTAGCTATGCGGAAGAACGCGTCCTGAGCCCTTTTCCACCTGCAATTCATGCTGATATGAACTTGTCGGTAGAGAAGCGGTTCCAGCCTAGCCCGATATAATGGTCAGTGCTATTCATCAGAATGGAAACACTGAAATACCAGACATGTGCTCGGTGAGCGACGAGCAGGAGAGTGGGAATAAAATTCGAGTCAGAGTCGGCAGCAGCTTCGAGGATAGCTCGCTCCAGCTCTCGAGGGAAGCGGGCCAAATCCATAGTGTAGACTCCGTGGTGGGAGAAGATGGCAAGCGGCGGATGACCGTCACAAAGCACAGCCAAACGAGCTTAAAATGGTTGTGCCGATACGGCAAACCAGCACATGATAGTTTTGTGGGTCCATGGCGCGATAATTCAAGCATTTGCCTGAGAGCCGCAAATACTGGGCTCCATTCTTATCAGCTCCAAGGGAATCGAAATCCAAAAATTCGTTCTGCAATTGTATGGGATACAAAGCCGTCTTAAGCACACACACTCACCGGGCTTGGAGGAGCAGACAAATAGCTTCACAGAGCGGACATAATTAGGAAGTCATGAGGAGTGTTTCCGTAGTAGTAAGAGTTACCACCAATCTATGGCGAGGAAAACTAGATGAACGAGAAGCGGTTAGCGAGCGAATGTAAACGGAGAAAAGCCCACCGAACACAGCTGACCTTCTCTTGAACTTCTAGTCAAAGCGAAAGGAAACTGCTCAGGCGCAGAACACCAAGAGCCAAAGTGTTCTCGCCTTCGGGCCGGGGCCGATAGAGCGGAATATTGGCGGAATACCTAGAGCGGGGCTTGGTTCGTAGTGGGTAGAGTAGAGAACAGGCTGCGCGATGGAGCTGAACGCGAGGATGGTTTTCTGGAGCTGTCGTGGTCCGTTTTCCCGCAGCTAATGAGAGCTTGAGACCAACTTCAGAGCTTGAAGAGTGGCGGCACAAACTTGAAGTCATTTGTCACGAGTAACGCGCTGACATCATCCTCAGTCATCCTCTCCTCCTCTCTTCTCGTTATGGAGAAGGGACTCGCCACACCCGTGCACAGCGCACCAGCCAAACCCGCGCGCATGTTGTCTCCCTTGACCACGTGCTTAACCTACGCGGCCAGCGTCTGTGTGGGAATCGCGCTGAGCACCATGTCGACCCACTACGGGCTTTTGGGAGGGAAGATTCTGCCGAAGAGGGTCCATGATCGTGTGGGGAGGCTGCCTGGTATGTCCTCACTCTTTTCGGGGTCTAGCCAATCTTATTGTTTCCAGTTATGGGCTACAACAGTAGGTCCTTGACCAGCTTCCCGAGAGACATGCTTAACGCGCTTTGTAGCTTGGAATGCATACCATGTACGTCGCTGTCGCAAAAGAGAGACCACCTTTAACAGCTTTTCAGTGCAATATCAACGAAACCGTGCTCTTGCAGACCGCCGACTTAATGACATCTCTTGGATTGGCTGTATGGCCTTTGCTCGCCCAGCAACACTTCCTTTCGCTCACCACTGTGCAGGACTCCGGGTACAAGTACATCAACATCGACGACTGCTACTCGGAGAAGAAGAGAAATGAAGCGGGAGACATCGTCGCTGGTGCGTGTTCGTGTTTTCTTGATCAAAAAGACCCTGCTCAATTGTCGTAGATCCGAAACGCTTTCCCAGTGGTTTGCGGGCCTTCACAGACCATGTCCACTCTCTCGGATTGTAGCTTTTGGCCATATCCCAATCCCCTGCCATCTGAAGTCGACCTAGGAAAGCCGGAATTGTATGCTCCTCGTCCCTTGCCGGCCGCTTCTCAAGATGTTCAGTATAGCGATGCTGGATGGTTCACATGCGCTCTCTACCCGGGCTCGTTCCAAAACGAAGAGCGGTATGAAAGTAGCATTTTCTGCTGCATCAATACTGACCAGCATTCTTGCAGGGACGTCAAGCGTTTCGGGGAGGAATGGGGATTCGACCTGCTCAAGTGCGTCATATACTTCTTTGTCAACACCAGCTCACATATTGATCAGATACGATAACTGCGCTGGTGGGCGCCAGCTTTGTCGTATTGACACAATGAATCAATGACAACAGTACCTTTCGACGAGATTACACGCGAGAACATCTACGGGCGTACGTGTACCAATCGTCCCATCAGCACTGACTCAATCGAATCCAGGTTACAAACGCATGTCCGACGCTATCGCAGCGCAATCTGAGGCAAGCGGCAAACTGCCCTTGGAGCTAGCGTTATGCGAATGGGGCAGGGTCAGCGCCACCTTCTCTCGTTCTTCAAAACTGACTGCCGACAAGGAGCAGCCCTGGCTTTGGGCAAGGACGCTTGGCTCCAGCTGGCGCGTAAGTGGATTACGACCAAATGAAATGAAGCTGATTCTATTCCTAAGACTACAACGGATATCAGTAGCTCCTTTCTTGAGATTTCCGCGGACGGTACCTGACGCAGACGCAGCTCCGAACTGGAAGTCGGTCGCGAATATTATCAACCAGTGAGATTCCGCGTGCTTTCTAAACACGCCGCTCACGAGAAGCAGAAACTCTTTTATCTCATGGGCGAGTGACTTTTACGGGCACGGGGATATGGATATGGTGCTGTCCTCTCGCCTCCTTCAAATACTTTGCTGATGTTATGTCAGCTTGAAGTCGGGAACGGCGATCTCACTTATGAAGAGGCCAAGACGCATTTCACGGTTTGGGCCTTGCTCAAATCACCCTTACTTATTGTCCGTCTGTCTTCCTCCCATTATTCAACTCCGCTTCATGTTCTTCCAGGGAACCCATGTATGCCGCTTCAAAGAGAGGAGCAACGACTAATGTGATAAGCTTGCCGACATCTCCGACGAGACACTGTCTATTCTCAAGAACGAGGAAATCATAGCAATCAACCAAGACCCAGTTGTGGGGACTGCTTTGGTTCCATTCCGCTGGGGACTCAACGTATGCCGACGAAATCATTGAAACGGAAGCGCTTATTTGCGTCTAGCCTAATTGGACTCCGAATGCGACTCATCCAGCACAATATTGGAGCGGGCAGAGCGAGAATGGGACAGTTTTCATGCTGGTAAATGTCTTGCTCATCGCATTTGTGCCGCTCAAAGGTAACAACGCAGATTAATACGCTCAATGAAGAGGCGGATATGTTCTTCAATCTTACGGAGTCGCCATGGATTAGGGCGGGGAGACAGTACTCGGTTCGCGTGAGTTTTGGCTAGCTTCCGCGGGCGAGGTTATTAAGCTGCTGCAGGACTTATGGTCGCATACCTTGAATGGGACTGCGATTAGAAATATCACAGCCTCTCGTGTTCCCGCCCACGGAGTGGTCGCCCTGTTACTGCAGGATGCAGGGGATGAGCCTGAGGGAATGTTTCCCAAGTGTGCTGTCGGGGAATGGTGTATGGACCGTAACGGTACTTTTGTTTGAATGGTTAACTTCTTCCTTACCAGCCGATTTCTTCGACGGACTATTTTCGGGCAAGTCGCGGATCCTGACGCGTCAGGCGGCCTCACGTGAGCGTGTCGTGTGATATTTCTGTCTGTGGCTTCCATGGCCACGTCAACGACAACGACTGAATGTGGCTGGTGCCTTGCTCGCTGCCGCCATGCTACTCTCTCGAGCTGGGTGGCTGCTATTGGCGATGCTTCCTGCGGTCGCTCGGAGTGTGCATAAAGAGCTTGTCTCGCTCGTCGATAGCGACAGTGGGCAAATTAGCTTGGATGCGAAGACATTTGAGCTCTTAACATCGGACGAGCGGGACTGGTCGGCGGTCGTCCAGTTTACCGCGTCGGGCGAGGAGTGGAACTGCGCGGCATGCTTGTGAGTGTCATTTCTGCCATCCTGCCTCTCCCCTCAAGTTGTTGGGCAGCGCGTTCGATCCTGTGTGGAAGACTGTTTCTCGGGCGTGGTGGGAGAAAGGGCTGAAAGCAGTCCGCGACAAGCATTTCTTCGCGACGCTTGATTTCGATGGTCATGATGGAGACGAGCGGCAGGCGATCTTCCAACGCCTGGGCCTGAATACCGCGCCAGTTGTCCTGGTATATCCCGCAGTCAAAGGGCCGCGCGCGGCAAGAAGTGGGAAGCCGCTTACATTTGACTTGTCCTCCGCGTAAGCAAGCCAAGTTGTCTATTCGCTGCTCATACTTGACTGCTTCAGGAAAACCTTCGACGCCGTTGCCCTCGCTGCCCATCTCTCGGAATTCACCCCCGCGCCCATCCCGCTCTATGCCCCAATTGACTTTCGGCTGTACATCGGGCGCGGCCTATTATTCTCCGTCGGAGCTTTCGGGCTCTATGTCGCGGCTCGGCTGGCAATCTTCCGCCTGCGCTGGATATGGGCCGCGGGCTCAGTCGTCTTCAGCCTGGTCATGACGAGCGGGTTCATGTTCATCCGCATTCGCGAGGTGCCACTAACCGGGCGGTCCGGCTCGTGGGTGGCGAAAGGCATGCAGCAGATGTACGGCATGGAGATGAGGATGGTTGCGCCGATGTGTAGGTTCGAGACAGTCAACTTAAAGTGGTATTAAACACCTGCAGATGCGCTTCTCGGCCTCGCTTTCTACATGCTCACTGCCATGGTCCCAAAACACACCTCGTCTCGAACGAGACAGCGGATTTTCGTGTACCTATGGAGCGTTGTTATTGTTGTGTTCTATTCGGTCTTGGTTGTCTTCATCAAAGTCAAGAATCCGCGTATGTGGACCAGTTTTTCCGCCGCTAAACAGCCTTCTTACAGGACCGCAGACTATCCATTTCGGTTAATATTGTAATATATTCAATCTCAAATCTCAAACTCCATGTACTACTATATAGTGCTGAAAGCAATCACATTCAGTATCCAGAGTCAAGCCTTGTCAAAGGGTGAAAACTTTTCCCCTAGTTGTTGATAGATAGGACCAATATTTGGTCGAGAATTTGGCTCCAAAGACCAGCATGAATCAAGAATATTCCAAATGGGTTCAGGAACCCATTTCTCATCATAATCCTCCTGCCTTGGTCTCAATCCTGCCAGGGCCTTGGATGACAATATTGGTTTTGTTGGTCGTCTCTTTGGTGGTTCTGCTGTTAGAATCTATTTTCATATAGAATTAGTATAGAAATTATAACAGCACTTGCTCTTAGACTGACCTCCAAAGCCAAGAGACCAAATGAATAAATATCAGAACTCTTTGTTATATTTGGGGCTGGTGAGTCAAGCGGTCCATCTATGAGAAAGAATAGTTCTGGGGCCATGTATGGTGCAGTCCCCACATTTGAAGTAGTAAAGCCTCGTCGGCTGACTATCCTGGAGATTCCAAAGTCACAAATACAAGCAACTCCTCGTTTGTCAACAAGAACATTTTGCTATGCATATCCATTAGTAATTTTATATAATGAACTTCTTGTGAATTTCCACTTACAACTTTGAGGTCTCCATGGATAACATCCTTGTCATGCAGAAATTGCAATCCAGATGCAACACCTAGGACCAGCTCCGGGCGCATTAATGTTACCCACGGATGGTTCTTGAGATATTTGGAAACATTTCCAAATTTGTAATAAGGTGATATAAGCACAGGACATGGTGACCCAGCAAGATCATTGCAGATTCCAATAAAGGGCAAAATATTTTTATGTCGAAGTCTTGACCAAACCTCAGCTTCACGTTTCATTCTCTGGGTAACAAATTAGCAATCTGGAATTCAGTACATGAAGGCATTTGTTACACGTAGAATTTCTTCTTGTTGACCAGATCCATCATCTGCCATCCGGATCATTTTAATTGCAACCTACAGGATATTATTTCTAATTCCACATTCAGAAGCATGATCAAATACCCGGATTTTATTTCCATTAGATCGAGCTAATTTGCCTTTATAGATATTTGCATTTCCTCCACCAGCAAAAGGATACTGATGATCTTGAGTTATACGGCCAGCAAGATCTGGTATATGGAATTCTGGATGAGATAGTTGCTTTTATTGATTCATAAGATGGTGACCAATAATTTAGGTTGACCTACCCAGAATGTGGCTTCCTCCCCACTTGAACTCTCCGTGAGCTGCAAAATATAAGATCTGTCTTCTTAATTGATTGATTATGTACCTCATTATTTAGTTTTCCAATAGTATCCTGGGCTTTTGCATTTGCTGCTTCTTGAGGTTGTGTTACTATCACATTTGATGAAGATCTATCCAGATAATCATTTTCATAAGAAGCACTATTATTTGACTTAGTGTCAATAGGAAACTTGAGATAGATGAAACTTACACTATAGATGTGATAAATGTCTGCATTATTCTACGCATGGATGGCCGTTTCAATGGCTGTTCGGCCCACATAAGAGCAAGTAAATTCCATAGTGGCTGAGTTATAATGCCATTAAATTCTGTCTGTAAGGGTTTCCCTCCACCAATGATATATCGGAAAACGGCATGTTCTGCAACTAAATGATGAAATGGTGGTAGTTCAGAAAGAACCTGAGTGAAATTAGATCCTTTATGAATTATTATCAAGTCAGATCTCATACCTCTAGGATTATCATGCCTAGAGCATAAACATCAGCTGTTGTACTTCGTATTGGGGCTCCCCCAACATCTACTGAGAATTGTTCAGGGGCAGAAAACCTGATAGGAGTTGCTATTAAAGATATAGTTCCTGAAAGTTGAGACCCTAAAGCCTGAGTTGTAAAGTGCATATAATGTCCTGATACAACAGGTTGCAGAGATTCATTGATAAGAATCTTTTTCTGGAAAATATTAGTTGGCTAGAGAAATTGTTTGAGATTATTACTCACAGTACTGAGGTTCCCATGAACTACTCCCTGTTTGTGTAAATATAACAAGCCCTTGATGATCCCTGTAATCTGTTTCAAAACTATAATCAGATCAAGTGTTTGACACTGTAAGTGCTACTATACCATATGGATCTTGGATCTTGGTTCACGTGAAGACACAGAAAGGTATTTCATGATGGTTCCATGAGTGTAAAAAGGTGTTATCAATGATGGCAAAGGCCCAAATTTAGTTGAAATGCCATAACACTGTAGAACATTTGGGTGCTCCAATTTTTTGAGTTCTTGAACAGAATCAAAAAGAAGCTAATTAAATTGAGTATCAAGTCTGGATAGGTAATGTCAATCTTACATCAGAATTGTTATTGCCTGCTGTAGAGGAGCTGCCTGAAGGGCGACGGAAAACACGGATTGCAACCTTGATGCAATTGATTAAATATAACTCCCTCAGACATTTAAAAAGAATCACATACTAAAACACCAAAGGAGGTTCTTCCTTGATAAATATCTGTTGTTCCTCCTGTATCAGATGGATATTGATCCAATTGTGTGACTTTGATATCTAAAGTCTGGGAAATATGACTGTGGTAGACTGACAAGCTTAAAGAAGCATCTGAATCTGCACTTTCTCCTGCTGAACTAAGACCATCAAAGGACATCTTTGAATCAGACCCAGGATCAGACACTATATACTAGGAATCAGTAATAGTTGATAAATTATTAGCCAACTTACATGCATGCTCAATATTTGAAGAGCCATGACTTTGACTGCTTGCACTTGAGGAGCTCCTTAGGCCTCTACTTGCTATGAATATATATTAGCAAGAAGAAAATAATTGTAAAATAATATACCAATAAAAGATGAGAAGTTTCTATTTGGACTAAGTGAAGTTGGACTTAAAGGTGAGGATAGTTGTCTGCTTCTTCTGGAATATGTATTCCTTTGAATAGTGTTCTGTAACCATTCATGAGTTGTAAGTCTTTGCTCTTTAGCACGTTTGCTGGGGTCTATTTGCAGCATAGGTAATAGAAATGCTGTAATTTTCTCAGCATCCTTCTGAGAAATATGGTATTTCTGATGCAAAACTGCATCTAGTGGCCAAAATTTAAGCTTTGAGATATTCCGAAGCTTGCCATCTTCATTAAAAAACTTGGAACTTAGTGGACTGTTGAGAGAGATCAAATCAGGGACCTCTCCAAGGAGTTCTATGATCTGTGCTAAATGATCCTCATCCCTGGTATATCCTGGGCCACTAGCAGCCTCAAAGAGATATTCACCACCTGTAAGCAGTTCAAAGATCTACAAAAAGATTATCTGAGGAAAACCACTGAGAAGCAGTAAACCAAACATACTATACATGCTAAACTCCAGGTATCCACATTCTCATCCCATTTTCCTTTGACAATCACCTCCGGTGCACGATATGGTCTTGTTTGGATGTTATTGATCATATCATGTTCCTGAAAGACGGCTTATATACAGTCAGCATGAGTTTGAGATATATTATTATTGTAACAAACCAGTTCCAAAGCCAACAATCTTCACATTTATATTTTCTGGGACTATCTGTTCAAATAGAATTGGCTGAGATTGAATAATGACAGCTGGTTGTGGAGTAGCAGTTGATGATGATTTAGCCTGAGAATGAAGAACTGTTTCTATGTCCAGAGATACCAGAATATTTTCTGGTTTTAAGTCTGGTTTAAAGCTAAATGTCTGCAGATAAGTTATAATGGGATATACCTGTGTGTATCACTTTGCAGTTCAAGTGCATGTAATGCAGACCTTGTAACAGCTGTTTAGCAATTTGCTTGACCAGAAAGGTAGGAACACCATTGCTCTAGAGAGATTTCAGTCACATGTTAACATATAGGACATAGCTGCAGCTTACCGGGTGTTTCTGGATAAAGCCAAGAAGGTTTTCTCCTAGAGCTTCAAGCACAAGACAGACATGAGTTCCGTTGGGCCCAGTATGCATAAAATGGTTGAGCAAGGAGACAACATGGGCACGGCCAGGATGCAATGTATCAGTCTCAGCGGCCTTGCCACTGGCAGCAGTCATTGAAAGGTGTCGAAGAATGCGCAGCTCTATCTTTGCATCAGCTGTATACTCGGCACGAACGATCTTGAGGGCAACATGGTGCATCAAACTTTGAATCGGAGGTTAATACTTGCGAGAAAGGCTGCAGAAAAGAGCCGTACTCGGAGTCCCATGCAAGCCAAACCGTCGAGGACCGCCCCCACCCTAATTCAGTGCGCACAATCACATATCGTCCATCCAGAAACAGGTCCCCAATTTTGACCGGATGATATCCTCCCGGCTTGTAGTCCTTCAAGTCTTCCTCCCCTTCAAGTTGGTCCGCCTTTTCTCCTGCGGAGTTTCCTTCAGAAGGAACACGAGGCTTTGATTCTGGCTCAGACACTTGAAGTCGTAGCCAGATGAGCGTGGATAACATCAAGCAAAGCAATGGGGCTTACTTCTTGCAGCGTGGAAGCAGGTGTGGTGTATCCAATGGTTGGCTGGTGGTGGTGAAAGAACAGAGACAAGCACGTTTGGAATAGCTATGACATGCACAGCCTCAAAGCCATCATTCCTTCCGACTCAACTTTACTACATACGACCTGCCCATAAGTTAGTTCGCCTCTGCCCATTTGCAATCCGGTCCATCTTTCGCTGCCACAACAACCCCTCCCGCAAACTTTCTGACACCTCATCAACAACCATGCGCCGGCGTATTGCCCTGGGCGACAAAGGCGAAGCAGGCTCCAAGCCCATAGGCGGCCCGGGGAGTCCATAAAACGGGGGATAGACATTGCGCTCCGTTTCCCAAGAGGATGAGGACGCGTCGTCTTCGGCTTGGTAGTGAATCTCGAACTGCAATTCAAGCCTGCCGGTTAATGTTGATGCTGGTAAGGTATTCTGACGAAGAAGTTGGCTGAGACCGCTTGGGCGAGCCGCGGCCTTGTTTGTAGCATCTTTGTAAGCGCTGCTAGGCAGCTTGACAATCAGACTCCGATTCGTCGTCGGTTCCTGGATAACCGGAGAGTCATTGGAGATAGAAACAGGCTCCGTCGGTTCGGGGAAAATGGACGTGGTCGTGGGCCCAAGAGGTCGGGAAATCAATGCATCGCGAGTGAAGATATTCTCTTGACCCGTAATGCCAGCTCTAAAGTTTCGCCTGCTTGTCACCAAATGAATTTCGGGGGCCAGATAGGCTTCGGGTGAGCCAATAACCATATCAAAGTCGCCTTCGCTCGACAAATCATCGTCTTCAGAAAGATTTGAAAGACTCCAATGCATCTGCGCCTCCTCCTCTATGTCGTCATCTTCCACCACCGCTTCCCCATTTACGTCGTCATCAGAAAACGCCAGCGTTGGCGGTGAAACGCCTTCGGTTTCCATATGGGACCGAGAGATCGTCGAATGTGGGGAGTGTGTTTCGACAGAAGCAGCAACAGGCCCAATTACTTCCGAAGATGTTTCAGAAGACCGATTCGTTTCCGCCAGCGACAACAAACTAGGCGTGTCTAATCCTGGAATCGGCAAAGGCGGGACTTGAGTAGGGCGCTGGACTTGGTGTGGTTGGCGTAATCGTGAAACAATGGCACGAAAACGGGAGACAAGAGGAATGCGAGATGCATGGTCGTCCAATCCAAGACACTAATCCGCTGCGTTAGAGTGGTACAGAACTCGGAGAATAACCCACGGAAGTACAAGGGTGTTGACGCTCTCGAGTCTGTATGTGACAACTTGATGTTCCCGTTGTGCGCGACCAAGCACAATCTTGTGACAGAGGGGCCAAGAAAGCGGCAGCTTGCGTTTGGCGCAGGGACTGGGAAATGATGAGATGTGTCCCTGCATGGTGTAGAGAGTGAAACATACTGATGCAGGATGCCAAGCAGTCGAACGAATGCTTGAGGCGTTGCAGAGTCAGATATGTCCTGTAGCCCATCGAGGATAGCGTAACAAAACGCGTCGACACCTTCGACGTCAGACGTTGTCCAGTCTGGGCCATCCTCACTAAGGAGAGAGTGCGCTTCAGTCTCGTTGTCATCTCCTCTTGCGGTAGCGACGCCCAGTCCAATGTCCTGCAGAGCTCCCAGGGCCCGGGAGCATATCTTGACAACGAGGGTATCGAACAGCATATTGTCTGCCTGTGACCGAAGCGGAGCCCAAAAAGCAGGGCATTCAATGATGCCGGTAAGGTAGCGCAGCGCAATGAATGCACCAAAGGAGTTTCTATAGCTGATGAGGCGGCAGAAACGTCATAATAAAAGAACGCACCCATCGTCTGAAGCAACCAGCAGTTGCTCAATAACACTGAGTCCACTCATTCCCCCATCTCGATCCCGCGATTCGACAGTCCAAAGCTCGTTAGCCGGCGCCCTTTCGATAATGTTTGAGATGTCGGGCTCGGTCAGACAAGAGGTGGTGAATTGGAGGTAAAAGACAAAGTCTTGCGCTTGGCCAAAAACGTCGTCACGCTTCCAGAGCTTGCGTATAAAGTCCTCAGAGATCTTGTTTTGTGTCTCTGGAGAAAGGATGGAGACGAAACTGAGACGGAGACCGGGGTATAAGGTCGATAAAGTGATTATGGCTTGGAACGCGTGGATTTGCGTTTGTGAGGACTCCGAGCTGGTTTCGTGTCAAGCACACATATATACAGGACCCCCGAAAATACGGTGTTAACTTGGGTACAGATTCGGACACTATTGGGTCCAAAAGTGCCTATCACTTTGGCACCTCATGCGGACAAATTTGGTCAAGAGTCCGTCCCAGTTTGTGACCAAGTCCGGACAAATTTGCCGGCCCCCAGAGCGGCCAACCGGTGACCGACACCCGAACATAGTCCCTAGTGGTCCCCTAGCCGAGTGGTTTTCGCGCTCGCTGCATCCTGCGACGATCTCCTGATCGATTTTCGCTGTTTCATGCGTTTCCGCCTGAATTCACGCGCCGTTGATCCCATCAGCGATTTTGATGCCGCCAAGAACTTTCATACATGTTCGGACAAATTTTGCCCAAATTTGGCCTCTTGTTCGGACAAAATTGGCCTTCGGAGGTATCAAAGTCCCAACCGTATTTTCGGGGGTCCTATATATACTGATACGAAAGCAAAGAACGCACGGTAAGGCATATCGTAAGAGCTTCAAACAGTCTTTCTCCACTTGGCGCGGAATACTTGTCCGCAATTGCTCGAGTTTCGCCTCGCGTCCGTCGCTGAAAAAGTCTTTGACCCGTTGCAGTGCAGCGAGTGGCCCCAAACCGAGGCGGTGGTCCGCTCTGTTGGCGTGTCGGGCGGCAAACCGGCCAAACGTGTCGTAGGCTTCATGTAATACACGTCCAGGTGCAGGTATACCGAGGGGCGTTTGTAATGCAAGCTGGATTTCAGCTGTAGTGAGTGGCCGGAGCGCGAGGGAGCTTCGTCGCGTAAGTTCCATGGCTATGGGAAGGGAAGGACACAAACTGGGTTGGCGACCGCTAAAGTCTTAGGCAACCAGCACAGCACGCGCAAAGCCCGGTCCGCGTTGATATGGGGGCTGTGAACAGCATGACAACGTCGAGGTCATGCGAGAGATTGCAAGGCGATAGGGTGGACGATGACAGACAACGGCGAAAGTGGTTGAGCTGTAGTAAATTGGCGGGTCACAAATTTGGTCACATTCAAGTGCGTAAACTTTCTTTTCGAAAGTAGAAACTTGTTTTCTTGGACGGGGATGACTATAATAGTAGCGTAGATGTGGTTACTAGTAGTAAATAAGTACTCATAAGGTTAGAGACATCGGAGTCCGGAGGACTACTATAGTACTTGCAGCGCCCAGGTAAGTAATAAGTAGTATCGAAAATTCGCGCATGAATATGGTCAAAATGCCGGTTAATAATGAGCAGGGGAGTCGCGACAATGCTGCGGGAGCCTGTTCTCACTCCCAAACGCAAGACGCAGGCGGTCGCCGCCGCAATGGATCGCCGTGACTTGGTCGGAATTGGCGTACTCGTTTTTGTGGACCGTGGCGTTGTGAAGGTGCGATCTGAGGCCACCGCCAGTCGTGAAAACCCTCTCGCAGGGCACACAAAAAGTAATGCTCTGAGCGGGTGGACTGCCGAGCATGCTCATAGAGCCCCTTTTGGTTCTTCAAGACCTTGTTGCAAGCGGCGCAATAGGCATGGACCGTCTTCCAATGGTGCACGAGGTCGTTCCTGTCGCGGAAGTGGTTGTCTTCCAAGTCGTCGCTTTCGCAGTACTGGCAGTAGTGGTGAAAGCGGCTCTGGACGTAGTGCTGCTTCAGCCCCTCGCGGGTTTCGAAGGGTTTGTCGCAGTCGTGGCAAATATACGGGTCGTTGGAGAGCACCATCATCCTGAACGCTGGGTTCGTGGAGAAGGCAAGAGTCAGAGTCAGAGGCAAGTCAGAGGTCTGGTCAGAGTCAGGAGAGAAAAGGGGGCCGCTGATGTAATCACACGTCTTAGCCCATTCGCCTTGATCTTCTGCATCCAATATACATTCAAGAGATATGTCCAAGTCCAGATCCAAAGTAGGCGATGTTATACTACAGAGCAAGTTCTTGATATTAAGCGTCCGGGGTGGGCGTAGCGCCAAGCGAGGCAGCGACGTCATCGGTGAAGGTTTCGGGCTGGTGGACGTCTCCGCCAACGTTCCACACCTAGGACAATGTGAGCGATGACATCGAATAAGTAGCTTGGACGACTTACACAGTATATTTTGGCTTCCGCTGTTGGGAAATATAAGTCAAGTAGAAGAATATCAAGTAGGGAAACCACTCACTGTCAGTGTGGAGGCCGTGGTAGTCGCCGGGCTGGACGTTGAAGCCCTGGAATGTCAAGCCAGCAGTCTGTGCTGGCTGCCATTTGGCGCAAGCATTGCCAAACCTAAAGGGAACAAAATTAGTTCACAAGTAGAGGATTAGCAGGGCATATAAACGCACTGGACGGTAAAAGTGACCATGTCGGTGTTGGCGGGGAGGGTGTACAGCTCCCTGAAGTCGAAGGCCTGGGCAACGCCAGCAATAGAGGCGACGAGGAGAGCAGAGAGGTTGAAGCGCATTGTATACGAGGGTTGAAACGGTTGTTCGCTGCTTTCGAGCTGCTAGAGCTTCAAGTATTTATACTTCTCGCGTCATCGGTCACCTGGTCAGGAATTGAGATCGGCAGACGGAACCGAAGTCAATGGGGAGTCTTCGCCGCGTTCCGAGCTGGCCGGACTCTATGGCTGAGGCCAGAGTCTTGACAAGCGTGCCTGCAACCCGGTTACTCGGGGTCGTTCGGGACTCAAGGAAAGCACCTCGGTAAATTCGATGTAAAACACGGGTAATTTGCGCCGCCTATGTACCCGCGTTTACCAGTCGCCGCTCATGACCAGTGCTACCTCTTCCGGGTGAAGCGCACATTGCTCGATCCATGTGTTCCCGCGAACTGACATCTGGAAAGAAATGAATTAGAAAGTTGTGTAGAACCGAGAGGTGGAACATACTATACCCAACGCATCGTCGTCCTCCCACTCATAATGGCAGTCTCCAAGTTGAATGAGACACTTCAAATATGGCCATGGCTCCCCCGCGTGGGCATTCGAGTCGCCCTTGGGACAGCCCTCATCCGAGCAATAGAACTTGCCTGCAACAAAATCAATAACGGCCAATGCTCCACGCTAGCCTGAGCTCTGACCTCTTTCCGGATACCCCATGAGCTTCAATCCAGGTTCAAGACGGAACTGCTCTTCTTCGTCCGTTTCCGGGCCCCAAATGTAGTCGAAGCTCTCCTGCTTCCCCTCTGTCCACCGCTCTACCACACGCATGGGGAGAAACCCTGTGTCGTTCTCGATTCTGGCGACGATTTCGCGGTCTTGTGGCCGGTGAGTGCTGCGTTTGGGTACAGTGGCAAGACGTAGAAGCCAAGACTTATTTTCGGTTGAGAAGCCAATGGCCTCGTCGTAGCAGTCTTCCTGGGGACAGACAAACAACTGGAGCATCGTCATAGCATCGCTGTCGGCAGGCATCACGGATGGAATGAGTGCCTTGAAAGCAGCTGGGGTTTGCTCCGACGACGCATTGAGCTGGATGAGTGGCACCAGCGGAAAGGCGCAGGTTGGGCAGCGTGGCCATGGCTCGTCTGACGAGAGAAATATATTCGGGCCACCGGTAATGAGGGAGGAATCAGTTATTGGGAGTGGGGTTGTCTCGCTATAGACCGGCAAGAAGCAGGGTCGGGGAGGGACGGTATCATCTTCAGTGGACATGGTTCAGGACAAGAACGAGGGCGGCGTCCCGAGTTTCTTCTCGCATTCCAGCACAATGGGGGTGAAGATCAAAAGTCGAAACGTAAGCAGCCATTTTTGCCTTCGAACGACGACGACGACCACCACCACCACACCATACTCCTCAGTGGAAGACTCGGAGTCCTCCACCTCCATCGCATATAAGACAGGAAATGGACCCGGACGGTTGTGGTCTTACCAAGGTAGTCCGGAATAAGAAAAAAAACTTGCAAAGGTGTGCTGCACGCTCTTGGCGCCAATATCTTGTCCAAACTGACTCTTCTCAAGGATGCACCCTCCTCAAGCCCGGGGCTCCATTATGTTTCTCGTCTCATTACTATGCGGCAATACTTTCTTTCATTTTGGTTCTTGGGAATATGACACCACCAAACTTCAAAGTCTCATTTGTGCGTCTACCAAGCTACTGCTACGTTCGTCGAAGTCTCATCTCTTTCCTCTACACTAGCTTGGCCGACAGTCTGCGTATCCAAGGACTTGTCGCGGACTTGGCACGGAGACAAGTGGCGCGACAAGAATGTGCCGAGATTTAGCTGTGTCGAGTGCGTTCTTGTCCATCCACACTTAACCAGCTAAACGACCCTCTTCTCTAGCTTTCCATGCGGTCGAGCAACGGATGTCGTCCAAGATCTGCCTCCGAAGCAGAGTATTCACTCATTGGCAGGTCTCATTTCTGAGACCGCGGAAGCAAGTGGTCAAAAAGCAGTTGTGGAGCACCCCTATTCCCCGCAGCTCTTTGCTCTTAACCCCCATCTACCAACGCTATAACAACAATGTCGCCCTCGTGCCCATCCCAAACCCTCCCCGACCTTACCGGCAGTGTCGTCGGCGGCAACCTTAAGCTTATTGCATTGCTTGGTGCCGGCGCCTACGGGAAAGTCTACAAGGCTCGTATAGTCACTGCCCCCGTCGGCCATTACCTCGCGGTCAAGTGCATGTGGAGATACAAGCGCGGCTCGTCTGAAGACGTGGCGCAAGCCAAGGAAATCCACAACCACAAAGTTGTGTCGAAACATCGCGGGGTGGTTACGCTTCACCGGCAAATCGTCACCGACAAGTACACCTTTGTCGTTCTGGAGTACGCCCACAACGACCTTTTTCGGGCTCTGGTTGACCGCAAGGTCTTCCGCAACCGCCCGGCCCTCATCAAGGGGGCAATAAACGAAATTATCGATGCCCTTGCGTTCATGCACCGCAAGGGCGTATACCACCGAGATATCAAACCGGAGAACTTGTTGTGCGACCGCGACGGCCAAAACATCAGATTTGCCGACTTTGGTCTGTCGACACACAAGGTGTCCTCGACACGGTTTGGTTGTGGGTCGATGTCTTACATGCCGCCAGGTATGTCTCATTCTGACTCATTTTGAGCATTCTCCTAATTACCCTCTCAGAGTCACTTGACTCCAACCATCCTGCTGCGAGCGATGGCTTTTCGAGCGCGGCGAGCGACATGTGGGCGGTTGCGATCATGTTCTGCACTTTTGTGTCAGACAGCATCCCGTGGCTCAATGCCGACGTCAACGACAGGGCATATTCATATTTCCTCACTCACGAAAATTTCCTCTTGTCCTCGTTAAACATCACCAGGGAGACGAACGACCTGCTCAAGCGGTGCTTCGATTTCAATCCTGAGAAGAGGCCGACTTTGGAGGAGTTTCGTGATGCGGTCAACGCGATAGAACGGTTCTCGGCGGGCGACCCAGAGGTGGTATCGCCCTCGATGCCTGAATCAGAGGAGGCAGAGTCAGCTCATTTCAGCTCCTCTGCTTTGTCGTCCCTGTCGTCCGAAACAAACATCTCACATTCAACTCCCCCGACTTCCCCCGCGCCGTCTTCGTCATCGCAGTCAGATGCGGTTTCTGCCGCGAAGCCAACCCTGCCCCAAAAAGATGCAGCTGCAACCAACAGGCCAGCGCGGCAGACTTGCCAACGACCGCCTTTTTTGAAGACAACGCGGAGCAGGAAGTCGTTTCTCAACTCGCTGGCACGCAACCTGGGCCTGAGGCGGTAAACGGGAATGACATGATATATGGGGAAGAAGTTGACCGAGCATTCGATTGCGAATGGGAGCGCATATCAGATGATTGCGCCGACTGGGATGAAGGGACGTAACGTTCTCGTGGGGAAAGTCCCATGTAGATTGCCTATGGACTCTTCGTTACCTACAGCATGGACTCGTTGAGCTCAACCGTATCTGCACATGTGTACCATATCCCTCAAACAGCATATGAATCTTGACTTTGCTATAATAACAGTGTCCGATTGAGCACGACTAATATCCACTTCTGGGCCCTGGTCTATGTGCTCCGCTCCGGGGGTGATTGCTAGCTTCAAAACTTACGTCATCGAAAGACGGAATCACGATCGGGGACAGCATGTCCCGATTTGGCTATCCACCTGCCATAAACGGACAATACTTCATGTGCTTTTTTTACCCAACGTCCCTATTGTTGTTGTCAGTCCCGAAGACCTTTCTTAGCCATTGGACAGCCTTGATAAGTCAGTGCTAAAATCAGCCAGATATTGACGATTTGAGCACGAGTTTTGATTGTAGGAATCCTTATGGAGTCGAAGTCTATGGAGACGCTGTCCAAGTCTTCCTAGTGAGTCAGTGCTTGCCGTTCAGGATTCTTTCTCTCAGCAACAAAAGTTGACCCACCCCAAACCCACCCACAACCCGCGGCGACCAGGGCTAAGAGTCCACCATGTTGATATTCTTGTCGACGCACCCACACGACAACCTGTGCAATTGTTGTGACTCGCAGCGTCATTGTACAGTATAAGAGCTGTCCTCAAAGCCCTGCCATGGGGCACCCTTCCGCTGCCCACAATCCCCAGTCCTCCGAGTCCATCGACCGCCGACCAGCCTGAGGCCCGTGCATGTGGATGTCTAATTACGAAGTTGAGTCTGAGTTAGAATTTGCGCCCGCCACATCTACAAACCAATGGACTCGGACCGATGCGGGGGAGGCTTCTCCGATGTGGCAAACGCCCGCGCCTTCTGGCTCAGGCTGCGATACTTACCATGACAGCCTCAGCCCGAGTTCAAGTGGGGTGGAATGGACTCAGAGTCGGACTCCCGCAGACTCGGATATGACGGTGCATTGCCAAGCCTGGGATCAGGTAAATGAATCATCTGCTGGCCATGGGAACGAGTCAGCGCTTACCGAACACGGTGGTGCTGGAGAGCGGACGCCTGCCAGTGAGACAAACGCGGCATGGGGCGCATGGCTTGAACGACAGGGATCATGCGCAGACTGGCAACCCGAAACCCTCGACAGCCCCGTATCTCCTGTGCCACGACTGTGGCCAGAGTCGAGCACATATTTGGCCCTGGTGAAGGAAGCTGGCAAAAAAAAGGAGTGCGGTCAACTTGACGCAACCTATATCTTCCGATTGGGAGTCGAGTCAATTCATGGACGCGGAACGGTATAATCCGTACTGTGACCCCTCCTCTTCGTCTGACGCCACGGCCATCGAGTGGACACAATATAATCCGACTGGGAACCAGTTCGAAGCTGAATACAAGGTTGGAGAAGCGAGTGAAGCTGGATACGCTGCATATTCGGGTCAGCTCATGAATCCTGCATTTGACCAGAATCGCTACCTCGCCCGTGCTCCTTTCGATGTGCTCATAACCATCGATCCGAGCAGGTGTATTTGCTACCAGGTAGCCAAAGCAGTTGCAGAAGCGATTGGAGCCAGCCTGAGTGACCCTGCAGCGTCGAGTCAATACTGGAGCTGGGATGGCACTACATCCTTCGAGCCGCCACAAGGAGAGCCTGATGCGAACGGGTTCAATGTAGATTTTCACTGGAATCGGGACTTGATGGAGACCGAAGTTGATGTGGGTATTGAAACGTACGATAACTTCCGATGACTAGTGATTCAAGTTGATACTCTCAGTCTTTTGCTTGTGGTGTGAAAGCACGTAGTTGTTCTCGATCGGACGATGTAGTAATACTTGAATCTGGTGGGAATAAGCTGCTTTCATAAGGTGTCAGTATGCGCGCGTAAGTAGGAGTTGGCTGTTTGACTGACAACGAACAAATAGCGCGTTGAGACCTCCTCGGAGCTCGAAGCTCGAATGGGGGTCATGGTTTTCGAACCTCTGGCGCTTAGTCGACCGGCATTCCAAGTACGAAGCGAGGTGTGTGGATGAGTGTGATAACTCTGGGCGGCGTGTTCTGTCCGCATAGGACAAGAGCCGCGTTCCCGGGGAGACCGAGTGTAAGTGGGTGAGTCCAAGGCTATTTGTGGACAAACTGGTGCAGACCTTGCTGAAATGCTCTCAAATCAGAAGGTGGGAGAGCGGGAGAAGCGTACCATACTACCAACATTGTACGGCTCAACGGTCTCCGCCTAAGGTATCGAGCCAGGCTAACACTGGCACAAGGCTGACAGCTCGAGTTATATTGCGGCTCGCATGGACTGCCTTCCGAGTATACAACTGCTTGAAAGTTGACGACGGTCAATGAAAGTGAATTGCAATTGGTCAGATTATGGGCGAAGACAAGTCACGAAAAAAAAAAATGTGACCGTGACAGCAGATCGTAGTGTGAAAGTAGTCGAATATACTGAGTGGTGGTTTTGCGGGAACTCTGGCTGGGCTACGTAGAACATAAAAAGCTACACGTACACCAATTCCATAGTACAAATAAGACAAAACACAAATGTTGAGCTACATCTCAGTAGAGTTACTACTAATACATTCAAGATTTCAGACCAGTCATATCCAAATAATCGAGCACCTCTATCTCGAATCCACTTGCTACTTGGCCCTGCGCCTTTAAAGCGGTCACCAAGCCGACAGCATGGCGCCTCGCCTCCGCCCCCGCGCGCCAACGACAGCCAAACGCCCACCGAAACACGCGGAAAAAGTCTCCCGCGCGGAGACACACAGCATGGATCAGCTGCACATGGTATTTCTCCTCTGCCTCGCACGCCAGAAAGGCGTCCTCGATTTCGAGCACCGACAGCATCGGGCACGTTTCGCGTGTTTGGGCTAGGGTGACAAGGAACAACTGCCGCTGCACTCTCGAGGGCTCCAGCGGCTGGTGGGCTTGCGGCACTCGGATGAGGAGTCGGCGTAGGGAAGGCAGCGCGCGGAGAACTGATATCGAAGGAAAAGCCGCCCATGCTGAAGCTCCATTAACCTCTAAAAGGCGGACTCTGTCCCAGACGAGTGTTGTCAATATATTGCCGTTCGCGCTAAAGTGATTTGGCGGGACGCGTTGGAGAAAGGACAACAGAGGCCCGCCGATGACTTCCCAACAGAGAAACAGCGTTTGCAGATTGGGGGCATCAAGGGAGCGAAAGATGCCCCGGCTGGGTGTGTACAGCGTAAGAGCCTGGAGTCGGCGCGCCATGACGGTAGTTCCGCGTGAAGACAGGCTTTGGTAAGCCGGAGGAAGCGAATGGGTAACTGCAAGGGGTGGTAAGAAGCCAAGAACGGCAGATTTTATGTTTTGGCAACGATGAAGTAGTTCCAGATGCAGTCTGAGATCGTAGGTAGCACGGTAAGAGGCCATGCTGTTCCATGGTAGTGTGAGGATGGGGGATGGGACTTGGCTAGAAGCATCTGTCAGATCGATATTGCTCAGTCGTGGGGCATTGGCGAAGAGCTCCGTGACTCCACATGGGGCTTTATTGCTTTCCAGCGAATGCAGTGAAACTGCTTCAAGCAGCGGCAGTCGACCGGCTGCATTTAGTGTCGCGAACAAGGCAAATCGAGCAGCACTGCAGCGTATGTATAGAGTGCCCCAGCGATGAGAGCCGGCGAGAAAAACAGGAAGCCAGGTTGCCTCAAGATACTCCGACGACGACCACAGCGTCAAAGACACGCTGATTTGCAGACTTGCGGCCCTTTCATACAGCATTGCCAGCTTTTCTAGCGGGTATCTGACCGCCATTGCCTCCGGAGAAGGATCCACAATCTCCACAGCCATGTTTGTCCAGAGTTGGGCACAACCAACAGCGGCGGCGCGCCAGAACCGCGAGATATGCGAGAGGTGCCACAGCGGGTGGGGTCGGCGTGTGCCAAAGTCGTGGTCATTATAGACCAGAAGGAGGATAGTGCAGATGAGTTCGGTGGGGAGTTTTCGGAAGGGGGCATTAGCGATGCGACGGCGGTCGATGAGCGTCTGGATCTCGGCCGAATCAATAAAACGCGTCCCTGTGTGGTCAAGGAGACCACTGGGGAGGTCTAGTTGGGCTTGAAGAGTGGCAATGCTATGCTGCATGGCTGCAGCCTCCTCGTCGGTTGGCGCGTCGTTGCTGCCTACCAAGCGACAGACAACATGTTCGTCGAGGACCCATGGAGGCGGGAAAAGGTGGGAGTCGAAGACGTCAGAGAACATGTGGAAAGGAACATGGAGAAAGAGTGGAAAGAGGCGGCATGGTCACGTGCGCGACAAAAGCTAAAGTATTCGATTCTTTGCTGCTTGCTTTGCTGTTCAAGGAATACGATATATTACAGCCTACAAGCGAGTACAATCGAGAGGGAAGATATATACGCTCAAACCTCGACGGGAATTGTCGGGCCTCCCTCTCGTTCTCTCGTTTTCTTGCGCTCCAGATCTGCTGCCCATAGTGCTGCTCCCGCCGAAGTTGTTAACAAAAACAACATGCAGAACACCGGCACAAGCTGCAGCAGCAGCGCAACCATCCCAAACCAGGTATACTTCCACCGCCTCTTTCGCGCCTCCTCGTTTCGCTGCCGCTCGTCCAGGCCGAGAAGCTTGAAGTAGCGGTAATGGTGGAAGGGCCCCGCGCGCCGGCCGAGGACAAGGCAGTAAAGCGGGCCGCCGCCCAGTGGGATGAAGGTAAGGGGGAGAAAGAAGAGGTATTCGAACGAGAGCCGGAAGGAGAACGGGGAGTAGATCGCGGACTTGGTGGCCTTTCCGAGTTGTTGTACAGCATCAGGGGCATTGGGGACCAGGGTACGGCGGTTGGCAACGAGCGCGGGGAAGCCCTGATGAATCAACACCTGAATGCATGTTGTCAGTACGGAGTTTTGGCGGAGCCGATGACGGCCACGCACAGCATCGAATATCTTCACCAGCGTCTCGTCCACAAAGAACGCCTCGAATAGCAGCGCAATTATCGCAGCAGCTTCACCCAACACCAAGAAAACAGCGTTAAACCACGCCAGGTTCCCTTGAAAGATGGCGAGAAAGGCGACCTGCGGTAGATACGCCACGATGAAGAGGGTGGGGAGCACGACAAGCGACACTATTAAGCACGGAATAAACCGCGTTCGAAATAGCGGCCACATAAAACTGTGGCGGACGCAAAAGTAGAAACCCTGTGGAGGGAGGTCAGAAAAGGCCAGACAACAGCAAATCGCGAACCTTGAGAGGGTACAGATAGGCAGAGGTGACGAATATCTCTCTGGGCTTGGCCAGCAGGGCCACCCGCTCACCATGGATGTCGCCCACCGCTGCCATGGGTGAAAAGGTCAAGCTTTTTGGGATGTCACAGTCTGTGACGCCGTTGATCCGCGACACCATCACGTGCTGGATTTGGACGACGCGTTATTTGGAAAACCGCTGCCAGGACTGAGTAGTATTGCTGTAATATCTACACCACAAGTGACTCTCCCGCCTTCCCTTTCACGCTCTTCCACTCAACCACATGGACCACCGCGCCTAACAGCGTGATCGCGGACATGGCAATCGAGATGCGGAACGCTGCCACGAGCGCGTCGTTGTACGCGTGAAGCACAGCGGGAAGACTCGCCGGGCTTATCGTCCCCGCGAGATTCGTGGCCCCCGCCTGGACGATGCTCTGCAGCGACACGCCCGGCGCCTCGCGGAGGATCCCGGCGACGAGTTTGTTGTTGAACACGTTCTGGCCCGCGGAGATGAACAGCGCCCCGCCAATGGTCTGGGCGAACATCACTATTGTCGTGCCGACTGGAACGTCTGCAAGTGGGAGGACCGTTTGGGCGGCAATTATCGGTTGTTGCAGCCCGAGACCGACACCGAGGCCGAATATGACTTGGTAGCCTATCCAGCGGGAGGTCCCGGTGTGGGTGGTGAAGCTTGATATGAGCCCAGCGCCGATGGTCATGAGCACCGATGAGAGGACGAAGAAGATGGAGTATATTCCGAAGACTGTGACCAGGCCTCCAGCGAGAACGCTGCCCACAACGACCGAGAGGATCATGGGAATGTTGTCGATGCCCGACCGTACGGCAGAGACACCCTTGATTGCCTGGAACCAAATACTACCAGATGTGTCAACATGGTCGAGATGGACTCAACAAAGATGCTTACGGGAGGTAGAAGATGATGATAAAATAGCCGCCGCCCAGGCATAAGGCAAACAGCGCGCCAGACCAGATACTTCTGACCTTGAAAATGCGCGGGGGCACGGTCGCATTCTCCTGGGTATAGATTTGGACGGCGATGAATGCGATGGCAAGAACCCCGAAGACGACAAAAAGACCAATTATTCGTCCGTTGTTCCAGGCATATTTTGTGCCGCCCCACTGTAATGCGAGCAGAAGGGAGATGATGCAGGGTATAAAGATGATGGTGCCAACAGGGTCGAACTGATTGATACGATCGAGGAGAAACATTTGTTGAGGCTTGCGTGCGGCGCTTGCAGGCATCTTGAAGAGGAAAATCATAACAAAGAGAGTGACGACGCCAACAGGGAGATTAATGTAAAAACACCTGAACAAGAAGTCGTCGATGGTTCTGGAGGACAAACAAGCAACATACCACCGCCAAGTAACCTTGTCTGTGAATGCTCCACCCATCAGAGGTCCCGCGACAGAGGCAATACCGAACATCATGCCCACAATGCCGGTATAGAGAGGGCGTTTTGCGAGAGGTACAGCATGGGCTGGAGCGAGTTATAGTTGCAGAACAGTTCCAACACAAGTGACGGACCGAGAATGATCATTCCGCCGCTAAAGATCCCCGCGCAGCCTAATCCAGCGATCGCGCGTCCACCAATGAGCATGTTTGAGCTATTGGCCGCTCCACATACGGCGGAACCGATCTCAAACAAGGTTACCGCGGTTATGTAGACCTGCAAACGACGTCAAAGAATGTCGACGACGCTAGGGCAGGAAAAGCACCCATTTGATGGAAAGAAAAGAGTAAAATTTGCCGAAGAGGAGTTGCGTGGAGGCCATAGCCTAGTGGAATGAGTATGAGTGCAAATGCATCAGAACGACGGACCAGAAGATAGCTAATAATGGGTTGAGGGTGATCCTTTGAGATGGATTGACTCGACTTACGCGCTCCCATACTGAAAATCAGTAAGTGACGCTGAAAGAAGACAAATAACGACGCGAGACACACCCATCCCACATCGTTCAGCGACTCGAATTGATGGGTTATATGAGGTATCGCTGTGGCTTCGTTGCGTGCTTCAGGCACTGCTTGCCGATGCTTATACGAGCTTACCAATAATGGTGATGTCCTGGGTAGAAGGAATAATGAGCGGCCCTCGAATCCAACTAAGCTGATATTTGCACTAACCAATGCAACGAGAAAGACCGACAAGCACAAGGCAACTATAAGGAGCGCAAGTTTCAGTCCGTGGGGGTAGTCGTCCACGACATGGTTGGGCGTCTTTTCATCCTCCATAGTGGGTCCGACATCAGAAACGGGCTCGGTCTTGAGCTCGACAGCGTCCGGCTGGTCGCTGGTCATGGAAAGGAAATGAGCATCCCCAGACGCGGAAGGACTCTTTATACCATTCGTTGGCACGCCGTCACAAGGCTGCCGCCGTTTCATGCATCCCTAACTGACGTCGCCTGATTTATTCTCGTCACAAGGCGCGCGCGACGCTCGTCGCGCTGAAGCTGTTTTACCCCACTAAAAGCGCGTCAGTCGGCTTACGCATATTCTCAAAGATTGCTTGCTCACAAATGGCGCATCGAGCTGACTCCTGGGCGAAACAGAGCCAGGCAATCGAGGGTTGACGGGTGCATCCGGGTAATGTCGGGAGTGGTCGTGGCAGGTCGGCGATTTGGCAGGAGCGGTTTCCCAGCGAATGAATGCAGCGAAAGTCACATCAAGCTCCGCGAGAGGAGCTTCTTTGAAGTCCAAGTTATGACAGCATTTATCGTTGTAAACTAGCTTGACCTTCGGTATACTAGAGCTTGTGATCTTGATGTGGTTGTGTGTCCTGTTGGTTAGTGGTTTTGCACGGAATGATGGTGATGAAACTTCATCAATCCTCTTTGGGAAACTTTTGCCCCCAAAGCCTGCCATTATTTTCTTCAGTACTATCCTCCAAAATGCTTTTCCTATTATTACTGAGTTACTGAGTTTAGTGTTTAGTTCTTCGGCACAACAAGGCCTTTCAATAGACTTTGACACGATGACACGGTCACACGTCACACGTGACATTGGCTCTCGTTTGTTCGTCGTTCGTTCACTGCGTCGCATTGCACCAAGTCTAACATCCACTCTTGTAAGCTAAGAAATAGGCTACCATTCTAATGCTGACTTATTATAGTTGTTCCACCATTCCTTTGCTTTTTGCCACACTCTCCATCCACCTTGTGAGCGGTGATGGCTGACCCTGAAGCGTACCAGCGCTATCTGCGCTTTCTGCAATTCGAGGCTGCAGCAAATAATACTCAATCTGCGCCTACTCTGGCTGCTAATACCCCATCACAACCATTATTTGAAGTTTCTGGAGTGGCAACAACGTCGAATGTGCCACCTATTGCGCCACCCATTGCAGCATATCGGACCACCACCACCACCATACCTGTTTCCTCCTCATCCACTCCTTTGCCTTCCCTAGCTGTGGCTACTGCGCCCACACTGGCCTCAGCTTCCTCATCACCATCCTTTGACACAACAACAACTTCGACTATTTCGTTCGTTTCACCACTGGCATCTATTCCTCTCTCCACATCAGGTCACCCTTCGCCTGCTATTAGCCAGCCAATCACCTCTTTCACAACTAGCCCACTTGCAGCGGTTACTGCTGCACCAGCCCTTGCAATTGGCATGTCCTCCAATCGCAATGCAGCTCGTTCTCGGCGCGCTACAGCCACAAATGTCACACCAGAAGAAGCGTCGGGTGCAAATAGTGGTCGAGTTACTGCCATTCAGCGCCATTTCCCATCAACACCATCACTCCCAACACCCTCACTCGTCATACGCAATGCGAATACCAATATGCGCAGAAGCTCTACTGCCACAGCGACTGGTGCAACAACACGTCGAAGGGGCCGTGCACAAGCTCCTCCTTCCACGTCTCAAGCGTTGACTCAGGCCTCAGTTGAGGCGCTCATCCAATCCGTCTTCGCATTCGAAGGACAAACTCGGCTTGTTCATATTGACGTTCAAGTTCACCTTCCTGCAGTGCGTTGTCTCTCTCTGCCTGGCTAATCTTACTGAGTTTTGATTCAGCCAAAATATATGCTTTTTCATAATCTCCTGCGCCACTTTCATACATTTTTGGAGAACTACAAGCTTCGCTATCAGTATACTCTGGTCGACTCAACCTCAATTCCTGAGCTGATGAATATGGTGCGACATGACATGGAGCAGTCTGAGAGGCAATGGCGTTTTATTGGAGATGTTATGAGCGCCCAGAATCATCAGACTGGCGATACCCTCGACTTCAAATTACTTCGCATCTCCAACAGTGGCACTCGAACGATTCGACATAGCCGCAACAATCTGATTCAACAAGAGTGGGCTGGAGATCTTACACTGCGAAGCTTTTTCGAAGATGGGAACGCGTCTGGACTGGCAAATCCAGTATATTCGATTCGTGATTCAAAACTAATAGTCCATTTGGGTATGTAGAACCCATCTCTCGATCCCATCTTTTGACTAAGTCATTTTTAGCTGTTTTTCGCCATGGTATTCGAGGGCTGGCTGCATTCAATGGGCAACAGCAACGTTATCACCTTTGCTTGCCATCTCGAATGAATATGATCTTCAATAACAAAACCGAGGATGGAGGGCAAGTCGAAGAGTTCCAGCACTGCGACTGTGCTCTTGCCCAGGTGGATAACATTTCGGATGCGGGTACTGCGGATACTGTTGAGGTCGAGGAAATGGTTATTGATGATGAGGCTGATGCCAATAATCCCCCTTCTTCTTCAACCTCTTCGGACGACAACGATATTCGGACCAACAATCATCGCCGACTATATCGTCGATCTGCGCGCTTGATAGCACCCACCAATAACCAAGATCATCGCTTTGACAAGACGATTGGACCCAATGACTTAGTCATACTCACCCCTCACGTGCGACAAACAAACACGATTTATTCTACCAGCATGATTGACTGATTGATTTTGCAGGAGTTTTCGATGCCTCAGCCAAAGCAGTTATGGGAGCCATACGAGCCCATGGCAGCCCACCCACTCTATAGCAACACAGAATGGAGCCCAATCAACATATTCGCCCTTACCTATCCTGGAGCACGCCCAGACTATGTACCAGAAACTGCACCACACTTGAATATCGCCACTCCTGAAGACCAGCTGGTAGACCGCCTACTGGAGGTCATTAGGCAATGTATTCAAGAAGACGATTTCACGCTTCTTCTGTCCCCGAAGCGAGAATTCAGCCAGTAGGTCCAGTTTGCTAATCCATATTTTATTCTATTAACTCAACTTTATCTAGAACGGACTCTAATGGTATCGTTAACTCCAGTGGTCTTGGGCTCGAAGAGCAAACGATAACAAATGCAATTGCACGCTTGCTTCCCAGGTGGATAGCCGCTCGTATGCGAGGAAACGGAATTCAGACCTTCGTTCAACAAGAGGAGGGGGCCGAACATCGAATATCATTCGAGCGATGCATTGAACTCAAATCGTTAGGTGCTCTTGTTGGCCTTTCGCTTATTCACGGTCGCCTTCCCGACACTATCTCCCCTTACGTTCTTCAATATTTTCTTGGCGGCTGTAACCTGCGCGCCATCTCTCGCAGCTTCGTCCTGGAGTGGGACCCTGAGTTCTTGCGAGAGTTGGAGTCTCTACAGGATGCGGAAGATGCCTCTTCCTTTCGCAACTTTATAGCTGGCCATCTCGGAATACTAGTGAGTAATTCGCTTTTCGTTTGTATATTACTGAGACTTTTCAGCTTCCACTCAACATATTGCGTGGCAGACTTACTCAGGACGAACGCAATACACTCTGTATCGGAATTTTACAACATGCCTTAATTGGACCGTTCACCGGACGACACTTCGAAAACAAGCTGTTTTACTCTGGCATGCGACTTCAGTGCAAGAATGGGTTCTCTCTAGACTGGGTAAATTCACTTTACAACGCTCTCTCACCACTACTAAATGCTCTTCAGTTTGCTGCGTCGAAGAATTCGGAAACAATTATCTCTCACTTCTCAACATCTGTTATTCACGACGGCGACTCAATCTTCCCGCACATCTACATATTATGATTCCTCCAGGGAACCTGGCAAGGGCTGTTCAACTCCCAGACGACCATCCACTTGCATCTTTCAATCTTCGACGCGCATTTTGCCGTTTTCTTCAGGGAACTGGCATTCCATGTCCTTCGTTATTCCACCCCTCGGCTCGCATTCAGACCGATCCAGTTATCGACATCGCCCATGTTGATCATGCTCGATTCCGAGCTCGAGCTCTCTGCATAGCAACCACTGGCCGCACTCAACTGCTAATGGCGGGCGACTCGGACATTCAACTATGGTTTGTTCCACCCGGAGATGTCACCTACTCATCGAATGAGGATTCGCGTGCAGCACACATGGCTGTCGGTCGCATCTCCTTTGCCACATGTCACAAGACTGGGCGCATCCCCCTGATATATCTTGCCAACCTCGTGACCGCCTCTTATCCTGCGCGCAACCCGGAAGGAGAAGAGATCGAACCAAGAGACATCCAACAGGCCTTTGACCACTGGCTCTTTACAGAGCTGATTGAGTGTGTTGGTCCCTTCACACAATACTGATTTGGTAGAATATTATGTTACCGCGAAAAATCACCCTTAGTAGAAAGGACTATCTCTAGTGATTATACCCATAGCTACTTTTCGCTCAATAATCTCAAGTACTTGAATATTTTCGAGAATTCGGTTATGCTCATCTGTGACATCAAGTGTCACACACACCCAAACTTCCCAGCTTCACACTTATAGTTAAGCCTAGTTATTGCATATATGAGTCTACCATATCCTCTAGTGTTCAAAAGTCCAAAAAAATTGGATCCAAGATATGGACAAGTTAGAGAACAAGAGTGTGACTCTCATCATCATCAGAGTCACACACTCACCAAACCTCCCAGTCTCACACTTATAGTTAAGCCTAGCTATTGCACATATGAGTCTACCATACCCTCTAGTGCTCAAAAGTTTCAAAAAATTGGATCCAAGGTGTGAGCAAGTCAGAGAACAAGAGTGTGACTCTCATCATCATCAGAGTCATACCCCCCCAAACTTCCCAGTCTCACACTTATAGTTAAGCCTAGTTATTGTACATATGAGTCTACCATACCCTCTAGTGCTCAAAAGTTTCAAAAAATTGGATCCAAGATGTAGGCAAGTCAGAGAACAAAAGTGTGACTCTCATCATCAGAGTCAGTAACTCTCATCATCAGAGTCACACTCAATTTCCATTCCAATAGAAATAAGATGTTTAAATTCCATATATAGATTAAAAAATATCAGGTCTAATTACTCTAGCATATGCAAGGGCATATGACCACAGGTTTACAACATAGGTTAAGTCAGATGAGTTTAGTATTCTAGGTGAAATATTGTTACTCATGGCCTCTAGTTGATCATCGGAAAAAACTCCAACGGGCGATTCGACAACAACCTCATTGAGATTAGGAGGAGGGCCAACTTCTCCAATCCAGGAAGTTTCCTATTCGTCGCGAGGATTGTTGTTTCCCTGAGAATGAAGAATCCTATCATCATGCAGGCCCTCCCAGTCAACACCATGAACCTCTAATTCCTCCGCCGTCAGGCTCTCCTCTATGTCTGGAAGGCTTCCTCCAGAACACCATGAACAAACTGGTCAAAGACATCAAGTCGCCCAACTTGCTCCATGAATCGAAGATAATGTGTGCGGAAAGCATTGAGGAGAGCAGGTGGCGAAAAGTTAGACACATCGTTGTTCATTGCAAGTCTGTGAAGTATTATCTAGAAAGCGCAAAATAACCCAGCTTGACGAGATTCAGAAGAAAGAGGCTCTGTTTGCAAAACGAGTAGGTGCAAGTCGGCATGTTGCTATTGGCCCTCTCGAATACTGTGGTAATGGACATCGGATCCATTATGGGTTCGGGAAATTTCGGTGCGTATCATCCAGTGCTACCTTTCCCAAGATTTAACTAAAAGTTTAAATAGGCTTGCCGTCTGTCGTGGAGACCCCCGAATCTCGAAAGAGCGAGAGGACAGGGCAGAGAGTGGAGTCAAATTGCGAACAGGGACCAAGCGAGCGAAGGAGAATAAAAATGCATATGAGGCTGGCTATGAACGGGCAGCAAAGCGATTCAAGTCTGATATTGTGCAGCTTCCTGGCGCAGTCAAGCCTGCGGGTGAGAAAAAGCGCCGAATTAGTGCTAACCAGATGATTATAGGCCAGTCTGAGTCAACAGAGCTGGTTACTAGGTCTAGGTTGCGCATTCTTCGGTCTCATAATGTGTAGATATCTAGATATCTTGATATAATTTAGTGTTTTTAGGTGAAGCAATATCTTTTCTAATGATGTCTGATTAAGGTCTATCTTGTCTTGAACTGAATATATAAGAGTTATATCATTGTTCTCTAACATGCCTACACCTTGGATCCAATTTTTTGAAACTTTTGAGCACTAGAGGGTATGGTAGACTCATATGTGCAATAGCTAGGCTTAACTATAAGTGTGAGACTGGGAAGTTTGGGGGGGGGTGTGACTCTGATGATGATGAGAGTCACACTCTTGTTCTCTGACTTGCTCACATCTTGGATCCAATTTTTTAGAACTTTTGAGCACTAGAGGGTATAGTAGACTCATATGTGCAATAGCTAGGCTTAACTATAAGTGTGAGACTGGGAGGTTTGGTGAGTGTGTGACTCTGATGATGATGAGAGTCACACTTTTGTTCTCTGACTTGCCTACATCTTGGATCCAATTTTTTAGAACTTTTGAGCACTAGAGGGTATATGATGTGGAATAACTAGGCTTAACTATAAGTATGAGGCTAGAGGTATGGTTGGTGTGGACTTGTGTTACATGATATGATAGATGATCAAGCTTGCTAAGTTGTTTCTCCAGTTTACCATTTAGTAAATATGCCTGTAAAAGGAAATTTTGAACAATTGAGCAAAATTTGTTTTTTAAAAATATTTTTTGTTGTCCTAATTGCACAAGTTATGCCCTTGCCTATTTTGAACATAAAATAATGCAAGGACACACTTAAACTCCAAGCTCAAACCAATCTCAAAACTCAAACTCGAGTTCACTCATTTTTTGCACCACCAGATCAATGTGTCACAGAACCTCCCAACTAGGTGAAACCACTGTCCAAAACCACTTTTTGATCGCAAAACCACTGATTAAAACCACTGAAAACATGTCCAAACCTCGACCAGTAGTAAACAACGAAAAATGCTTTTATACCAAGTGAATGCGACCTTGAATTCATCCGAGTGGTGGAGAGAATGAGCCGGTTTCGGCGCGATGCCGACAGTGGTTCTTCATGACACTTGTACTATGTACATGTAGTCCAAGAGGCCGTCGAAGATCATAGGTCGCTAAGTCGTGCATAAAATGTGAGTTGCCGCCGACGAGCTCAAGGGCAAGAAAACAGATCTGAAGTTGGAAGTCGAAAAGTTTTTGGTTGACGATTGATCGATGAGTCAGCGAGGTGCACAGCCACTCATTCCTCTCTGTCAATGCCCACGACCTGTTCTCAAAGCCCACTGTGTCCGCTGAATCCATCAAGCCCGAAGATTTACTTCCTGCGTGCTTCTGAGGTGAATGCTCATGCGGCAACGACCGGGACACTAGAATTCTGCAAACTCTCGCTCTGGGAGAAAGTCTCAGAAAGATATTGAGGAAGTGAGCACAATTATGGCCTCAGGTGCGTGATTCCTTTCCAATCTTTGGGACAAGGCGGTGTAACCTTACACACAACCTGTAGGTGGACCAAAGACAAACACACCGCTTGTCCTTGAAGTACTCTCGGCAACCACTTCGCAACCGCCTTGTTGGATGCCCACGGACACACGAGGGCCTTGTGTTTTACCCCATCTTTTTGTCATCTTATGCTCAAAGTCCGACTCATGCGGCCTTCAGAATGTATTTCGAAGGACTTCGGCCACTACGTTCGACGCAAGAAAACTTGGTAGCAGGCAAGCGAATTTATGGTGTGATGTCGGTGTTGCCTTCCAAAGGATGAACAAGACGCAGTGCGGCCCCGCCCACAAACCTGTATGTCCTCACCCTGCTTATCCGATACTATCAACAACCACTTGTTAGACGCCCACGCACACACAACGGCCTATTGTTTTGTTCGCCTCCCTATTTCCCTGCCAACCACAGCAAACAAGGAACACAAGGATTTCCGATGGATGTTGCTTGTTCAACCAGCGAACCTGACGACTGGCCTTTTGAGACGACGAACATGACAGTTCTTGTATTTCAAACACATTTAAGCCTTCTGTGGCCCGACTTTAAGTTCTCAGTCTGGCATCCACCAACACTCCCAGCGATGGCATTCCACTGGAGTAACTATATCCCAGAGCAACCGGGGAGCCACCCATGCGATTGTCTATGCACGCAGTGCCACACTCACAAGAGCTACCAACGCGGGTGTTTCCGCTGCAGCGTCCAATTCGCAACACCGGCTGCGACTGCGGCTGACTACTACCGACCCGCGCCACAAAGAGGCGAAGTGCTCTTTCCCTATGCCGGTATGACGGGACGGAGCTATGTAGGCCCGCCATACTACATGCCTCCGCCTCCCCCAGTGTTTTCGCTTCCGACTGCACCGCCGGATCCCCCGCGACCAAAGAAACGTGCGAGGAAGAACTAGGCCTTTTCTCGAGCGAAGACAAGACAACTATGCGGCTCCTACATCTTGTCTATATCATCCCCCCTACGTATGCTTATGCTCTATACCGGACTTGCTCTCTACGGACCCTACGGACACTAGTCGTGTAGTAGCTCTTATTAGTTTCCACACTCGTTTATCTGTATAGTCGTCAAGTTTGATCGATGAGTCAGCGGTGCACAGCCGCCTACACCTTCTCTCCCGTTTTCCACTGTACGCGCTGGATTCAACAGAAGCCCCGCCACTAGCACTACATTGAGAATGCCAGATGACACCACTGGCGGTAAAGAACAGCCCGGCCGCATTGAAATTTGACATTTCTCCCCTTCAAAACTTAGCTTGGGCAAGAAAACCAGCGAAACTACGGCGTCAAGTGTGTGATTGCTTTGGAGCGATAGAAAGAAGCGGTGTAACTCACATTCAGATAGATGTACGTCGTGGCGGCCATATTCATTACTGCTGTTGGGACACCCACACGCACACACAACGGCCTTTTGTTTTGCCCTCGGATACATCTGCGTCCTTTAACTTTACTTCTGATACGACATCTGCCCTGAATCTCATTGAGACTCTACCACAATTAACGCCAAGTTTCTGGATGCGAAAGCAAGCCAAATCGCGCCTTGAATTACCTTGGAATCGCCCACACACTGCTTATGCATCAGCAACTACTTCTTGAACACACACGGCCACACAACGGCCTTTTGTTTTGCCCGCCACTATACTTATTTCCCTGCCGACCAGCAAAAAGCACTACAATGACATCCAATACATGTCGCTTGTTCAGCCAACTAACTTGACGACTGGCCTTTGACATGGCGAACAGTTATTGTACTGCAAAAACATATAAACTCTCTGTGGCTCAACTTTTTCAGGCGCCCATCAGCATGTCTGCCAGCGACCATCCGTTCCACTGGAGCCACTTCATCCCGACACATCCCGGGGCCACACACCCACACTCCTGTCTCTGTCCCCAGTGCCACACCCACACGAGCTACCGCCATGGGTGCATACGCTGCAGCATCCACTTCGCGACACCGGCTGCGACCTCGGCCGACTATTACCGAGACCCGCCACAAGGCGGCGAAATGCTATTTCCTTATGCCGGTATGACGGGGCTGGGCCAGGCAGGCGCACCGCAATATTATATGCCTGCTCTGCCGCCGCCTCCCCCAGTCTTCTCCCTTCCGACCCCCCCACCGGATCCTCCGCGACCAAACTCGAAAAAGAAACGCACAAAGAAGAAGAAGAACTAGGTGGTTTTTCGAAGGAAAGAAGACAGCCATGCAGTTCCTTTTCCGCTCCGTCTCGTCTCCATGCATCTCTCTTATGATTATGCTCTATGCTGGACTGCTCTCCACGGACACCAAAGACGCTTGTCTTATGTACCGTCACTTCTCGCATCTACTAGTAGTCTAGTACACTCGTTTGTCTATGTGGAACCTCGTATTAACAAACTATCATACATATGAAACTTATTCTGCACATTGAGGACATCATTGACTGATGAAATCATGATCGAGGAGACAATGGCCCGATTTGGTCAAGCACCTTCCATAAATGGTCCTCACGTGCACTTTCCTCCTTTGACCTCAACAATATTCAACCATGGTACGACCTCGAGCCCACACAGTGTCGGTCTCACTCATACTTGACAGAGCACACGCGTGAAACCGAAACGCCAAAACCTCTACCATCGACATTGCAGGTCCTGCGAAATGACCTTTGCCACTGAAGAGCGGACGGTCGAGCATCTTCGAGTGGCCCATACACACGACGCGTGTGCCGACTGTTTTCGCTTCTTTGTCGACAAGAAGGCTCTTGAAGAGCATTATCGGGAGTCCAGCGCACACAACCCGCCCGACCCCAGTGACGGGGTCATCCAAGCTGCTCGGTGGGGATGCAGAAAGTGCCACCGAGAATTCAAAACAGAACAAGTGCTCCACGAACACTATCAGCACTCGGGGCGTCACCACTACTGTACCTCTTGCAACCGCCTATTCGACCACCGCGACGCGCTCCAAACCCATTTGCGCTCGTCAGACCACCCCCCGCCAAGAATTCCCTGCCCTCTGAAGCGTTGCCAAAGCGACGCCTTCCTCGACGAGCCCGCGCTTATATCCCATCTCAGCGCAGGTTGCGGTGCCACTCTCAGGCTGGACGCCCAGCAAATCGCCCGCTACATCGACAACTACTACAAGCAACACGATCCTGCAAGCACCTTCGTTTTCGTCGACCCTGCCCCGGGAACGCCCGCCGTGACGGACCGATGCTGGAACGGCTCGAAATTCGAGTGTTTTCTGTGCTCGAAGCAGTTCCCCAGCATGGGCAGGCTCAAAACGCACCTTTTCAGTCCTGCTCATGAAGACCCGAGCGCCTACAAATGCCGCCGTCTCACATGCAGACAGAAATTTGACGACCTGGGCTCATTCTGGGAGCACGTCGGCAGCGAAATCTGTGGTGTGAGGCGGTTTCGGACCAAGGAGGGTCAGGTCCTGGCCACTGACTCGAAGAAGCTTGAAGCTGCGCAGCCCCAGTCCCAGCCCGCCTTCGCAGACAATGCGAATAACGACAAGCTTGTCTTACCAGCAAATCAACAATTATTGCGGGTCCAGTCCACTCTTCCCGACCCGAAGAGAATTTCTTTCAAGTCCCAACTCACTCCCCAATTGGCACACACCGCAGAGACAGCTGACGCCGGCCATCTCGCGACCGACAACGCATGGAATGGCTCCAAATACGAGTGCTATCTCTGTCACCATACGTTCCGTCTCGGCACCGCGCTGAATAATCACCTCCGCCAACATCCGCGACACGCCCCAGACCACGGCTATACCTGCCCAGGAACGACTTGTGCGCGTCCGTTCGCAACGCTGCCGGCTTTGTGGGCACATGTCGACACGGAAGAATGTGGAGTGTCCAGGTTCCGCCATCGCGTCATCATCACCGTGACCAAGGGAATTGCGAAGGGACGAAGTTGAACACAAAATTCCTTGTACTTAGTAGTATGATCTGGCTCCTGAAACTGACATATTGATGATCTTTGTAAAGTTTTGTTCATTGTAATATAATAGTCAAGTCCTTGTCAAGGCACAAGTAATGAGAGTGGTACTGTATGTACAGTCTGTACTGGTATAAGTAAGTCGTATCATGCACAGAGTGGGAATAAGGAGGGAGGTTAAGTAGATTATAAGTAAGCGTATCAGCTACTGAGTAAGAGTTTAGTAAACTTCGTCCAACTCCAATTCGCACAATTGAGCCAGCCCACGATAGACATTCGGAAATTCCGTCTCGAGCTCCGACTTGTTTGGCAACCGAACGCCCTCTGGAATCAGCTCCGACAAGGCCAGCAGCCCATCAGTGAGCTCGGTGCCCGACGACATAAGCGGGACTTCTTTAAGAACAACGCGGGATGCGCTGCCCCCGTCGAAGACAATCCGGTGATAGCCAGTCTGAAGCCGGTCCCCCCAGTCTAAGCGGTGATACCGGGACCCAGCAAGCTCAGGCGCCGATAGTAGCAGGACGCTAATGGTCACGGGGGCCTCTGCCGTACGATGGAGGTAGTCGAAGACGGTGACAAAGCGCACCCGTGGTCCGTGGCGGTGAATCAGTCGCAGCTGGTCAAGAAGGATGTCGAATTTGTGGAGCAGATAGTCCGTGAACACGAGGTGGCGATGGTATTTGCTCTCCCGAAGACACCAGGATAGCCCAGGTCCCGTCGTCATCGGATTCGCCACCACCGCTTTGCATATTTGACGATGTCGTCCCTTCCAAGCAGCGCGTTGACAGGCTTTGTCGCAGAACAGAGAGATACCACAGCCTGCGCAACGTTTGAGCTCGGTGAGAGGCTTGATGCTTTTACACTAACGACATGGTGAGCTTCAAGTTGAAGTAGATCAAAGAGTGTGTGCACCTGAGGGTTCTCACACATTTGCCGCTGTGGATCGCAAGATCGGTAGACACGGAAGCTCTCGCCAGCCTCGGCAAACAGACCTTCCAAAGAGATCCATGCGTCACGAATGTCTCTGTCTTTCCGAATTTCAGACAAGTCCACCGTGGGGAAGCTATGGGTGCTGGACCAGCGCGCAATGCTACGATAAACGAGTGCGTTGGGGAGAAGATCGCGAAGCAGATGTAGGAGCGTCGCTCGTGGTATGCCGTCAACGGCTCGATTCTTCAAGATAGCCACAAGAGCAGACAAGAGCCCAGAAGCAACGGCCTCGCAGAGATGTGGGTACATGTATTCCTTTCCAATCACTATAATGAGCAGATCAAGAGCGCTGATGATCATCGTAGTCGCGTTGACGGTGTTGAGCGAGCGAACAAGCTTGGTCAGGGCTTTGATCACGCCAGCCTCGAAAAGCGTCTCCGAATGGCTGGAATTCATGCAGAGGATGACCACACGAAAGAGGGAGTTCGTTATGTCGAATGTGTCGGAAGTAGGTTGGAACGAGAAGTCATGGACGATGAGAGCCGTGAGATCATGGGCTTTATTGGGAAGATCGGATGCAAGCGCGTTCACGATATCTGGTGGAGTTGGTGTAGACGACGAAAGCAGTCGATGTAGGAGAACAGTTGCTCCTCTCGTTTCTTCGCGGACCTCTCTACCCAGGTTGTACCAAATCCGACCATAGAACGTCAGAATGGCTGGTTGACAGGGAGGTCTGAGATAGGCGACGGGGCGGAGCAAAATGATGGCGGCCTCAGCAACGGTGGGTGCCAACTGAATCCGGCCTGCAGTCGATTGTCTTTCGATTAATTGTAGCCATGGCCATAGACGCGGCCAGAGCTCCAATTTGGCTGCCTCCGGCGCGGCAACGACGTTGGGCAGGATACGAATGGCGTGTAGAGCGCGAAGGATGGGCTCAGGAGGGGATTCGGCATTATGATTATGATTAGTGGGATAAGGTCGACCGGGAATATCGTTGGGGTCAAGATTGGCATAGATTATGGGGAGATAGAAGCGTGAAACGGTTGTGAATGTCGCGCAATGCGTTGCCACGTGCTCCAAGTCCGCCAGGGACTTGTTCGCAGCTGCTGCGGCGCTCTTCTATGCTAATTGTCAGGAAATATTTGGGGCCATTGAATAATACGCACATGGAGACCACGAGTAAGTTGGGAAACTCGGAAGCATGGGTGCATGATTCTCGCTGGGAGAGTAAGAAAAAGACTGATAAGTCCCCTTATGCACTCACTCGCTCCATTTATATAGTTCAAGGAGCCGCTTGCTCAGGTATCAAAGCGCTATGACCGAGCGTTGAGCATTGTCCCGCAGGATTGGGTTTCCTTAGAATCTTCAATCTAGATCTTGAAGGAAGCATTTTTGAACGCGTTATATGCACCGTACAGTAGGTTAAAGTCAATGAAAAACCCCATGAGAGAATTTCAAGGCAGGCCTAGGTCGATACTGAGATTTTCTGGTCGCATGGAGGTGAAGTGCATTTGTGACAGCGTCACAGCCGCGTCACATGAGATGAGATCACCTCCAAACTCACGAAAAAACTTGAAGGAGTCGCCAGGCGGCTCAGCAGCGCGACTAAGAACATCCGTGGCGACATACCAGAGGAGACGGAAGAGTCGTATTGGCGATGGTCACCAAATGTCGAGCGAAGTGAGTCTGTCCGAAGTCTGTCCGGACTCCACACTTACATTATTAGGCTTGGGTAAATTCGAGTTGCTTAGTTGGGTGATACCTGACTGTCGCTCTCCGCCATAATCTCGACAAGTACATGCGCAATGCGAACTACGGCCCCGGCTATTCCATACCCGACTTGTTGTCACTGTCGGTCTGACTTTTTCGTCTCCGAGTCTTCTGGATTGTCGCTGAACCGCTGGAATGTACAGCGTCTACTCACCCTTTCTCGCTCCCCGGACATTCCTCCACCGTGTACATCGTCGAACCCCCGTCCCTTTACTCTTCAAGTTGCTCGTACTATATTTATTGTCTCTCGAGTCTCCCGACAAGCAGTAAAAACAACGGGGAGCGGGACGTTTCAACTCGACATAGAGGTCTTTATCGAGCTCAAACCGCCCTGTCAGAGAGATCACTTTCTCTCAACGAACGTAGGCGCAAAAACCTTCGTTAATGTCAAGCTCATACTTATTTGTTAGCTATTTCTTGTGCTTCGTCTTCTGCTGGTACATGGACAACTTGAACATCTTATCGCGAAGCTTAGGCTGGTATCAAACGATTAGATATAAGCTTGGTCTTCGTCTGGGCGGAGTCTGTGAAGACACCATGTCATTTTGCTTCCGTCGGCCCCAGGTGTCTCACCTCTGAGACCGCGGGAGCAAGTCTTCAAAAGGCGACCGTGGGTCATGTCTTGGCTCCCCACTGCTCTTCGCTCTCAACCACCATCTGCTTACCCATATTCGACGAAGAGTCACAACATCTCATTATGTCTTGCTCCTCCCAAACCCTTCCTGACCTTACGGGTGCCATCATCGACGGCGACCTTGAACTCCTCACATTGCTCGGCGAGGGTTCATATGGAAAGGTTTACCAAGCCCAGTTCACTACCATCCCCAATCACTACCTGGCCGTTAAGTGCATGCCCCGATGCCGACGCCGGTCGCAACATGCCCGGCTGCAGTCGAAGGAACTCCGCAATCACAAGGCGGTTTCAAAACACCCCGGAGTTGTTACACTCTACCGAGAAATTGTCACCGACGAATTTGTCTTCGTCGTTCTCGATTGTGCAGACACCGACTTGTTCAAAGTCATGGCCTCTGGTCTCGTCTTCACCAATCGTCCCCAGCTCATTAAGGAGGCTATCAACAGCATCCTCGATGCTCTGTCTTACATGCACCGCAAGGGGGTCTACCACCGAGACCTCAAACCAGAGAACCTACTCTGCGACCGGAACGGCAAGAACATTCGAATCGCCGATTTCGGTCTGTCCACTCAACGGTCATACTCTAACCGACATTGGTGCGGGTCGTTACCTTACATGTCCCCAGGTATGTCCTCAACACCGTTTGCGTGTCACTCCTGACTTATGTCTCCCTTCAGAAACACTTGATTCCCGCCACCCATCCGCAAGCTCTGGTTACTCGACGAAGTCGAGTGATCTATGGGCTGTCGCGATCATGTTGTGCGCTTTTGTTTCCGGTGGACTCCCCTGGGGCAGACCACACGCGAGCGACGGGGCATATGCTGCCTTCCTGAAAAACGACGACTACCTAATGTCGAGGCTGCACATAACCCAAGAGACCAACGACTTGCTCAAGCGTTGTTTCCACACCAAGCGCCGTCACCGGCCAACCCTGGAGGAATTCCGGGATGCGGTTAACTCCATCGACCGGTTTTCTACCAGCGATCCTGTGGTTGTTTCTCGTACCCCCGTTACACCTGTTGCCAAACCCACCTCGCCTTCTGCGGAACCAAGTCCGAAGAAGACAACGCGCAGCCGACGGTCGTCGCTTGACTCGCTCGCTCGCACTATTGGCCTCAAACGGTGAGGGAGACAAGGATTCGACCAAGAACACAAACAAAAAATCCTCCAGGGTTCGATCGGAAAGCACAGCTTGCAAACCTGAGGCGAGATCACCCTTTTCCATCGCAATGTCGCATGGATTTGTCGCACAACAATGTACATGTAGCACGTTATATACCCTCAATTCATGATTTTTCGAACAACTTGAGTGTCCAGTGTTGTCAGCCTTGAAAGTCGTTACCCGAAAAAAGACATCATCCATCAAATTCTTTTTCTTCCCTCCATCGTGTCGACCTTGAAACTGGAGGCCTCCCTTCCCGAAAACGCTTCCCAACCCAAACCCCACTCATGGACCAATCACCAAACCTTCCGCGCCAAGTCGATTCTACCAAATTGGCCCCTAGGCAAGTGTTTGAAGCGACCTCCGAGCTTCCCTCTGAGTTTTGTAGTTCTCCCAAGCACGGGCGTTGATATCAACCAACTAGCTCTGGTACTACCATGACCATGCATTAGCCTTTTGAGCGAAATCAGCCATCCGCCAGGTTATTCCTCGTCCGTTTTGCCACTGCCTCCATACTCACCAATTTTGTCTACTTAGTTGATACGATACTTACTCCGCTCTTCGCTCTACCTCCAGATTTGAGGTCCCCGCCTTCTACGCCCCCAACATATAAGCTCTTTCGCTCTAGCCCATGCGACGAATTCACCACCTCAATGAGTGGACTGGTTGGCACCAGTGTTTGCGAGCCCGTCATCAACATGTGAGGCCGCAAGTGCGTTCGCAGAACCTCTACATCGCTCGTTTACTCATGGCATTCTACTGTAGTCGGTGCTGTATCGCCTTTTGTATTGCATGATAAGCGAACGGAGAGGCTGTCGGACAACATTCGTCGGTCGCCGCCTGGTTCGATTGCAAGTCGAATTCGAGTCTTCGGTCACCAGTGCGTTTGACTCACTTCTGCATGGTTTAACTCTAACATGTGTGGATTAGAGGGACACTACGAAATCAAAGTCGCCATGCCGCAAGTCATCACCGGCCCTGACATTGTTTTCGCAGCTTGCGATGGGCGTTTTACTATCCACAATCGTCCTTCCAGCCCCCAGAGTCCAGAGGACAATGTGAATCCGGATTTCGACCGGGGTTACAACCGGGTCGGTCTAGCATTCGCTCTTTGCACAGCCGTTCAGCTCCATCCGGAGAGACAATCTCCATGTCTCACCTTTGAGACCGCGGAAGCAAACTGTGGTTAAAAAGCCCCCGTTCCGACCACCAAACAACTCTCACTCGAACTCCTACTGCGAACCACTAGGCGTTGACAAGCTCATACTACTATCTCACAACAATCATCATGCCTTCCCAATTCCGCGCCTCCCACTCTCTCCCTGACCTCACGGACACCGTCCTAGACGGTAACCTCAAGCTCGTGAGCATTTTGGGCGCTGGCTCATTTGGAAAAGTCTATAAAGCCATCGATCTAGACTCACCAGCCGAAAACCCCATACATTATGCTGTCAAATGTTTGCGACTACACAAACTTGGGTCCAAAGAGCGCCAGCGGCAAGAACAGGAAGTCAGACACCACAAGGCCGTTTCAGACGACCCCCGTGTCGTCTCTTTGGTTCGCTATTTCGCATCTGGCGACCACCTGTTCGCTGTTCTCGAGTATGTTGAGAAGGACGTTTTGGAGGTCTTGGCCGACCAGGAGGTGTTTCACCGTCGACCGGATCGTGTTAAGGAGGCATTCGGAGACATACTTGACGGGGTTGAATCACTGCATCGTCGTGGTATTTACCACCGGGATATCAAGCCCGACAACCTCCTCTGTGACAGCGACGGGAAGAACATCCGCATTGCGGACTTTGGTCTATCAACGAAAAAGACTCGTTCTTCTCTGTTAGGCTGTGGATCACCGGGGTATATGTGTCCAGGTATGTTTCCGCACTTTCTCTCCTTTGATATATGTCTAAAGGAGCTCATTCAGAATCGCTGGACCGACCCCTTGCAGCTGGCCTCGACAGCTACTCACCCAGGGACAACGATGTTTGGGCGGTTGCGGTCCTCTTCTGCAACTTCGTCGCTGGAACAATGCCATGGCACAAGGCCCATTTCTCGGACTCGCTATATAACCACTTCCTCCACCACAAAGACCATCTTGTCCAAGATTTGGGCCTCACCGAGGAGACCAACGCTTTGCTGCGACGCTGTTTCCACAACAACCCTCGCAAGCGACCCACTCTTGCGGAATTCCGAACCGCTATCAATGCGATGGACAGGTTTACGGTGGACGATCCGCTTCCTTCAGCAATCGCCACCGTTGTTCAGAGCGAGCAGCCCAAAACATCATTAGAGCCCGGCTCCAGCTCCTCTCGACGCGGCGATGCATCCGAAGACGAATATTCAACCCCACCCACTTCATATATTCCTTCTTCGTCCTCACAATCTTCTCCTCAGAAAGTGCCCAAAACCGGGCGGAAGGTCCCTCGTCGGCTTTTCAAACTCAAGAAGAAGAAAAATATACTTGTGCCTTCCTCGGAACCTAGTTCTGGCGCTCCGGTAGTACGAGTTGAGCGCAGACGGAGGTCTTCATTGCAATTGCTTGCTCAAAACCTTGTGCTGAAGTGGTGAACCGGTTGTGTTTGCTTGAATTTTTTCTACCTATCCTTCTTTACACATCATGGACTCGTTGCATGGACATTTCGAGCACAGTAAATAGATACCCACAAACTTGTAACTCATACCAAAATCCAGAATAAAACGTCTTGAATACAATGGACTGAAGTGTGTGTGTGTGTGAGGTCATCTCAATGCGTATTGCATGATTTTTGATCACCCCTTCTTGTTCTCTCCCTTCATGCCAACCTTGAATCCTCCTCCTTTTCGGGAACTTCACAACACATGAACAACGTACAAAGGAATCTCATCAAGTCCTAATGCACGAAGCGCTGCGCGTTTAACCCTTAGGCCAAGCCGTTAGCAAGCACAAGCGCCTCTTCACAGTAAACATATCATGTTTCGGTCTGAAATTGGCCGTGGGTGGATGCTTTGCGTAGCTGGGATAAAGGGTACGGGCTCTATTCCTGTCGCTGTTGGTGTGCTAATCGTTCTTCTTAGCCTCCTCAACGTCATTCAAAATAGAGATATACTCGTGGTCTTGTCAGGCTAAAACATTCTGGGCAACAAAAAGGTGCGTGTACTTGCACTTTTCGTTCTTCTGTAGGTGTTGCTGAATTGTTTTTGCGGTTTAATAGTTATGGCACGATGCTTGGCCCCTGGCTCCAAAGCCATGATGCACGACCTCGCGTCTTCTTGGTCTGAAATGCGCTGTCGCTGCCAGTAGTCGCGGACTCGTTATCAATTCGACAAACCCAGGTGTGTTCACCCACATCTTCCCTTTCTCGTTTGCTAAAGGAGTTAGTCATTGACTTCCCAGTCGGAGTTGTTGTTGTCGACCACATTTTCCAACGAGCCTCCGGGGTTTTTTCATGAGTGGTTTTCCTCGGCGGTGCAGCGAATCGATGCTGCACGGGCCAGTTTTATTAAAAACGCAGACTCGGATTCACGCGAAGGGTGCGCTTGCCTGGTCGAAGGTTTGTTGTCATTACTTCCGCATCTTGTTTGACTCTGATGACTATCGTGTAGTCGTGACAATCTTCCACAGACGGGATTGCAATTTCTAACCTACTACTATAACCGACTCACCCACGCGCGCGTGGTAAGCTTGGAGTTGTCGCTGGCTTGCTATTCACTAAATGTTTACCAAGCCCCTTTACTTGGCTCGATGGTACATCCTTGCAGAAGCTCGGGACAGTCTGTGGGTCTGGACCGACTGGGAGTGTGGTTCGGTCTTGTCTGGCTTTCGGTCTCTGCATAGCCGCCAAGCGGTAGGCCCCACCAAGGAGAGACAATCCCCGGGGTCTCACCTTTCGAGACCGCGGAAGCAGATCGTCCTCAAAAAGCCACGTTCTGGCTCTCTCCTGTCTCCAAACTACTCTTGCCTTGACCACCACTGCATACACCACGAGTCGACCTGCCTCTTAACAATCCACACACCCACTCCATTTATCATGCCGGCTCAATTCTACCCCTCCTCTCGCTCCCTGCCCGACCTTACGGGGACCGTTCTCGACGGTAACCTCAGGCTCGTGAGCATTTTGGGCGCTGGCTCATTTGGAAAAGTTTATAAAGCCATCGATCTAGACTCACCAGCCGAAAACCCCATATATTATGCTGTCAAATGTTTGCGACTGCACAAACTTGGGTCCAAAGAGCGCCAGCGGCAAGAGCAGGAAGTCAGACATCACAAGGCCGTTTCAGACGACCCGCGAGTCGTCTCCTTACATCGATCCTTCACATCTGGCGAATTCCTCTTCGTTGTCCTCGAGTATGCCGAGAAGGATGTCTTTCAGGTCATGGTCAGCCAGAACATGTTCTATTGCCGGCCAGCCCGTGTCAAGCAGGCATTTGGAGAAATACTCGATGGTGTTGAAGCCATGCACCGTTGTGGTCTCTACCACCGAGATATAAAAGCCGAAAACCTTCTCTGTGACAGCGACGGGAAGAACATCCGTATTGCGGACTTCGGTCTATCGACCCGGAAAATACGTTCTTTCCTGTTCGGCTGTGGGTCGCGAGCGTATATGTCCCCAGGTTTGTCTCCATTTTCCTTCTCATATGATCTTTATTTCTGACTTCTTTATCCAGAGTCGCTTGACCGAAATCACCCAGCCGCTCTTGAGGGCTTCTCGCCCAAGGACAGCGACATGTGGGCCATCGCTGTCCTCTTCTGCACCTTTGTTGCCGGCGTAACGCCATGGCAAAAGGCACATATTTCCGACCCGTCATATCACTTGTTCCTCCGGAATAAAGACCACCTCATCCACGACTTGGGTCTCACAAAAGAAACCAACGCTTTGCTGCGGCGCTGTTTCCACAAGAACCCGCGGATGCGGCCCACTCTTGCGGAGTTCCGGGCCGCCATCAATGCGATGGATCGGTTTACGCTGGACGATCCTCTGCCTTCAGCCGACATCACTGTCGAGAATGGCCACCCTAAAGAGTCGTTGGAACCGAGCTCCAGCTCCTCTCGCTCCCATCGAGGCGAGACGTCAGAAGAGGGACATTCTACACCACCCACATCATATATTCCCTCTTCGTCTTCGCGTGGCGCAGCCTCCCGCGCCCCGACAAGTCGTCAAAACTTGCCGGAAGTTCCCGCGGAGGCTGTTCAAGCCCAAGCGGAAACATGTGCCCCCTCCTTCTCCGGAAGCCAGTGCGCCTACTGGCCAGATCGGACATCGCCGGCGGAGGTCGTCGCTGCAACTACTCGCTCAAAATCTTGGGCTGAAGTGGTGAAGAAAGTTTTTTTTTCTTTGCTTTGGTTTACTTTTCCTTCTCGCTTGGACTCTTACGAGCACATTACTTCGATACCTACCATATTTGCATTACAATCATACCAGAACAGCATGAAATTGAAAATTGTTAAGCTCATCCTCCTGTTCCGTGAACAGACATTAAACTGGTGCCTTCACAGGCGTCGTGCATCTTTTTGGCTGGGTCATCGAAGTCATGTGACCACTCATCAACTCTTCGGAAAACTTTGAACAAGCGGACTCTTCAACTGGCGGACAACACGCGCAGTGGCCACAAGAACGAATGAGGCTCATGGACGGTGGTGAGCTAGTATATTTGACCAAAGACTGCTGCAACTCATGTTTTGAACCAGACTACCAACTTGAATGAATTATGAGAGCTTTCGATGAGGATTTCCCCGCCCTAATGCTCGCCCGAAACGGTCCCCAATGACGGCGAAGGAAACTGTTATGGACAGTCACATTTCCTGGTCACTAGTAGCGTCGTACTCGGTGGCGTGCCGCTTCTCCATTCGAGCAGTAATTATCGCCAATTCTCGCGTGGCCCCCAATTTTGGGGTCCGCGTCTACTTACTACGCATCAAGTGTTTGGTAGTTCTCTCAGACTATTGCTCTCACTTCTCAATCAAGAACCTGAGAGACAGTGAGAGTTACTGTCTGCAACTACCCGCGCCGTCAACCTCTTCTCCAGAAATGCGCCAAATGGGATGTTTCCTTCAAGTTGTTCAAGTTACTGTAACTTGTCCTCCTCGCTACTACTTGTAGTATCTGCTAGCCTGGTGCGTGAACAAGATCGCCACTCAACCGGTATGTGTGTTATACCCTTCATGTGTGCCAGATGGCTAACCGACTTTTGGGCAGCGTTTTGCGGTAGCAACTTGCGCTGGCCGCGGTTCAAGTTCCTCCACTGGCAGGCGTTTTGAAGTTTGGCACGAATACAAAGGCAGAGAGGCGACTCGGACAAATCTCAAGCAAGGACCTGAACGTGTCGTAGCCTGAGGTTGATGATGCTTTCGATGAGCTCTGCTCGGAGCCTAGAAACCTTCGGAAGGAGGAAACGTTGCATGCGTATGAGAGTTAACCAACTTGAATCTGGTAGGCCGTCCCACAAGTTTCACTTTCATTTGATGCTATGATATCCCAATGCCAGGGCCGCTATCCACCATGATCACTTCGTCATTCCTCAGCACTTCCTAGTCATCCAAATGCTCCAGTTCCCCTGCCAATGAGCCGAGCATCAACATAATGTGATTCAAACAAAACTGGTCAAGTAACTTACAGGTGTCGAAGGCTGCACAATGTAGATTTTTGAGCATACTGAACGACCATGTGAGAAAAAACCCTTACTCATTAAATTCAGTGACCCCGGGCCGCTGGCGGGATGATTGCGACCGTTGTTGTCTGCAATAGCCTTGTACTTTGATTTCGCTGTCGCGCACCAATCTGTGAGCACGATGCTTCCCAAAGGAACATGCTAAGCTATGCATCAACATTCTTCTGCTAAGCAGTAGAGAAAAGGGACTCGCTGAATTGTATTTTACGCGCGCACGACGATTGTACACCCCCTGTCCTCTCAGTGCCAGCACCAATACCAAGGGTGTGCTTCTAGTACCGACAGTGTCATTGCCATTTGAGTTATAAAGCTGGATCTGCTTTGTCCAATGCTCGCTCCCTGTGGCAGACAGGTCCAAGTAGAGATCAGCAGATTTATATGCTTCATTTCCCTCTACAACGGCGATGGTGCGCTTGATGGACAGGACAGTGTGAGGCAGCGGTACCTGCAGCTTCGCGATTCTTCCATGGGCCGGGCGCGAAAAATCAAAGCAGGTCTTTGCTGTGCCTTCCCCGCCACTTTGGGTGAAAAGATGGTAGTACACTGAAAATGGATGCCCGCGAAAAATAGTAAGCAGCAGGAAGCGACAGCAGTAATGGTTGACGCACCATAATCCGTTTCTTCAGCTTTCGGGAAAACATCAGGCAGCTGCCCGCGGCGCTTGGCAATTGTTGCACGCATTGCATCTGGCATCTCTTCTGTGAGGGTGACCATGAAGGGGGTCTGTGCGGTTGACCCAGCGCCTCTTTCCCCAAACAGCGCCACCTTGCTATTCAATTCCATCTTGCGACCGCCCTCAAACACCGCAATGGGTGTGGTATGAAAGTCGCTGAGCCCTTCATCATGAAAGATCCGACGGCAGACAGTAGACAGTAGACGAGGAGGGGGCACAGAGCTGGTCACTATACGCCCAATGTATGGATCGTCCTCTCGAAATGCTGTTGTAACGGGCTCGATACCGTCCAGGCTGTACAAGCGATAGTACTAGTAGACTGAGCGCCAGTATGAGCAACGACACGACAGCTCAGAATGGAAAAACCACAAGTACCATATGCCAGTGAGGGCCCCTCGGGTTCCGTCTTCAATTCAGACATTTGGGTTGTGGTGAGGGTAAGAGTGAGCGAACGCATGGATGATGACGCCGGGACAGTGTTATTCATACGGCGTTCAACATGTGGCCGGCATTGCGCACTAAACGGAGCACTGGTCGTTCATTTTCGGTAGTAACCAAGATCCTATGTTGGCGAATAAGGTTGAAAAAGGTCAATTTCGTGAACACGCTGTAAAATTAACCACGTTCATCGGAATAACACATATACTGCACCGGTAGCATCTAATGTTCAGCCCCCTACCTACCGCGCGGGCTTCTCCCCCTCTGCGCAAACTCCTTTGCAAACTTGCTCTGCATCCGTATGTGCTTCCCGTATTTCCAAAACAACAGTGGGCTAAGGAAGGATCAACTCTCATAGTCGCTATAAACAACGAGTCTACTCACGCGGGACAGCCGATGGCGATTCCAATCACCGCCAGAATGGTGTCGCCCTTCCCGTAGCCTAAATGTTTGTACATCGCCTGGGCAAACAACGGGAACCCGAAGCCGCAGAGCGAGCGCAAGCAGCTGGCCGCGGCGAGGGCAGACGCCGCGTGCAAGACAAAGACGTCCACGACGTACATCTGGATCGACTGGAAGTTGAGGATGATGCCGGCCCCGACAAGGGCAATTCCCTGAAATGTTTCAGTCAGACACGAGGAAGAGAAATTGCGCTTACTATATCGGGGACAACCCAGTGTGTGTGGTTTTGGACACTCCAGCCAGTGATCAGGAGCCCCACGGGCGTGCAAATAGTGCCGGGATACATCGAGGCTTTATTCAATTGTCAGGCGAGGTGATAAGAGAGCAAAAGCACCTACGCAATCGGAACTCCGGCTCGCCAACACCGCCGTTCTTCTCCTTCAGTCGCCGGTATATCCTATCCATCACCCGAGCATTGATTTGTGAGGCACCAGTAACGCCTAGTCCGAGGGCAAAGTAATGCAGGCCTGAAATTTCGACGGACTGGTGGTAGACTCCTTGGAACATGAGCGGCATCGAAGTGAGGAAAACTGGTCCTTGTGTTAGCTGTGAATTGGAGAGAACAAGCCGCGTACGGTAGAAAAGGCCATAAATGAAGGCCATATATATGCCCAAGAGCTGCAAGATTGGCTCGTGGTAGAACATAATGACGGGCCGGGTCACGGCAATGTAGATGATGGTCTTCCATGTCCTGTTGGGGTTCGCAAACCGTGAACGGACGCGAGGGACTGTGCCTTTCTCTGAATCCTTAGCAAGAGAGCGGCGAAGGCGTTTGGCTTTCTGCTCAAGAAGATATGGAGCATACGCTGTCAATTAAGTCAAAATAAACCCCAGAGTAAGCTAAAACCAACGCACATTCACGCAGATAAAACAGACCAAGTAGTTGGACCCCAACCGTGAATGCGCTTGTGGACCAGAATACCCATCTCCATGTCGACTTTTGCGCGATGAATGCACCGCAGACTGGGCCTACAACAGGGCCTAAAAGCGGCGCGAGAGAGTAGATTGCAAGAGCTTGACCCCGTTCTTCTGGTGACCAGATGTCTCCCAGCACACCACCGCCGATCTTCATGGGCTTTTTAGTTACGGTACTTGATACGAACGAGACATACGGCTAGCGGGGCACTACCACCCAATCCTGCGAGAAATCGGAATACAAGCAGCTGAGGCGTCGTTTTTGCAAATCCGCAGACAAAATTCCACAACAGGTAGAAGAGATTTGCGAGCTGGATGACCTTGTTTCGACCAAATATTTCGGAGAGTGGACCGAGAAACTATTCTTAGTTCAGCGTCCATTTGATATACCTTGAGTCAGGGCATACAAGTGGGCCGAGGGCTGCGGAGAAATGTGTTCAAACTGGGCGGGTCACCGGCAAAACGGGGGGACGCACCATATGCTAGTACGAAGATGGAGGTGACGAGTGCCACCACGACGTCATTCGTTATACCGAAGTCTTGTGCGACCTGCTGGCTGGCGGGGGCGATCATGCTTGAGGAGACTGGCGAGATGAGCGTGAATGCGGAGACAACGGCGGTCGCAGCCCATTTCTTGCTCCTACTCCAGCTAAAGCCAATATATTTTTAGTTTTCAGACCATACGAAGGTGTAGAGCACGCACTTCTTGGGATTCTCTGGGTCATCAGGCCCATTCCAGTCCACGACTATCTCTTCTACGGTTGGCTGTGAACTCTCTGCAGCAGCCACGGTGGTGGGTGTTGACCGCGAAGAAGTAGGGGAGGTCATGGGCCGCAATGGAGCCACGGCCAAACCCATCCATTTTTATCCAGAAGCCTCATCAGGCTGTCGGCTTTCGGGGCGGGGAATATCCGTGAAGATTTGTCAAAGTTGCTGAAACGCATATCTGTCGACCAGTCGGGGTTAGACAAATAACGGGAGCTCGCTCGAGGCAAGCGATGTGTGCAAGACAACAAGTACCCGCCCGTCATCGTGGTAGAGGTCGAAGAGCCGTGAAAACTCGAGAAAGTGCCACGTGATGATCGGACAAATCGGATTTATGATGTCAGCAAGAGTTGTTGACGGAAACCATACCCTCAATTCCGGATCCTCGGCGGCGGATAGAGCTCCGCTGACCAGGCGCTTCACCTCAGCAATTCACTTGAAGCAACATCAGCCACCACACGCCCACCGCTCTTCGCCGGTTTTCAGATGACTTCCACGACTCGGATGGGCTGACTAGTTGGCTAGAAAGAAAGCATTCGAACGCGTGGACTCTGAACTGCTTCATTACAATGACCTATCGCTATTTCCTAGTCTCACAACGTCACGACTCCCACAGCAAAATCGAATGCCCTCTTGCGACTACTCAGAACACTATCTCCTCAATGATATAACTAGGGAAAAGAGTTTAGTCTGTGGAATCGTGGCACATATGGAAACACTCACCAGGAAATCTACCACATACCGATTCTCATCCTTCGTCCACTCGTCTCTATTATCAAGCTTAGTGCTCGCTGGGACTATAAACCGCACTCGTTTCCTCCCTGGAGTGACCGTGCGCTCTTCAATGTCATCGTCTTCAAACTCGATTTCATCGTCCCCGTCTGTCGATTCAGCCTTCACCGTTGTTGGTGTTTCCCATTCGCTGTGCAGCTCGAAAAAGGCAGGAATTGCCTCGAGCTCGGCTGGTGGTGGAAGTTTCGGGAATACACGCGGCGGACTTGTCCGTGGTCTCGGGGGCGATGGCAGGGTACGATCTGGGTAGAGAAGCAGCTCGACTTGACGCACGCTACGGGAGATATGGGAGCCTGAGGGCTGTGGTCTGGGCGGGCTGAGTTTCGGCGGGGCTGTGATTTTAGCTCAACAAACAACGCGACATCACTGCACGATAGACTCACGCGTGGAAAACCCCGGACGTCTGAACTTCGGCCGAGTTATCTCGCTGGAATCCGATTCCGGTGATGATGGTGGTTCAGCCGATTCATCTAAGGCTCTGCGGAACCCCGAATCATACGAATTCTCTCGCGAGCGAGGCACCGGAAAGGTCTCCAGCGTGCGCTTCAGAGCACATTTCAGCGCTGCGATGGATGAATGGCGGGAAAGGCTGAGTTCGGATTCCAGTGTTGACGAGGACGGCGAGGTCGAGTCAGAAGAACGGCGACTTGAGCCGGCCGAGGTGTCCGGAGGGAAGTTTATCTCATAGATGCTCGTCGTCATAAGCAACGTTGACGAAAGGAGAGGTCGCACTTGTCGGAGGTCTCATCCGCGTTGAAACGGACTCGGAAATCAATGGTTGAGGAGGGTTGACGTCGGAAGCACTGCCATGGATAGGCCAAAAAGGTCAGATGCGGGGACATGAGCTCCAAGCAAGACACAAGAGGGAAAGACCAAACAGAGTTTCAGCAACCTTCGTGCAACAAATCTTGGCATGCATATGCAGAGATTTGGGTGCGGCACTGAGAGATGTCGCGAGGAACATCTGGCCATCTCGAGAGTAATCAAGTTGCTGAAAGGGATAAGTAAGCGACTTTACAACCTCTGAAGACTTTCCTTTTCAGGGTTTGGGCGTTGCACCGAATCGAGGTCACATCAGCGTCACAGCACTCAATTCTCAATTTTGCAGCATTCATGGCAGCCTCACCATCTCCTGCATCCAAGGCCTTTCCGATAAACGACCTACCTACCGATCTTGTCGGCGATATATTCTCGTATACCCTTCCCCTCATATCTCCCTTCAGCCAACCATTTCCGTTGCTACCCCCCAGTCAACGGTATTTGCGCGATGGAGTGCGCTGGGACCTCGGCGCTCCTTGGTCTCTAACCGCAGTTTGTACACAATGGAGACGTCTAGCTCTTTCTCTCCCAGGATTGTGGTCCAACTTATTCGTCTCGTCGGCTATGAAACCCCGCGAGCACGCCCTTCTCCGAGTCCAACTAGCGAGGAGCGGGGAAATGCCCCTGCAAATCTTGTTCCGCTTCACGCACAACACCTGGTATGCTCCCCGCATACGCGGATTCGTCAAACTCTGCCAGGAGATTGCCAAACACAGCTCGCGATGGCAAATGGTCGAGTTCTACTTTGATGCACCGACCAACCCCAACGAGTACTTCAAGAATCTTGGGCGGTTGGATCAGCTAGTGGATGTACGAATCAGGGGCGAGTCTTTATCGTATCTCCCCTCTCTTGACCTCTTCAAGCATGCCTCGCGGTTAACGTCTGTTCGTTTGGGCGACATTCACTTTGGCATTGGCCTTGAGAGAGGAGTCATATTGCCATGGAAGAGGCTCAAGACATACAAAGCCGTTACTCGCCGCGCAGAAGAGCATCTTCATCGTCTGGCCCTTTGCGCCGAAACTGTCGAAGTTGTCGATATCAAGACAACTGATGATCTCGTCCTCCCACTCGACAAACATTCCGTCATCGAATGCCCTGTTCTGCACAGGCTGGCCACAAATCACCGTTTCTTGGTCTTCTGCTTCGCCGCCCCAAATCTCAGGGATCTGTACCTTGACGGTGTCGCGCCGGGGTACCAGTACGACACTGACCTCCTTAACGTTGCAAACCTCACCCAACTTACTCTCGCATCTTTCTCGGCTTCAGAGAAGACTTTCCGTGCAATCATTCAACAAACTCGGAGTTTACGCGTCCTCCAAATCAGCTTTCTCGACAGCCTTCCAAGCAATTACAACGAGCAAAATGTCATTTTGACCTTCCTATCATCCAAACCAGCCCTACCAAACCTCTGTCATTTCGAGTGGGCAGACTTGTCCGACTCCACGGACCGTTCCCTGCTTGTCGACTGTCTCCTTCATCTCATCGCGTCAGAGAAAATGAGGTTCGTGAGGGTAATCTCCAACAGATTGCGCTTGGGTACCGCGGGACGAAGACTGCGCGAGGTTGCAGCAGACTCACGAGTAGTGGTGGCCGTTTCAACAGCAAAGAAAGGGAGGCGGATTATAAAGCAGTGGAGACAATATTAGAGGACATATGTAGTACTAGTTGCCCAAATGGCCCATTGGTGTGACCATTCGTTATAATTTATTCTTCTTCTTCTTTCGCTCCATCATGCATCGGAGAAAGCGTGCCGGGTTAACCTCTTCTTAACTCCCGCGACACTCTGTCCTCTCCTCCATCCCGATGGCCGCAGTCGAGCCTGGTTTTCCCCGCCCAAATCCAACGACCTCGTGGTGGCTCCAGAAAGCTCAAGCGGCAGCTTTGCTAGGCAAGGGCTATCGCACCACGCCAGAACTCCCTTCCAGCTCAGACGTTACAATCGTGGGCTCTGGCCTGTCTGGCGCCGCGACTGCCTATTTCCTACTCACAAGCCAGTCGCCACCTGCAAGTGTGACGCTCATCGAGGCCCGCGAGATTTGTGATGGTGCGACGGGCAGAAACGGTGGCCATTGTAGACCGGATTGTTATCGAGGTGAGTTGGTACGGTACGAATCCAGCTTTGGATTGACGAGTGTGCTAGACTATACGCATTACAAGGCCGAGTTTGGGAAGGAACAGGCGTTGAAGATCATCCAGAACGAGATGGTGTGTGTCGAAACCTGGTTTTCTATCTTTGCCTAACTGTTGTAGGACACGTTAGATCTTCTTGAGGAGCTGGTCCGCAAAGAAGGCATTGACTGCGATTTCTGGAGAGGCTTTTCGTATGGTGCGCCTTCCCCGGTCTTTTCTATTACTGGTCTTACCTCTTTCGTAGATGTGCCGATGGACGAAGAAGGCGCGGCATTTCTCTCCGCTTCATACGAAGAGTTCGCAGCAGACGGTGGACCAGTCGACATCATCACTCGCATCCTTGACCCTGCCCAAGCAGCCAAAGTGACCCGTTGTCCCCGCGCGACCGCCAGCTACAAGTTCCCGGCTGGTTCCCTTTTCCCCTACAAATTAGTCCAAAACCTTCTCGATCTCTGCGTTCGGAAACATGGCCTCAACATCCAGAGCCAAACACCCGTCCGAAAGGTCACGCAGGAAGGGAATAGATGGAGCCTACATACCGACCGCGGGATTGTCGACAGCGCAAAAGTGGTTTTCGCAATGAATGCATTCACATCAACGCTTTTGCCGGAATTTTCTGGGCATATTTGGCCGTTCAAGGGCCAGTGCTCTGCTGTTCTCCCACCGAAATCATACTTGGGTAACATCGCCCTCCAATGCACATATAGTCTGGTATGTTGTCCCTTTTTTATTTGTTGCTTCGTTCACAGGGTTTTTTAGAATTATGGCGACTATCTTATTCAGCGACCCTCGGACGACATAATCATTTTCGGTGGTGCGAGAAGAGCCGTCCCTGTAGAGCAGCTACTCGGCAACACGGATGACGAGTCATTGCTGCCAGCCATGACTGATACGCTGAAAAGCTCGCTTCCGGCATACTTTGCAGATTGGGCAGAGGGAGAGGGCGAAGTCCTCCATGTCTGGAGTGGTTCGTCGCTCACGTTGGCATAATGAAGTCGTTCTCATTCCTCGTAGGCATTATGGGTTATACGAGCTCGGGAATCCCGTTTGTCGGGGAGATCCACGACAAGCCAGGCGCTTTTGTGTGCGCGGGACATCATGGACATGGTGCGTTTGGTGTCTCTTGGAGTAGCTTCCGCTGAGCTCCGTTGATAGGGATGGCACGAATCTTGACTGCTGCCCGCGGTCTTGCTGCTGTAATTCAAGGGGCGCCATGGGCAGAGACAGGGCTCCCCGAATGTTTTCAGCCTTCGAAAGAGCGGTTGGAGGGGGCAGCGAGGGGGAGGGCGGTTGTTCATAATATTGGAAAGCAGGATGTGGTTGGGTAACTGACAGCGAACGAGAAAGAGGAAGAGCTCAGCCAATCGTTGGGTAGCTTTCCACTCAACTTTCCATTGTGGCTGGAGCATCTCAATGAACCGGTTTGTGCGATCATGGCCGCGAAATCGAGCTTAAGATAATGCGGGTGCCTCCAGGTTGGACCATCTAAAATGAGCAGACCTAAGCTCTATTTACGCCCACTCGTCCTCAATTATACGCAACCGATCTTGTCGACTTGTTCATCTGGAAGATTTGCGCGAGTTTCTCTTCCAAAATGACTTCGATTCAGGCATGAACGGTGTCCTCAAGGTGTCCTCGTTAACAGGGCCTCTTCACATATTCCCCACCGACTGTTGATAGATGATATCGTTGTCGATTGGGATGGTGTCCATGACCAAGCTCACAGAATACCACTGCGCACTGTGCCCAGTCAAAGTGTTCAAAGACGAAACGAACTGAAGTTTCAGTAGATGCTTATTAATTTTGTGCCGCGGCGGAATACTGATTCTAACCGCCAGCAGCCAAGTGTTATAATTATTACTTTGGTGCTCTTGACGCACAGATTGACTTATTCATGCGTCTCAGCACAATGTGGGTTAACTCTGGCGGACCTCATCTATTGGGATTAACTGTTACCTTCAAGTTGACTGTTACACCCACTTTTCTGTCACAGCTAACATTTCGTCACATCGTCTGTCCTCTTCCACATCTTCTCAGGAAGAATGCAAGGCGACCAGTCTCTGTCCGTCGAGACTAGTAATTCCTGCTCTTTGCGTACTCTCACCTTCAAGTTGGGCCATATATGGAACGCTTGCCTTGCATTGCGAGGGAGACACACCGGTGAGCGACTCAAACCCATTCAGCTCTCCGCTCAACTCCTTCTGCGCAGTCCTCCTCCTCCCTTCGGTGCCGCTAGCAAGTGCCATTGGCGAGCGAGGTTGCTTTCTGGGTGCGTTTCTCGACCCGTGCATTCCAACGCCATAACATCATATCGCAGAGCCCACTGTCTCCTTCAACCATCTCTCCATCCTCCATATCTTCCTTCCAACCAAAGCCCTCCCCATCCAACGTTACTCGTTCCTAAACCCATTCGTCCATTTGCGATCACATCAATTGGCCGCCTGAAATCTACAGTGCCAAACAGACGAACGGTCTAGCGACGGGCCGTCCCCCTCACCATACATCTGCCACGAGTCTCTTTGCTGTGAGGCTTCTGCGCCTCGTGGCCACAGCCTATAGATCGAAGCATTGACCCTGCCTCGTGGGGAGTACACAGTGGTGAAACACCTCGTGAGTTCTCAATCTCCCTCGACACTAAAACTGACGAGCGATTTCATAGCGGATCACATGAATATTAATATTACACAACGTTTGCTGCACCCCTGTTCAATATCGGCCGTTTACTAGTCGACCTACCACACTCTTCCACCTTGGTCCACCAATAGGCCGTCTCGAGATGAAGAATCCACGTACAAACACACATTGGTTTTCGCGGTCTGAACCAACGTCAGTCGATGTCCGGACCGTCGCCGACGTGATATGATGCCATTCAAATTTTGGCTCCAGCGAGCCCTCGACAAGCCCGACCAGCGCGAGCTTCCACGAGAAGCCCACACTTGTGCTTAAACCGCATGCAGTCGTGATGCCCCAAGCCGAGGTCTTGTCGCAGCCTGTCACAACAAACAATGTGTCGCTTTGGGCATTACTATTAGCAGGGGTTGTTTGGATGGCTCTGGAGGAAAGAAGGTCCGAGGCAGCTGGGATGAAGCCTGAGTTTTCTGCAAACTCGTACCATGATTCAGCGTGGTCGTGGACATATTTGCGGAAATGTGATATCGGCAGAAGGTCTTCTCTGGAGGCTCCGTTGGGGAGAACAAGCACTGCGCCAACTGAAGAGCGAAAACTGAGCTTGACGCTGCTTCCTGCACTGGTCGGAATACATCTGATGGGCGGTATAAGTGAGTGATCATTCTTTCAACGAGCCTGAGACTGACGGTGGAATAACAGACGATGCTCCAACTCCCAGCGACATTTCGCATACTCTCGCCGTGGTTATAATCGACCCAGGCGAATGATACATTCTTTTGGACACTGAACGTCTCTCCAACCCGAATGGTTCGAACCCGTTGGGAACTCCGTTCCCAGTATTGCTATCCTGGTTGATGGAGTGATTTGCGGGCGAGCAAGCGTTGAAGAGGACTTCGAACGAGCCATCGCGCCAGACGCCGACATCGCCGATGCTGACCCCGACCTGCTGGTATTCGATGGGGAGGTTCTGGTTGGGTTCTGGCGTGAAAAGCGGGATGCCGTGTTTTTGGGAGACGAGCGAGTGATAGACCTCGGTTGCAGAGGGGGGCATTCTGCCTCGTATGAACTGCAGGTGCAAGGTGGTGTGAAATAGGAGGGAGAGGTACTTTACCCGCAAAGAAGTTGATGTCCCGTTGACATGGGAGGGGGAACCGCTTACCTCCCCCGATAGGCTTAGTGGCTATCAACCCGACGAGAATAGATTGTCCGAACTTTGTGGGGTTGGAACAACTGGACAACAGTTGCATGGACAGCATGGACTTTTCGGACAGTAGTGCTCGGAAAACGTGCTCGTTCGAATGTCTTGGAGGTCCGTGCGCGGGAACGTGATATACCGGAAACGTCCCCATTGGCTGTGCAGGCTGGATTGGACTGTTGTCCTGATGCAAATTGTTTGGACTTTTAGTCGTTGACTGAACCTGCCCACATCATAAAAATTAGCATTGGATGGTATCAAGTGCGACAGAAAGAAGCATGGAAAAGATTCGTGGATGGGTAGTATACTGAAAAGTAGCCACAAGTCCGGAACGAAAGGATGGAGCGAAGCAGCCTGCGAAGACAAGGACACTATTCATCATCTGCAAAGCTTCCCTCAGGCTCTTTGTCTTGCTGAGCCTTGTTCGGGAACCAAGCGATCCAAAGCCAACTCGGTTTTGAATGTACGTTCAAATACAGAGCGCTGGGAAGCTGTGTTAGACGGCAATGAAATTCAAAGCGAACATACCTGCTCAAAAGTGACGTAGTACTCATCGTCCCAAGAGTAACCGGGGGGCAGCTCTATGCAGGGCTGCTCAAATACGATGTTTAATTTGTGTAAATCCTAAATTCAAGGTCAATCCCTTGTTTGTAGCCGGTAAACCTCACCTCTGGCACGATATACCGACGATGATGGATTTTCCGAAGCCTGATCATAGGGTCGGCATGCAGCAAAGTCGGTTGGGATCGCGTGCTGGTTGGTGGTGTGCTTCGAGCTTTGAATTTTTTGGTGTTCAGAGTATCTTCAAGTTCCCCAGTCAGCTTCCGTTTACGGCTGCCGGGGCTTTCTACTTTGCTCGAGTCGATGTCGTGAACTCCCTCGCCAGGCGGTACAGCAACATCATCGAAGGATTTAGGCTTTATTTGCGGCCCGGGTATTTCAAGTTTGCCAGTGATAGCGCAAGAATTCATATGATCCAATTGCGCTTTCGCCCAAGTTTGAATTTGTACGTTAGATAGGAGGAACGTAGGTTCAGCGACCGGTTTACCCATGGCATTCAGACCATCGGTGCGACTATGACCTATTAGTTTTCACGAGCACTAGCACAGACAACAACTTGAACTGACAGATCCAAGGCTATGGTCCCGTTTTCTTGGAGACGTGCGGTTAGCGACACAGTTACCATCCTAGTCCTTTCGGAAGTCATGGGGTCCGAGTCCCTGATTGATGCTCAACCCTTCAGCTTCGATAGAATCGAGAACAACGTACAAGTTCAAGCTGTCTGTACTGTGACCGGCAAAGCCTGAACCATGGACAAGCGGTTCCTCCTCAGCGACATGAACGTCGTTGCTTGGTCCTTCAACGATTTCCGAGCGTTGATCGTTGGCAGCGGTCTGGGCAGCTTTATGGTTCCGCTTCCTTCCCTCCCCGGCGCGCTTACCGTTGTCTAGCTTCTCGTATAATTTCTATAGAATGGTCAGCTACCTCGCTCGCGTAGACGACACCACCCTGGGCCTACCTTCTTGAAACTCTCAGGTTCGTACCTGCCGACCCCAGGAAATTTCCTCAGAACCATCGGATAATACACCTCGTTCGAGCGCTGCTTGCCGTTCTTTTGGATGTCGCCACGGAGAACAGCCAGATCTCGCTCTTCCGGGGTCATGTCTCTGACCCGCTTTAGATAGTCCCCGTAGTCTAATCGCAGAACGTTGAGAACGAAGGCGTTGACTTCCAGACCAAACTGGTCCCGCTTGTTTTGAGTGGGATTCCATTCCTTGAGGGGCTGAGTCGATGTAGGCGTAGTTGTATGGGCGGTTGACATTGTCGTGGACTGAAGTGAAACGGAGAAGGAAACGTCTGTGACGGGTTCTCCGAGTCGGCCAAGAGTCGGCACCTGGTCGGCATATGCCTATGCATCACCACCCATCATGATCGGTCGTCACAGCGTGACCTCACGCGTTTCGGTCCCTTGCGCATTACCTCCGATGACTAGCTCGACTGCGGGCGTAATGGTATGGGGGACATCGCAGCCCGTCATGGTGCCCGACTTGCCACTGATGACTCTGCAGCTGTCGCGCAGGTCGCAGTCCACCGCAGTCCTAGTCGCCCATATAAGCCCCCAAATGCTTCAAGTGTAAGCATTGAACGACACTAGCGACTCAAATAACAGACATGGACGACGATATTACCGCGATTGTGCTCGACAACGGGTCTGGGATGTGCAAAGCTGGATGTGAGTGGTTGCTTTTCTCCGTTGCTTGCGAGCTGACTGGTTTACTAGTTGCTGGTATGTATGTCTTGTGGAGTCTATAGACTCGAATCGCTAACGATAAGCAGGCGACGATGCGCCGAGAGCAGTTTTCCCGTGCGTTTGCTTTTGCCTACAAAATGAAGCTCGTCTAACATTTTCTAGGTCTATTGTCGGCCGTCCGCGCCAACAAGGGGTCATGGTTGGATTCGGGAACAAGGACTCGTATATTGGGTACGTGAATAAGACTCATTTTTTGCGAACTTTTAGCTCACACACACACTCAGCGATGAAGCACAAGCCAAGCGAGGGGTCCTATCTTTACGGTACCCCATTGAACATGGCATAGTCACCAACTGGGACGACATGGAGAAGATCTGGCACCACACCTTCTTCAACGAGCTCCGCGTCGCGCCAGATGAACACCCCGTTCTCCTCACCGAGGCCCCGCTCAACCCAAAAAACAACAGGGAGAAGATGACGACGATCATGTTCGAGACGTTCAATGTCCCCGCCTTCTTCGTCCAAATTCAGGCGGTGCTCTCGCTCTACGCCTCTGGCCGGACGACGGGCATTGTCATGGACTCTGGCGACGGTGTTTCGCATGTGGTGCCGATCTACGAGGGGTTTTCGCTTCCGCATGCAATCCAGCGGCTCGATGTTGCTGGGAGGGATGTCACCAGCGCGCTGGTAAGAATTTGGGCGAGCGAGGGTACAAGTTCGTGACGTCAGCGGAGCATGAGGTTGTGAGGGATATCAAAGAGCGGTTATGCTATGTCGCGCTCGACTTTGAGGACGAGCTCAGGAAGGCAGCAGAGTCTTCGGCATTGGAGAAGAGCTACGAGCTTCCGGATGGTCATGTTATCACCATTGGTAGTGAACGGTATGCTTTTCTTTTTTTGATGTCTATTTTCATTAATCTCCCCGCTCAGCTTTCGTGCTCCCGAGGCGCTTTTCCAGCCATCGATGCTCGGGCTGGAGTCCCCGGGTATCCAGACCAAGACGTCTGTTGTTCTTGCTCCTCTTGTCCCTCCTCTTTACTGAATAGCTTTACAGCTACGACTCGATAATGCGCTGCGACCTCGACATTCGGCGCGATCTCTACAACAACATTGTCCTTTCGGGGGGCACGACGATGTTCCCCGGCCTGGCAGACCGAATGCAGAAGGAGATGACCGCCGTCGCTCCCGCCAGCGTCAAAGTCCGTTTTCCCCCTCTCATTCTTGCCTGAATGCTGACCGAGTTGCTTAGGTGCGCGTTGCCGCCCCGCCCGAGCGCAAATACTCTGTCTGGATCGGAGGCTCGATTCTCGCGTCGCTCAGCACGTTTCAGAATATGTGGATTTCCAAGCAGGAGTATGATGAGATGGGGCCGGGAATTGTTCATCGCAGTAAGTGCATATTTTGTTGGGAGAAGCGAAGGCTTATGGGTTTTACAGAGTGCTTCTGAATTGCTGGACCCTTCACTTGTAGATAACAGTTATTTGTAGGAGTACTTGGCTCTCTAATAAGGACTTCCTTTACTGCACATCTCAAGTGTAACCCGTGGCGGACTCACAGCGGCACGAGAGTTTGTGGTCTCCCAGTGTACTAAGTATAGCTTCTCGGATAATTTCTAGAGAATGGTCAGCTATCTTGAAACTCTCAGGTTCGTATTGGGTTCGTACCTGCCCACCCCATTGACGGAAAATTTCCTCAGAATCATCGGATAAGACACCTCCTTCGAGCGCTGTTTGCCGTTCTTGTAGATCTTGCGACTAAGCCCGCCCATGTGACCCATGTCTCTGACCCGCTTCAAATAGTCCCCCCAGGGGCCAGTAGTCTATTGGCAGAACGTTGAGATGCAAACGAAGGTTCAAGGCGTTGACTTCCAAACTAAACTTTGATCAAGTGCAAACTGGTCCCCTTGGGCCCTTTATTTCGGATTCCATTCCTTGAGAGGCTGAGATGCAGCGCAGCCCTATGGGATGGACTGAAGTTAAACAAAGAAGGCAACCCAAAGCAAACGGCAAAGGCAACGCTAACGTCTATGTGTCCGAAATCAATGATGCAATAGTGACAAGCGGCGGGACATCAATCACCTTGACTCTGATTCAGAGTGACGAGAGAGCACGATTTGAGGGAGAAAGGCGTATACTACTTGTTTAAGAGTGACTATCTGTTACTTTGTCAATAGACAGGATGGTTGGCACAGTACAGAGGTTTGACTGCCGATGATGGAAATTTGTCATTAATTACTCGATTTGGGGACGCCAAATTGGGAAGTTTTCAGAAACTGCGCCTAATTTGGCGATGAATACCGCAACAACCGCCAAGGACCTTCTGACCTTTACTACAAAATAAGAGTGCTCTTCGTGACTTCCACGATGCCTGCGCTCAGCTCAATCTGCCCACAGACCCTTCCACTAGCCAACACCCACCTACTCTCTTTATTTGCCGCCTACTCATGACTGCCGTCGATTTGGACGAGCCGTCGGACGCGAGGGAGTGTAATATCAGGAGGACTGTCATCCGACTCTTCTGGACGACTGACGAAGAGACTGGTGCGCGAAAGATTTGTTCCTTACTTAATCCTCTCCTATCTCCCTTTGTAGCACTATCTCGCCTCTGCACAAGCATTCAATGCTCTCTCCTTCCAACCAACTTTGTCATCATCAGGTCCAGTCTCTTCACACGAAAACATATCATTTGGCGGACTACAACAAGTCACCGCCTCAGCTGCAAGCCTAATCATGGCGTAGCGAACTGCTCCCCTCATGTCGCCTTTCCTCCCCTTCCACAACATTTCTATCCTCCCCGCTCGAAGCGGACATCAACAGCACTTTTTTCAGCGTGAATGTCCAGCGCGGCCACGCCCATTCTTTTGGGACGATGAAGCCACGAACAAATATACACTGGTTCTCGCCGTTCCCGATGGCGTTGTTAGAGGACATGCGAATGGTCGAAGACATAGATCTTTCCCACTCGAACTTGGGCTCCAATCTGCTTTCGACCAACCCGATGAGCTCTAGTTTGAGCGAGAAGTTCATTCTGGTGCTTAGGCTTGACGCAGTCGTAATTGCCCACGACGATGTCTTGTCGCATCCAGTTACTACAAACAACTCGTTGCCGCTCGAAGAGAAGTGGGCATCATCGATATACCCTTCCTTTTCCGCAAACGCATACCATGCTTTTGCTTGGGCATATACGTAACGACGGAAGCGGGACATAGGCAGAAGGTTTTGGCGCGATGCTCCTTGCGGGAGCACAAGTGCTGCCCCAGCTTTTGAGCGAAAGTCGAGGGTTATACCACTGTCCGCTTTGATGGGAGGGAATCTGAGGGACGAACTTGGTGAGCTTGGTCCCCCTAATAGTTTACTCATAACTTACGGTGGAAATATAGAAGACGCCTCAGCCCCCACAGAAATCGTGCAAGCAACTGCGTTCGTCAATATGGATCCTTGCGAGTGGTGGTATCTTCGCTTGGTGATGTCGTGTTTCTTCAACGGGAAAGTCCTGAAGTCGGTTGGAACTCCCCGTTGGCAATTAATCGAGGACCCAGAGGGCATTACTGTGTTGAAGAGCGGCTCGAATGAGCCATTGCGGAGGAATCCTACATCCCCAATGCTTGTGCCTGTCTGTTGGTATTCCTCACACAAGTTCTCGTTGGGCTCGGGGGTGAACAAGGGGATTCCATCTTCGGAGGACCTGAGGCGGCTGGTGTAGAGCTCGCTCGCGGACGGCGCCATGGGCAGGATACTTGGTCGGGGAAAGGTGTGACACTACTTGTTTGAGAGTGACACCATATCTTATCCCACTCATGGTTGTAGAACCTTATAATCAAGTGGTTAAAGGAGGCCGATAGCCCCCATTGGAACGATATTTGGCGTCGTTGGTTTACGCGCCATTCGCGATACTCAGATCGGGCGATTTCGTTCAGTTAAACTGCTCAAATCGAGCAATCTCATGCCAATACTGTCGGCCAACTCAAAAAACCACTTCACTCATTCGCCGCGCCTGGTACATACTCCGGCTCAGCCCGATCTCGTTTGACGATGGTCTTTGCCCTGTTGCGCGGCCTCTGCAAGGCGGGAGTTCGCATGAGGGCAGGATGTCATGTGCGACGTCTGTGAGAAGGAATGCGTTCAGTCACTAACTGTTGTTGCACCTCGTGTTGTTGGAGGAAGCCCTGTCGAAGAAAGCTGTAGAGAAAGCTGTATGTATTTCCTTGAGGTCAAGTTCGTCAAGTTTTGCTTCTTGCTCAATTATTTGGCGGCCACTACTACTAGATTTGCTCTGCGCCCATTCCAATCGAACTTGATCCAGATATGACTTTTGAAAAAATGAGCGAAGGTCGCCGAAGGAGACAAGGCGTTTGTGTGTTGACTGCTGACTATGTGCTCTTGCAGCTGTACTTATCAGTTTAGAGCAATAGGTAAGCATATAATTGATCACCTTAGTACATAGCTTATCGAAGTCAGAACCATTAATGATACCCTTCGGAACAGCGCCGTTCACGTTCAGCTTGAGGAACGTCCCGAGCTCGGAGCGGCGGAGCCTCCCAATGTGATGGCCATCTCGGCGCAGTAAGTACTGCAACGTAGTGCTTGATCAGGCTCCTAAACCAGCCCTCGTTGCAGAGCTAGTCAGGCCAATTCTGAGAGAGTGTTGGCCAATGGCGAGCTGAAGAGGCAGACACAAATAAGCGCTTTCGGTTCCCGTCTGCGGGATATTGAGAAGTCTCATTGTGGTGGCCGTGCAGGCCGCTGACTCTGGGGCGAGAGGTGCTTGAGTATAGTGGAGATGACTTACACATTTTCATAATCATGGCGGGTCTTTTTGGAATCTCAAATGCACTTTTACTTGCGTAACATGAGTGTTGTATGCTGATGCTCAGCCTACTCAGGCTGATGGGGAGCTTGCAAATCATTCGGCTTTCGGGTTAAACGGATTGAGCATCCGATGCTCAATCCGTTTGTCATTCTGTCTCATTTAGCACCAAGACTCGGAGCTGCCTGCTATGGGGTCCGACATTGATCTTGCTGGTGTACCCATGTAAACGCGGCCGCCTGCTCTTCTTCAATCACACCCCGCTGTCAGCAACTTCCGCACCTCAGGCTCAAGCCAAAGCTCTTAGCGCATATAGAAATCCCAGACGGTGACGCGGAGAAGAGCCTTGCAGATCTTACTGTCGCTTTCCGAGTCCATCGACATTGGACAACTTGAACTTATCTTACTGTCAGCGTTCCCGCGAAATCTTGGGCACAAAATGGATTCATTCAATTTGATTGGCCAGAACACAGCACACTGGCATTCGGTTTAAACAAAGTATCTCGGGTAGCAACTTGAAGTAAGTAAGAAAGGAGTCATCAGATGCACAACATTGAACGATAAGTAGCTCTGAGTGGTAGGCTTGACTTGGCAGGCGTATACGGGGTTTTTTTTAAAACATCTCTTGTAATTAGAATATTAACATTTTTAAAAAACATCAGTGATTTACAAGTCTTCCCCTCATTTTAATGAAATCCACGCTGTCAAACTCCATATCTTTCTTGGCACCTTGGCATCAACAATTTTTTTCGTCTTTTTTAGCCTTTCCCCTACTCAGTATTTTCCCCATACTTAAGGAATTTTCCACACGTCAGGTCTGGGGCCTTATAGCTACCACACTGCCCACCCTGACAAGGCTTTTCAACCTTTTCAACCTTTTTTTGATCTCTCATTTCCCTATGTAAAACCCGCCTTTTGGCAGGGGCATAAATTAGAGGCATTTTTTAAAAACATTAACACTGGTAATGAGAAGGCTTTTTTAAAAAAAAACCCCGTGTACAGGTGGACTTGGCCGTTCGGGACCTGGACTAATCCTTCTTAGGTGTTAGCGAAGCCATTTCAAACGTTGGAGCGATTCCGATACCATCGACTGGGATGGTTTTGGGAGCCCTTCACTGGCGTCATGTTCCATGATCAATTGGAATGCGGCATGAAGATTGGGATTGAGTGGACAATTGTCGTAGGTCGGGGCGACTTTCCCCAACTTCTCCTGGTCAAAGAAAGACTGAGTAGGGAATATGATAAGGCCATCGATTGATTGAAGGTTACGTGGATCAAATGTCCACGGATTCAGTCCTTGATTGTTCTCTAAGTTCTCCGTTTCCGACTCGGAGTCCGATTGCGACTCTGTATCCATTTCCGATTGCGACTCTGTATCCGTTCCCGATTGCGACTTTGCAGCCGTTCCTTCGCGTTTTTGGCGCTTCTTCTGAGGTCGCCACAGTTCCGGGTCCGAGTTAGAGTCCGAGGATGGCGGGCTAGTATATGTGTAGTCGTGGTCGTCGTGACGTGCACCGTATGCCGACCGCGAAATGAGCTCGGGGGTGAAATACCGGAGGCTCCAAAATATTCCGCATACAAAGAATACATACCACTAGGGCTGTAGGCCGTCGCCGTATATTACGGCGTACGGCACGCCGT